ACTGGGAAATGCGTTAGCTGCATATTGTGCCACCCCAATAAAATCCAGGGTTCCGTGAGAGGGGAGGAGGAGGTGAACACAGGCAAACTACAGCGCTCTCTCTCTCTCTCTCTCTCTCTCTCTCTCTCTCTCTCTCTCATCCATCAGCAGAATGGGGATTACTGCCTACTTGATAAAGATGAGGAAGCTGAGAAGTAGCGAGGAGCTCTTGCAGTAGGTTGGTGGTGAGGTGGGTCTATGCATTTCCACTACATTCCTCTTCCTGAAGCTCAGTGCCAGCTTTGAGAGATAATGAGCACAAAGTAGAAACCAATGACCATCTGGACAAACACCAGCTGTGAGCCCAGGGCCATTCCTCCAGGGGGGAGTCAAACTGACAGATGAAGGGGCTGCAGAGGGCAGTGAGGACAAGGGCTGCAGGACACTGGGCTCTGTATCACTCCCTGGGTTGGCAAGAGGCAGCCAGCTGTGGCCGTGGCTCCGCTGGGAGGACAGATTGGCAGGAAATCAGTGCAGCTTCCAAGCCAGCCAAGCGGCGGGCCAGCGAGGCTCCAGTTCCCACCGGTCACAGCCAGCTGCAGAGGCCCAAGACTGAAGAACGTGACAGCTGGGCCAGGCGCAGCCCAGGAATGTGTCATCCCTCCCATTGAGGGGGGCCATCAGGAAGATGAGCGAGCGCAGATGTTTCTCCAGCAGAGGGTGGCACCGGGGTGGAGCTCCCCCCCAGGGGCAGGCTCAGATGTCCCTGTGCAGGGCTACGAGCCATGTGGCAAGCAGATCAGTCCGGACCCCTCTGGAGACAGAGGAGCTGTGGACACAGCCAGCATTGTTATGAGCACAGCCTGGAGCTGATCTTTCTCATGCCTTCACCTCCCACAGGAGGAAGGACATGTGGCCAGAGGTTAAGGGGAACCCTGGAATTACATGGGAACACACGCAATGGGAACAGAGGCCACGCCTTCCCACGGCGAAGAAAGGAAAGTCCTCGTAGACGGGAAGCACACGCAAAGCAAACTTGGGAGCGGGAATAGGAACGCGTTCAGCTCCAGGAACAGGACAACTTCCGTTAGAGCACGTGATGTAGGAAGAAGAAATCGTGTTTAGAAAGAAACACACTTTTTCCTGTCAGCTGAACATGCTGAGGGGGGTGCGGGGCGGTTCCCTGGGGAGGAATGTCTAGGCCCAGAACAAAGAGTGAGCTCTCCTCTCTCTCATCTCCTGAAAACGACACCCATTATGGTTATCTGTGTGGCCACTCCCGAGTCCCTGGCTCTGTAATTAACAGCTGACTGGTGTTTACTTGGCACTCTATGTAGCTAGGCTTCCAGAAAAGCTTTGTCAATGAGAAGTCAAGGGGTAGACGTGGTGATGAAGATCACTCCTCAGAGAGAAACTGGGAGAGACTGGGAGAAGATGGGTGGAGGGGAGGGTGGGCTGGCTGTGAAGGCCCGTCCTCCTTGGAGGATGCTTCCTGTCAGGCGAGGTCTATGTATTGCCACTACTTACCTCTTCCCGAAGCTCCTGGCACCTCGCGGCCACCTGCAGGCTGCCCAGTGAGGCTCTGCAGACGGTTATAAACAACTTGCAACTCGCTCCCTCACCCCAGACCTGCTGCAATCGCGAGACCCTAGACTCATCCCATCTAAACTCTGCTGCTTGAAGACCTGCTCCTGTGGCCTTGGAGAGGCTAGGCAGAAGGCAGCCAGCAGGCTCTCACACCTCCTGCCTCCCCAGACCCCCTTGGCAGCCTGGCTCCTTGCCCCCACAAGGGCACAATGGGCGCTGAGCCTTCCCGAGCCTGCCTTGGCCCTCTGGGGTGCGAGAAGTCAGCAGGGACACACTCCCCATCCCACCGGGGCCATCTGCACTCCATTACAAGCCTTTGGAAGCCAGCAGAGGGCTGTTTAGCTGCTGCTGGTTCTCTATGATTAGCTAGCTCTTGCTTTTTGAATACTGCACATGATGCAGCCAGCTGTAGGAAGCATTCATGACTCAAAGCTTTTTCCCCGCAAAAAGAAAAGTGCTAAGCTAGTTATTACTAGGGGGAAGAAAAAAGTTTAAAAGTCTTACTTTCTGGGTAAGGTCCTCTGTCTTATAATTCCTCGTCCTCCTGGGATTGGGACTGTTCCTTTGTCTATTTTCTATAGGCACCATCTAGCCACTTGCTGTAAAGAAGCTTGCTAAGAAATATCAACAGAGCGTGTGCCCTACCTGGTTTGGCTCAGTGGATAGAGCATTGGTCTGCGGACTGAAGAGTCCCAGATTCAATTCCAGTCAAGGGCATGTGCCTTGGTTGTGGGCTCGATCCCCGGTAGGGGGTGTGCAGGAGGCAGCCAATCAATGATTCTCATCATTGATGTTTCTATCTCTATCTCCCTGTTCCTTCCTCTCTGAAAGCAATAAAAAAATATTTTTAAAAGAAACATAAAATGAAAGAGACATGTAATTCCAGCTCAGGCATTATTACCCATGGTCCAGGAGACTCTCCCTTACTCTGTGTGTGCAAGAGACCTGATGCTAAGGCATCCTTTTAATGCAACGGTGTGGAGCCAGGACCAACTGCTGAGCTTACCTTCTTTCCCAGGTGCTGAGCCAGGAACAAAACCCAATACTTTGTTCACACTTGAAATCTTCAGTGTTCTCTGCAGAAAAGAAGCAGTTGCCTGGCTACAAGCTGGCACCAAAATCACCATGGATGCTTACTAAAACACGTATCCCCCAGGCTACACCGTAGACTTGAAATCGGGGCTCACAGGTGAGCGGAGGAGTGGAGGAGCTGGAGATTTGGGAGTCTTGTGAATGCTGATAATGAAAGCCAGATTAGCTACAATCCACAGGGAAAAGAAAACGGAATAGAAGATGCAGGTGATCAGCATTCCTTCTTCCTCTTATCTCTGAACTAGACAAATAAACTCATTTCTTTTCTCACAATATAAAAGCTCGATGGTAAACAACAGTACCAATATGCCAATAAGCACAGGGCACTCTATGGATATAAAAGTTCTTTGTTGCGTAGGTTCGGTAAGCTTAAGATTGTCACCTAAATTTTCACAACTTTGGGAACCCATCTACATATGGAATAAATAGTACTATTTTCCATGTTAGGAAGAGAGAAATAGCCAGCCGGCACGGCTCAGTGGTTGAGTGCCGACCTATGAACCAAGAAGTCACGGTTCGATTCCTGGTCAGGGCACATACCTGGATTGCAGGCTCAATCCTCAGTCGGGGGTGTGTAGGAGGCAGCCGATCAATGGTTTTCTCTCATCATAGATGTTTCTATCTTTCTCTCCTTCTCCTTTCCTCTCTGAAATCAATAAAAATATTTTTTTAAAAAAGAGAGAAATAAAAATGCCTATTGAAATAGCAGGAAGACCCTAAAGTGATTTCACTTTTTTAAAAATGTATTTTATTGATTTTTTACAGAGAGGAAGGGAGAGGGATAGAGAGTTAGAAACATCGATGAGAGAGAAACATCGATCAGCTGCCTCCTGCACACTCCCTACTGGGGATGTGCCTGCAACCAAGGTACATGCCCTCAACCGGAATCGAATCTGGGACCCTTGAGTCCGCAGGCCGACGCTCTTATCCACTGAGCCAAATGGTTAGGGCTCACTTTTTCTTAATAAGCAATTTTAAGTGCATCCAAGTAGAAGAAAACTTGTACCAATTAAGGGTTGTTCCACTGAGGAAAATGGGAGCCACATATATCACTGTGGAGGGAGTTACAGCTATGAAAAGGGAGAAAACTAAGAGGAACCCTGTGGTGTCAGACTGGAATCAGAGGATGATATGAATTCGTGATTTTCAATATATAGAAAGATAAATAAATGATGCCATATGCATGTGTGTATACATGTAAACACATGTAAATATTCCCAAGCTCTGACCACTGAGATGGCCTGGGACCAGTGGCTCCACAATAGTGTTGAGCACAGCTAGCACTCAAATCCTAGTTTGAAAATAATTTTCTATTGTAGGAAAAATACAAGATGAGAGTGGACTGTCTTACTGTTCCAGAAAGTAAAGAAATGTCCAAGTATACGGGGAGCAAGTCAAAAAGTCACAAGAGTTGGCTTGAGGAGACACTGAAACATCTAAAGAAATAAGGATAGTAACGGATCACAACCCAGTGAATGACAGATGAAACTACAAGTCTGTACGCATACAGGTTAATAAGTAAAGGGGGAAGTGATTCTACAGTGGAAAACCTGCAAACGCCACCGGAAACAAGCGGTCAGGCAGCCCTCAGGGATGGGACTGCCCCAGCTCTGCCCGACGATCCCGAGATCGTGCCCCACCTCTGAGAGCAGTGGGCACACAGCATTGCTCCTGAGCTGTTCCTGCCAAAGATGCGTAAGTTAAACCCAATCACAAGGAAACACTCCAAATAACTGGCCTGTGATCTTCAAAAGGGTCACGGTAAAAAAAAAGGGTCAAGGTAAGAAAGCCATTGAGGAGCTGAGGTACTATTCCAGAATGAAGGACATACAGAGACAGGATAAGTAAAAGCAGCATGTAATTCTGACCACACCCTACCCCTATGAAGGTCGTTATTGGGACATTTGGTAAAACCTGAATGGATCCAAGGATTAGATGACAAAATATTAACGGCAATTTCCTGATTTGATAGTTTTGTGGTTCCACAGAAAAATGTCCTTTGGTGGTTTTTAAGGAGTGAGAGGCCCATCAAGTCAGCAACTTACTTTCAAATGGTTCTGTACTTTTAATTTTTGTTTAAAAATATTTCAAAAAGTACCACTTCCTTTTTATCTGTTATACGACTTAAAGAATGACTACAATAACGATGAAGATGATGAGGTTGAAGATGGATATTTCAACATCAAAAGTTTCATAAAATTATTTCTTGAAACAGAATATAAGTTATTTTATATAACATTTTAACTAAATGTTATATTTGTATAAAATGTATATTTTAACTAAAATATTTACTATTGTGAATTTTAAAAAATCAGTGAATAAATGCACTCTTCTTGGTTGAGTTAAAATCAAGTATTTGTAGTTTTTAAAGTTTGGTTGGGGAAAAATAACAGTTCTACAAAAGCTGTGCAATCCAAAATTCACAGGATATTCAGCAGCGAGAAGTCTTCCAGTTTCTCATCACCAGTTCTCACAAGCAATGACACATATGCCTTCCTTACTTTAAGAAAATATCAAACAGAAATAGGCAAACTGAACAAATTTACGAAGTGTAATAAATTAGAGGTAAAAATCACAATAAAAGAATTTATGGCTTAAAAAAAATATTCACAAGTAGAAGTTTGCTTTATCAACTTCTAAGATTCCCTCCCCTTAGCTTCCCCCTTGAAGATGGGAGTTACCAACATTTGGTTTACGCTGAAGTTTTCAGGGACACGAAACCTGAAAAGAAGTGTCAGACACGATGCTGCTGGTGCTCCTTCCTTATGGCAGTCCTTGTCCTGTAGAAGCGATCAGAATCCAGTCCACGTGGCACAGAACCAAGCCCAGGTATCATGCCAACGACCATTTCCTGCCCACCAAATCCTCATCTCTCTCCAGTAATGAAGAGGTGGACGTTCTTTTTGGACTGCAGCATCTGCGCGGCCCGCTCCACGCCGACCACCGCAGCCAGCCTCTGGGCATCGTACTTGGAGTAGAGGACAGTGCAGGTCCAGGCGGCTTCCTCTCCTCTGGTGGCGGCTCTCAGCATGTTGCAGACTTCGCTGTAGAAGTGGGGATATGTTGGCAGCTCATAGAAAATCAGGTTCCTGATGCCTTTTATAGTGTACCTGTCAGAAGGGAAAGAGAGGCCAGGTCTACTTGAGAAACGTATGGGGAAGCTACCGAAGAATCTGCAGGGACGCAGTTCACTCTGCTGCTGTGTGCTCGAGCAGGAAGACAAGGGCACCAATAACAACAAAGGTTATGCTCACTAGAGCTTGAAGGGCTTATTTCTGTGACAATATATTTGAATTCCTAATATTTGGCTGAAGAGAATGAGAAAATAAATCACATTTCTGAGTCTGCTCTGGGTAGACTCGTGTATACTCTGAGGTAGGGTGGAGAAGATAGTAGATTTGGGATTAGCAGTCTGTCAGAGAAAGCTTAAAAGGCAGGCACTTACAATTTAACATTATCCTCATTATAATCAGGCAACACAGACTGTTCTGTAATGACGATGAGGTCAGAGCCAGCACGTAAGATAAACCACATAAACTGTAAATGCTTTCCCATTAGTCTTTTCTTGTCACTCTACAGACATGTTAACGCCACGGCAGATGTCCCAAGTTCATCCATTTACAAAATCCTGCCTGAGGACCCATTAGGCATTATGGGAAAGCAATTAGTTTAACAGCTCATGCAATTCTTTCCCTGCTGCACAGTGCTGCACAGTGGTGGTGGAAGGGAGGAGGGAGTGGTGGACCCTGGGGACTCACCATATGGTTAGGGTCGAGGTCAATCATTCCCTCTGGGGTACTATAAGGAAGATTTTGTATGTTGACAAGCTTCTGATTATTCCTGTTCGTCTGGCTCATACATTGCTGACGTTATAGACTCCCCTGGGAATTTTATTTTCTTCACAGAGAACAAGCTTTCATTGCCTTTTTATCCCAGGGCTCTTCCTGATCTCTCTGGAGACCCTCCTCTTTCAAACTGTAACTGCAACCCATTCCTTGGTTCACGTTGCAACATCACCTTCCATAAAGGAATTCTAACGGCTGATGAACTTGAGTAAGCTGTTCTACCTCGCTAGTTATTAGAACAAACAAAACAAACACTGAGCTCCACTTCAGCTAATATGTAGAAAACTCAAAAGAACATTGCTCCCATACTAACAAGAAAACTCCAGATCATATACGAAAGCGTTTCTTTTCTTGAGCCTTGACAGCTGATGTTACGAGGCAACCAGGTGAACTGATTGGATGGGGTGCTGGGAAGCGAGGGTAATGATTTGAAGCATTTGCCCATTTCTGCGGTGTAAATACTTCCCCCTGGCCTATTTCAAGCTACCAATGTCATGTTGCTGAACTTGGAGTTGGGAAGAGACATGTAATGAGATCTCAAGAGCCAGGATAGGCCAGCTTTAGGCCACTAATGACTATTCCAGAGTGACAAGCCCCTCTGAAAAGAGGACATGAGAACTATCTCCCCTTTGGCAGAGAACAAGAGGAAGAAGAAGCTGCCAAGGAAGTGGGTAGGAAGAAAACTGCTACACTTTCCACAAATTCTTAAAGGATAAGTGTGGGCTTGGTTGATAGCTTAGCTTCCCTGGGATTCCTAGACACTCCCTTAGTTCACATTCACTCATGAGCTATATATATATGTTGATTTCAGAAAGGAAGGGAAAGGTAGAGAGATAGGAACAACAATAATGAGAGAGAATCATTGATTGGCTGCCTCCTGCATGCCCCCTACTAGGGGATCGAGCCCACAACCCAGGCATGTGCCCTAACCAGGAATCGAACCATGACCTCCTGGTTCATAGGTACCAACCATGAGCCACACCAGCTGGGCACTCATGAGCTCTTTTCCACAGGCCTTCCCTGGAGGTACATACATGAACCCTTATACGAACTTTCCCGGACCCATATCGTACATGAAGCAAAAACCTGAAGCCAATGGGAGAGGGCAAAGGTCAATTGCTGGTGGGGGAGCGTAGGTGAAACAAAAGCCATCTGCCCTAAGAGAGGTGCAGTAACTATGCCCCAACTTCGTCCATCCCCACGACCTACACCAAGTAAAAAGCAACAGTGGCCTGTTCCTGGGGAAACAACATGAAACCCATTCGGCCCAAGATCCCACAGACGTGAGCAAAGGTCTGCCACCACAGGGGAGAAGCAGGACCTCTTTCCCACCAAGACCCCTCTACAGACACAATTCGGCTGCCATGAGGGTGTGCAAGAACCCAGAGAAAGTCCCACCTCCAAAACCCAGATTGAGCAAGGCCTGCCTAAAACCAAGCTGACAGAGAGCCCGCTCTCCTGCCTTAAGCCTTGCAGTGGGTAAGCAGGGGCAGCCTGCTGCTGGGGGAGGGGCAGGAGTGTGGAGACAGACTCTGACACTGGGTACCAGTCTTGGTGAAAGCTGAGTGAGCAGGACACTGAGGAAAGGCCCTGCATCACCCAGGCTCCGCACGAAGCCATCATCCGCTGGGGGAATAAATGTAAAGTCTGGGCTGTATCCTAGGTTTCTATAGTAACAACCAAAGCCTGACTAGATTCCCAACTCCCACACTAGTGGCCTCACACAAAGAGGTGTGACTGGACATAAAGTACTACTGGCCTCAGCCTCTACATTCAACTAACAATTACAAAAAAAAAAAAAAAAAAAAAAAAACCACACAAAAAAAGCAAGAAAAATACATCAGAACAATGAGGCTATCATTTTGACTACCAAGTCACTGGGAACAAGCAGGGTTTGCAGAAATGGGCCAGTGAAGAATAAATTCTTGTGTATTTTGGATAGCAGGGGTGGGGGGTAGGAGGGAAGATAAGGAGAACATGGGAGTGAGCCAATAAGCGGCAATGCAGAGCAAAGTTTTAATTGTGCGCAGCCTTTGAGGTACCAAGTTTTCCTTTTCAAATTTATCCTAAGGAATTAACTAGGCAACTATGTCACCAACTATGCATATGAAAATACCAACGGCACATTTCAAAGATCTAGAACAAACTCTCCAAAAATTCATCTGGAATAAAAAAAGACCACAAATAGCCACAGCAATCCTAAGAAAGAAGAAAAAAGTTGGAGGGATCACAATACCAGATATCAAGCTGTATTACCAAGCCACGGTTCTCAAAACTGCCTGGTACTGGCACAAGAACAGACATATAGACCAATGGAACAGAATAGAGAACCCAGAAATTGACCCAAGCCATTATGCTCAATTAATATTTGACAAAGGAGGCAAGAGCATGCAATGCAGTCCAGACAGTGTCTTCAATAAATGGTGCTGGGAAATTTGGTCAGATACATGCAAAAAAAAATCAAACTAAACCACCAACTTACACCATACACAAAAACAAACTCAAAATGGCTAACGGCCCTAGCCGGTTTGGCTCAGTGGATAGAGCGTCAGCCTGCAGACTCAAGGGTCCCAGGTTCGATTCCGGTCAAGGGCATGTACCTTGGTTGCGGGCACAACCCCAGTAGGGGGTGTGCAGGAGGCAGCTGATCAATGTTTCTCTCTCATTGATGTTTCTGACTCTCTATCCCTCTCCCTTCCTCTCTGTAAAAAATCAATAAAAAATATTTTTTAAAAAAAACAACAAAAAAACAAAATGGCTTAAGGACTTAAATGTAAGACGGGAAACCATAAAAATCCCAAAAGACTCCATAGGCAGCAAAATAGCAGACATATGTCGTAGCAATATCTTTACCAACACAACCCCTAGGGCAATGGAAACTAAGGAGAAAATAAGGAAATGGGACTACATCAAAATAAAAAGCTGCTGAACAGCAAAAGAAACCATCAACAAAACAACAAGAAAGCCCACTGAGTGGGAGAACATATTTACCAATGATATTTTAGATAAGGGTTTAATCTCCAAAATTTACAGAGAACTCATACAACTTCATAAAAGGAAGGTAAACAATCCAATCAAAAAATGGGCCAGGGACCTAAATAGACACTTTTCGAAAGAGGACATAGAGAAGGCCAAGAGACATATGAAAACACCCTCAAAGTCACTAATCATCCGAGAGATGTAAATCAAAACAACAATGACCATCTTACACCTGTCAGAATGGCTATCATCAACAAATCAATAAACAAGTGCTGGCAAGGATGTGGAAAAAAGGGAACCCTTGTGCACTGCTGGTGGGAATGCAGACTAGTGCAACCACTGTAGAAGACAGTATGGAGTTTCCTCAAAAAGTTAAAAATGGAACTCCCATTTGACCCAATAATCCCACTTCTAGGACTATGTCCCAAGAAACCAGAAAGGATATATGCACCTCTATGTTCATAGCAGCACAATTTACAATAACTAAGATTTGGAAACAACCGAAATGCCCATCAGCAGATGAGTGGATTAAAAAACTGTGGTACATCTACACAATGGAATACTACGCCGCTATAAAAAAGAAAAAAAAAGGAACTTTTACCATTTGCAACAGCATGGATGGAAATGGGGAGCATTATGCTAAGCAAAATAAGGCAGTCGGAGAAAGATAAATATCACATGATCTCACTTATATGTAGGATATAATGATCAACATAATTTGATGAACAAGAATAGAACCAGAGACAAATGGGGGGGGGGGGGCGGGGGAAGGGGGGTGGTGGTAGAGAGCAACCAAAGGTCTTGTATGCATGCATATTAGCATAACCAGTGGACACAGACACTGGGGTGGTAGGGGCTTGCCCAGGGTGGGAATGGCTTGGGGGGGGGGGGGATGTTAATCCGAAAAAAAGGAGACATATGTACAACTTCAGACAATAATAAAAAAAACCACACAACTATGCATATGGACGTTCTTGGCATTATAATAAAAGGCTAATATACAAATCAACCAAATGGCAGAATGACTGGTCACTATGAAGTGCACTGACCACCAGGAGGCAGATGCTCAATGTAGGAGCTTCCCCCTGGTGGTCAGTGTGCTCCCACAGGGGGAGCGCCACTCAGCCAGAAGCCGGACCCATGGCTGGCGAGCGCAGCGGTGGTGGTGGTGGTGGTGGTGGTGGTGGTGGGAGCCTCTCCCTCCTCCATGACAGTGCTAAGGATGTCCCCCGAAGGCTCCTGAACTGCGAGAGGGTGCAGGCAGGGATGAGGGACACCCCTCCCTCCACCCCCCCACACACACCTCCAGTGCACAAATTTCATGCACCAGGCCTCTAGTTGTATATAATAGCATAAAAGAGGGGGAAACCTATACTCTTATTAAAAGAAAACTGGGTTAATTACATATCCATGCAATACAATACTATGCAGCCATTAAAATAAGCAATACACACCCCATATATAACATTAATTACATAGGAAAGGTATTTTTACAATGGAGAGGTGGATGAAGAACAGATCTTCTTGGACCAAGTGATTACACTTAGCATCACAAAGAATGGGATGAATAAGATGCAGTGGGAAGTAGACAATATCCTCTAGGTAGCATTCTTACCAAAAAATGTTTCACTTAAATCAGTAGTCCCCAAACTTGGCTGGATGTTGAATCACCTGTTTGCTTTTTAAAATATCTATGCTTGGGCTCAGCCCCAGGCACTGCGATTTAACTGGCATTGAGGTACGACCTGGCAAGGGAATTCTAATGTACAGCAAAGTTTGAGAACCACTGGTTTAAATAAGAAAACAATTAGACAAATTGAGACTGTGGGATTTTCTACAGGAACCTGGATTGGACTCTTCAAAAAATGTCAATGTCGCCCTGGCCGGTTTGGCTCAGTGGATAGAGCGTCGGCCTGCGGACTCAAGGGTCCCGGGTTCGGTTCCGGTCAGGGGCATGTGCCTTGGTTGCGGGCGCATACTCAGTGGGGAGTATGCAGGAGGCAGCTGATCGATGTTTCTCTCTCAGTGATCTTTCTGGCTTTCTGTCCCTCTCCCTTCCTCTCTGTAAAAAATCAATAAAATATATTTTTAAAAAAATGTCAATGTCATAAAAAAAAAAAGAGAGAATTATTTTAGGTCACAGTTTCTTAACCTCGGGGCTACTGACATTTTGAGCCAGATAATTCACTGTCCTGTGCACTTAGAACATTTAGCAGCATCCAGACCTCCACCCACTAGAACCATGAGGCCATCAGAATAACCCTTCAGTTGTGACAACCAAAAATGTCTCCAGATATTGCCAAATGTCTTCTGGGAAGCAAAACTGTCCCTGCTTGTTAACTAAGACACATAAAAGAAAGATGTTAACCAAATGCAATGTCTGAGGCTTAACTGAATCTGGGCTAAGGGGGAAACAGCCGCACTGGTCATTTTGGGGACAACCAGCAACATCTGAATAGACACTACATATTAAATGATATTACTGTAGTAATGCCAACTGGTATGATAATGGTGTTGAGGTTAGATGAAAGAATGTTGTTTTAGAAGCTACATGCTTGCTGGGGGAGGTCATCAAAAAGACTTGACCACCGATCAGGCCATCGGCTGGCTCCTCTGTATGTTCTATAGAGAACAGACCTACCACTTCTAGAACTGGGATTCTCCTGTAGGAGCAGGGGGTACTCAGAAATACCCCAGAAGCCCTTCCCAACTCCAGGAATCCCACCTCCAGAGTTTCTGACTAGTCCCCGGCTGGCAATCCTCCCTGTTGTGGAACCCACAGGTACAGTTCAGAAAAGAGCTTGGAACCTCCCTCTCCCTGGAGGGCCATCCTGACCAAGTGCCCATCCAATTCTAAGATTCTACTGCTTTCATCTCCCCCAAAGAAAATACACCTTCAGACTGAAATTTTTTACTGGCTCACAAATAAACTGTAATATTTCTAACACTGCCTACTTTCACAGAGAACATAAATACAGAATTCCAGAGTTGGATAGTACAGTTCAAAACACATGTACTTTTCCCAAGGTCAAATAAAAAATCAAATCACAAAGGAATTGCTGATCAAAACACCCATCATCACCTTGGTGATCTCTCAAGCAAAAAATTCTCTAGTTGGGAACCCTGAGATAATTAGCAGCTACAGAACTCTGAAGCACATTTTTTCATGCACCTTCAATACAGGTACACCTATTAACCTTCCAGGGTATAAAGCAAATGGCACATGCTAGGTCACGCTAGGTTTGTCTTCATAATGAGTTTGCAGGCAAACACGGTTTGTTTGGTAAATAAATGAACAGGCGGCTGTCTTGTCTACTTAGGGGGAAGAGCTCCTTTCTCTTAAGTAGGACGCCATGCCCTCTCCCTGAATAGCTGCTTTATGAGGGCAGACTTCATCCAGCTTAATTCACACTTGCTAAGACACTCACACTGGGAAGCTTTCCAGCCTGCCACTGCACCGCAAGGGCTGGCTTTCATCTGTCAAGCTAATAGAAAACTAAGGGCTCTTAAGACCTGCTGAGTACAAGCTCCCCCCAAATATCACTCTCCAACATGAATGAAAAGAACCTGCTGGAACAAAGCAAATGTCAACAAGAGGCATTCATCAACACTCTTTGGCCAATAGCCTTGCCTGTTGGATGAAGCCCACAAAACACAAATGTAGCCATTTCTCCACTCTCCACTCAGATCACCTTGTCAGCAGACTACCCAAAGAGGTCACGTCAGGGCAGCCTGCTCTGCCGGAGAGCTGTGGGGCTCCTCCCTCCCATCTTGGTAACAAGAGCGTGTCTGGGGAGCACCATCCTAGTATCAGCATATAGGCGATGCAATGCCAAGATACATCATCCGATATGCTTCAAAGCCTGGGAGATTTCTCTGAGAAAACATGCCCCTTGTTGGTATATATGACTGCAAGTTAATAAAACAGTACAGACAGCACCTAAATTCATTGGACATTATTGTGAATCACGAAGGAAAAGGTATCAGGACGCAATTTCCTTCTCTTTTAGGTGAGGGTTCAAATAGGGCTTTTTCATTGGCAGCAGAGAGAATTAGCAAAACAACTGAGAGAACAAAGGGCTGCAACTGTCCCAAATGGTAACAGAAGGCTCAAATCACCGACTCTCAACACAAATAGAATTGTTTTTAAAAAGGCCAATCTGGCTTATTTTATCAAAGTCGCACGGTGGGGAAGCTAAACAGAGGCTGAAACCCTTAAATAATCAACTCTAAGCCCCTCACCTTTTGCCTCTGCAAAACCAAGGGGCCCCTGACCCTGGTTCTCCTTGGTAAGGAAATAAGTGCATGCCTACCTCCTCAGGACACAAACCTTTCTGAACATCGACACTGTGCTCAGCCTCTATCTCAACACACAACACAGCTTCTCTGACAGCCCCACCCCTTCCTGTATTCACTGTGTTGTCCCAGTAAGAGGTGTTCAACTCTGTCTTTCTAAGGTGTACAGGCACAGCTAAGAAAGTACCCTGAGTATGGACCACTCCAGATCTATACACAGTTATGTTGCTGTCACTCATTTATCTCCTTTTTCAACAATGCCCATTTTGGGAGGAAACCAAGCAACCAAAAAGAGTCTGTCCAGCCCCCAAACTCTAGCTTCCCTGCAGGAGGCAGACTGAGGGCGGGTCTGTAACGCCAAAAAGCCCGGCGTGTGTCGCCATGCTGTGTGCTCACAGCAGGCCATGATTTGCTCTGCATTCCCCCCACACACCCCGAAACAACACCTGGAGCCTCGCACGGCTGTACCTTTTGTAGAAGTGGAAGCGCTCTGTGAGGAGCAGAAACTGCTTCTCCCCGTGAAGGAAGAAGTGTCTGGCCCTGGAGATAGCGGACTTCTGGGTGTACTCGCAGATATGCGTGAAGTTCAGGTCCTCCTTCTTGAAGTAATTTCGGAGACGCACAAAGTCAAAGTAGGAGGGGACATAGATGAGCGTGTGAGACATGACTGCATCACGATACTGAGGCAAAATCTTGTTCACGAAAAAGTTAAACCTGATTGGGAAAGGCAAAGGGCAAAGTCAGTGGCCTAGAGGTGAGCCCGCAGCATCACTACGGAGTGACCTGGGCAAGGCACAACCTCTCTCTGCCTCCCCCAAGAGGCCAATATGGCTCACCTCATCGCAAAGCGATTGCCCTAATACTATTTATCATATAATGCAGTGCTGGTTATCCCAGAAAATTATTCTAGGAGTATCCAACCATATCACATATTCATGCATTCACTCATTCATTCTGTCATCAGTCAGTCAGTCAACAAATACTTGCTGAACACCTCCCACATGCTAAACACCATTCTGCTTACCATGGTGCCCCTGACTAAACACAATGAGGAGAAGGGACAATACAGAGAGAATCAGAAAAATAGTTCTTGCCCTGAAGGGCTCACAGTTAAGTTGTTGACTTGGGATACTTTGCAGCACCAAGCAGTGTAATATAACTTAAAAATGCCAGTCTAGGGGGAAGGACCCTGCTTTACCTTATTAACCCTCCACTATCTATGGGAACTAGGTCAAGGCACCATTTCTCTTTGGGCTTCAGTTTCTTGCTCTGACAATGGCATGGCTGGGTTCGATTCTCTCCTCTCATTTGGTAAATGGTAATCTATAAAACCAGCATGGAACCCAGTTGTAAATTGGCATGCCACTGGGAGGGACCGGTACCTGGCGTCAATCACTGAAGCTAGGTTTTCAGCTTCCATCCTCTGGAAGACGTGGGGGAGCTGCACCAGCACATGACTGATGGAGCCTGTCAGCGGGACGTTCCTCACGGCCACCTGCCAGGAGTCAATGAGAGCATTAGGCGGCGAGCTGTCCCCATCGTCTCCTCTCTCCTCTCCTTCCTCCTCAGGACCCAAATGACCCAAATAACACACAATGCTTCAGGAGACCCAGAGGGGGAGAACGCACCTGGCCTTGCACATTGACGCAGTACTTGTTGAACACAGAGTTGATCTGGGCATCCTGCAGGGCCCCGAACAGCAGTGTCTGGCGGTAGTACTTGGACCAATTATTGAGGCTCCACATCCGCACTCGAGAGAAGTCCACCCCATGTGAGTCCAAGGGCAGCAGGTTCATGTGGTTCATCAAATGCTTTCAACAGAATTAACACTACCCTTAATATTTACTGAGCATTACCAACTGGGCACTGCTATGCATTTTACAAGTCTGTCATCTTATTTAACTCCATGGATAAAGTACGTACTATCATCTCCCAAATTACAAGAAAACTGAGGCTCAGAGGAGTGAGTGACTTGCCCACAGTGAAGTGAACAACCCCAACAAGAAGCTGAAACTGGCCACCTCGTGGACCTTTTGAAGAGGATCAAATGGTACCTACAGAACATTCCTTTAAAAGGAAATGCCCCCTGGTTACTCTATGGATTCCTCAGTCCCACACTTGGACAAGAAGGAAAATGACATGGAAAACAGAGCCGCTGTTCTTCAATGACATGTTCTCTAAACATTACATTCCCAGAGCCACCACACATGCCTCTTCCTCAAATTAAAGACAATGAACCATTAACATGTCTTTTGTATTTAAATTTTTACCTTGTAACATTGTTGAAGGGTAATGAGTACTGTAAGTTATGCTCTCCTTTATAAATAAGTACTCCCTTTTATTTGTCCCAAACTACTTACAAGCCATGGGCTTGTGGGAAAGGTAAGTTCTCATATGCCTTAAAAAAAAACAACTAAAGCCAGAACCGGTTTGGCTCAGTGGATAGAGCGTTGACCTGCGGACTCAAGGGTCCCGGGTTCGATTCCGGTCAAGGGCATGTACCTTGGTTGCGGGTATATCCCCAGTGGGGGGGCGTGCAGAAGGCAGCTGATCAATGTTTCTCTCTCATTGATGTTTCTTTCTATCCCTCTCCCTTCCTCTCTGTAAAAAATCAATAAAATATATTTAAAAAAAAAAAAAAAACTAAAAAAAACACACCAAAATACCTATAGCTCCGTGATAAGGATTGTTCCAAAGCATAGGTTTTTAATCCTAAAACTGACAACACTGCAGAATATGTAGAGAGGGAGAAATAAAAATTACAGCACAAATTACAGCAGAGGGATAAAGACATCCACATTTATCTGCAAAACAAGATCTCACATTAAGAAATTGTGAACAGCCCTAGCTGGTTTGGCTCAGTGGATAGAGCCTGTGGACTGAAGGGTCCCAGGCTCGATTCCAGTCAAGGCCACATGCTCGGGTTGTGGCTTCGATCCCCAGTGTGGGATGTGCAGGAGGCAGCCAATCAATGATTCTCTCTCATCATTGATATTTCTAACTCTCTCCCCCTCTCCCTTCCTCTCTGAAATCAATAAAAATATATATTTGAAAAGAAAAAGAAAAAGAAATCGTGAACAATGCTCTCCCATCTCCACTGAAGACCAAACCAAAAGAAAGCATAAACCGTGAGAGGCATTATGTCAAATGAAGACATTTCTAGTGGGGATGAATAGGCCACACTACAGGTCTGTTAGCAGAAATGACCTTTCAGGGGAAATCTTTTCTGGAGATTTGAAAGTATTGACAAGAATTTCTGTCTCTTTGGACAGTTTATTGACCACTCTGTGGGTAATTAGAAAATGTGGACTATGTCCCTGCTTCCAAACTATCCCTGCGTTTAGATCTAGACAACAGAAATAACCCCATAGGACAAACCAGAGCTCCCTGCCCTCTAATGTGAATGACCAGCATTACCAGGACATGCTCCCAGTTCTGCATCAGGTAAATGTCAGCTTGATCAATGATGAGAAGCTCAATAGAAGACAAAAAGTCAAAATCCCTCTTCTTCTCCCCTTCTGCGCCAATGATGGTCCTCAAGCCCAGAGGGGAGGCAATGAGGATGTCCGAGGAGTAAAAGGGGGCATAGAGCCGGATGCTTCTCTGAAGTATTGCCACTCCTACACAAAACAGACAAGTACACATCAGTTCATTCATCACTACCCCGCCATTAGCTCCCACCCTCTCCAGGCACCCCAACCTTGTACCTTGCCAACCTTTCCCCTTAGCATAGAACCATGCTCGAACTGACTTACTAAAACCATCCTCCCTCCCTTGCACCTGTGGTCCCTTCTGGCTCCCACTCTCTTCCTTTCCTGTCAAACTGCTCCAGAAAACTGCCTCTACTTTGACATCTCAATGCACCGCAACCCGGCCTCTGATGCTCAGGAGTCACTGAAATGGCTCTTGCTAAGGTCGCAAATAGCGCTCACTCACAATTCAATGGCACTTCAGCCTTTCTTGTCATGAGTGCATAAGCAGCACTTTGCACACACCCTCCTTGAAATGTCCTTTCCTAACTGGTGGTTTTGAATGCTGACTTCCATTTCTATCATTATCGATCTTTCCAGATCCAAAGAACTCTTCCACAAATCCCTGATTCACCCTCAGGTGCGACTTGCACTCTACATAGAGCTCTGGGTAAACTTATTCACTAACCAGGGTTTTAACATCACCTCTACACCACTTTATATTTCTAGCCCACGTCACTTTTCTGAGCTGCAAGCTCATCAGCTCTGTCAGCGCTGCTGGACACCTGCGCGGGTTTAAAACTGCACATCAGCTCTTGTCCCCTTGCACCTGGCACCCCAGCTGAAGCGTGGGTGCATTTTAGGTTGTGCCCGGCTTATTCCCCCTGAGGTCTCTGCACAGGCAGTTTCCTGTCCCAAATCTTTTCCTCCACTCTGACCATGCCCATTTGTAACTGGCTAAATCCCACTCAGGTTTCAGCTTAGTACAGATGGCACCTCCACCAGGAGGCCTTCCCTAACCACTCTGTGCCCACGCGGGTAAGGAGACTGTTTTAAATGCTCCCAGAACTCCCACTGTGAACTCGGATCATAACAGTTATCATTCTGTACTGCCTGTTCCCCCATGAGGCTGGACTTCCTTACCAGCAGGCATCATAACTTTTATTCCTATATCCCCAGCTTCTTATCAGTGCCTGGAGCACAGTAGATGCTTAATAAGTGTTTGATGAATGAGCATATTTGACTAATGAATATTTTCCAAGACCTCCTATCAAATATACAACCAACCAAGCACTTGGCAGCTCAATGAGAGACAAGAAAAAGTGTGAATGGTTGAGTGGGAGTCAGGAAGTCTTGTGTGGTGATAGTTGGGTGGGTGGGGGGGGGGCCCGGAGGGAGAGGGGGAGGCAGGAGGAAGGTCCACCACTGTGCAGATGCTGTTTATTCAGCCTCCCCAGACTGACCCCCTCAGCCCATCACCTCCAGCTCCCCAAGAACTCCTGCAGCAGCTATGCGTGTGCTGAGACATTTTATTATAATGTGCATGTGCTTTCAGAGAACTGCACCCCATCAGTCAAGTGTCTGTCTACCCATCAGCCTCAGCAAGTCTCTCTGCCCTGGCCAACAACACGTCTCTAATGCACTCTGGTTCCGTCAGGAGGCTGAGCCAGTGACCCCTGAAAGATGCCTAATTCCAGGCTTCAGCCTCCAGCTACGAGACCCCCGCACCTCAGGCCCCTCAGGGTCTCAGTTTTGACGAGGAGGAATTACCGATCCTGAAGTGGTCATCGATGTTGCCGACAAATACGGCTTCGTAATCCTCAGGCCTCTTCAGGTTGGGTGGTCTCTCCTCGGGATCCGAGCCATACTCTCCGTTAAACCTCTTCTTGTTGCTCACAATTATTTTCTTCTTGCTGTCGCCCTCCAGGAGGCTGATGAAGAGCTGGACCACCCGCAGAGCAGCTTCGCGGAACGGCACCACGATCAGCACCTGCGGAGGGACAATGGCAGCCATGGTGGGGAAGGGGAAGAAGGGCAGCTCACGGTGAGCTCACAGTGAGCCTGTGAGAACGTGCTGCTGTCACGCCCTCCGTACAGCAGGGGCCCAGCCCCTTTGCACAGAACCTGGCCCAGTACCAGAAGCTGAGCACCCTTCATACCCACAGCACCACGTCCTGTGGACTTTAATCTCATGGCTCCGTGGGAGGCAATTCTCAAGCAAACCTGGGAAATACCTTTTAGGTTAAAGCAGTGGTTCTCAACTTTCCTAATGCCGCGACCCTTTAATACAGTTCCTCATGTTGTGGTGACCCCCAACCATAAAATTACTTTCATTGCTACTTCATAACTGTAATTTTGCTACTGTTATGAATCGTAATGTAAATATCTGATATGCAGGATGTATTTTCATTGTTACAAATTGGACATAATTAAAGCATAGTGATTAATCACAAAAACAATATGTAATGATATATGTGTTTTCCAATGGTCTTAGGCGACCCCTGTGAAAGGGTCGTTCGACCCCCAAAGGGGTCGTGACCCACAGGTTGAGAACCGCTGGGCTAAGTCCATGCCTTTAACAGAGGAGGCCACTAGCAAAAACCCAAGGACATAAACACACAAGCTCTTTGAGGGCAAGGAATGTGACTCACTTCTGTCTCCCACGAAACTTAGTAAAAGTATTTTTACACATTAAGACCCAAGGAACAAATATATGCTGAATAAAAAAAGAATCAGATGCAGTAAGTGGAGAGCACATAAAGCTGGTAAGGAAAGGGACAAATGCATCACTACTTTTCTAGACGTTCTGTAGTACATTTTTCAGAAATTATGATAAAGCATTTGTGAAATAAGATCCTATTTTAATGGGAATATAGGCTTAGTTTTCCAAACATTTCCTAAACAGGTTAAAGGTACAACTATTGAGGGAAAAAACAAAAGATGCTTAAAAAGTAAATAATTTCTAACCACCCTTTTGTAAACAATCCAATCAGTGGAAATAACCCCAATTAGATCATGTAATTAACCATATGCTCAATGTGCTTCCTGGGTAATCTGTCTCTTATTCTTTTTTGCAATTCTAAATGGAAAGACATAATCTCATAACCCTGATGTTCAGGACCATGAGGTAGTTTCTCTGGAAGGCAACCATTATGGCCAGAGAGGGACACAGAGTCAATGCAGGGACAATGGATCGAGGGTGAAGAGGGGTGAGCATTGTCCCGGCTGAGACACTAAGTGTCTAGGCTTCGATTTCCCAGTGATCAAACAAGGAGGTTGGACTAAGAAACTCTAAGAGCCCTAGCTGGTTTGGCTTAGTGGACATAACGTCAGCCTGCAGACTGAAGGGTCCCGGGTTCCATTCCGGTCAAGGGCATATGCAGGGGTTGTGGGCTCGATCCCCAGTAGGGGGTGTGCATTGATGTTTCTAACTCTCTCTCCCTCTCCCTTCCTCTCTGAAATAAAAAAATAATTTTTTAAAAAAATATCCTTGGGTGAGGATTATAAAACATAATAATAAAATAAAAATATATTAAAAGAAAAAAGAGCCCTAACCGGTTTGGCTCCGTGGATAGAGCGTCGGCCTGCAGACTGAAGGGTCCCGGGTTCGATTCCGGTCAAGGGCATGTACCTTGGTTGCGGACACATCACCAGTAGGGGGTGTGCAGGAGGCAGCTAATCGATGTTTCTCTCTCATCAATGTTTCTACCTCCCTTCCTCTCTGTAAAAAAATCAGTAAAATATATTTTTTAAAAAAAGAAAGAAAAAAGAAACTCCATGAGCCACACCAGTGGCATTAAGCTCAATGGGAACAATCTAAAAAGATGAGGCTTTTTTAATAGGGAGCAGCATGGGCTAAGGGGAGGGAAGGCTGACACAAGATCTAGCTCCATAACAGCATGGACAGTTAACAGAATTAAAGGTGTTTTCTGTCACAGCCCTAAATCCACTGTAGCTTGGCTTTATGAGCCCAAATAAATGTAATCACTTTAAGCAGCAATAACTATACAATGGAAAATAGGGATTTTCCTTTTCCAAGGTTTCTGTATTTCTGTGGCTTAGTGAAGAGGATCTCTGGTTCTCGCCCCACCTCTGCTGCTCCCCTCCTGGCTCTTTAGCAAGGCCCCTACGAATCTGGTCTCAGTCCAGTGTCACACATGGGGATTAAATAAGAGGCTCAGTAAGGTCCCATCCAGCTCCACAACCACAAAGGAGAGGTGTATAACAGAGTTACTTACGGATGCTCAGGATTTACCTTAAAGGAGAATTATCATGGAGCGACCGCCTCCTCACAAGTTCCCAGTGAGAGCCAGTTAGAAGCAGTCCCAGAGCACTGCTCTGACACTACCTGGTCATCCGATGTGCTCCCTGCTGGCCTCATTCACTATTCTAGTCACTAAAATGCCTGAGTGCCTAGTAAGTGCCCCTCTATGGCAGTGCCCTGCAGCCTCCTTCTTGAGGGCAAGGCTCTCCTGCTGCCACTCACCTTGGGCCTTGTCAGCCCTTGGTCCCTGAAGTCGTCATCGTCGCCCACCCCAAGTTTCCGGCTCCGGCGCCTGCTGTTGTTGCCAAGCACCTGGGCGTTGGCTTTGAGGACATGGTTTACGGCGTGCAGGCAGTACACGTGGCGGATCTCCTCCCCGTTCTTCAGGGCGGTCCTTTCTGGGTAGAACAAGTCCTGGTAAGAATTCATAATCAAGAACAGCTCTTTCTGGAGCGGTGTGAAGGGGCTACTTGATTTCTGGGGACCGGAGAGAAACTGGCTGTTGGTCTTGGTCCAGGTGGATTCCAGAGGCTTCTGGAGATAAAGTGCCTTTAGGTCAAGGTCCTTTGGGGGTTTAAATGTTTCCAACTTCTGAAACTTGGATGAAAAGACAAGCTGACCCAGAGTGGGCCACTAGGAGAGAGACAGAGCAAGAGCTATGTTAGAAATGAATTATAATACCTCATATTCACATAGTACTTTATAATTTACCAAGATCTTTCATGATCTACAGTAATCTCATTCAATCCTCACCACAACCCTGAATGCTCTTCTTACAATGTAGGAAATGCTGAGGGTCAGAGAGGTTATATGATTCAGACAAATGTTTTCAAACAGTGTTACAGAAATTATAGCAATGGAGAAGATTAGTGGTCACCAAGGATTGGGAATGGGGTCAGGGGAAACAGGAGGGATCTGTATGGTGCTGGAAATGTGCTGCATCCTGACTGTGGTGGAGGGTAGGGGAACCGACTCATGCAACAGAACAGTACAGAACTAAACACACACACACACACAACTGAGCAGGAGTAAAACGGAGGACATGTGAGTAAGACAGGTAGACTGGCTCCCACACTCCAGCTTCTCAGTCCCTTTCTAGCTACACCTGTGCCCCGCGAGGCTCCTCCAGCCTCCCTGTGTCCTGCTCCCCATCAAGCCACCCACCACTGGTGTATGTCCCGTATTCAGGGAGACCGCTAACACCCAAGCCCACTGCTTTGCTTAGAGCTTCCCTCCCCCGTGACTGAGCAACACTTACTTTTAGCTCATGGGTAGTTTTGGGATTTGTGGCAATGGCCTGAATTTCTTTTTCTTTCAGTTCCTTGTTTACATGGTGCAGAAATGGATCTAATTGGGAAATACAGACTGTCAGACACTTGGAGGAAAGGGCAGGCCTGTTTGGGTCTTCCCCTGTGAATGACACGCTGCTCTTCATGGTAACCCCCTTTTCCCATCTACTTTCCCCAAACTCGCTCCCGGTCCAGAGCTTGAACGTTTCTGACAGCTTCATTTTCTAAAGCACTTTTCCAATCACACTGCTTCCCAGCTCAAAAACCTTCAAAAAAACTCCTCATTCTGAAATTTGGGGAATTACACGATGTACCTTCAATACCCCATGAATTACACAGCCCTCAAATTCTTCTGCCTCTGTTGCTTTCTTTCCATTTTATTTTTATTATTATTATTATTATTATTATTATTATTATTATTATTTTGTTGTTAATCTTCACCCAAAGATATTTTCCCATTGGTTTTTAGAGAGAGTGGAAGGGTACAGGAGAGAGAGAAGAGCAAGGGAAGGGTAGAGAGGAAAATGCACAGTACTTCTCTTTCTCTTCCTTCCCTACTTGGGAAGAAAGTCGACGTCTTCAATTATGAAAATGTGAGGCCTGGGAACTGGCCTCCCTGCCTACCAGTCTTACGCTGTCTGCTTTCCCCAGCAGCTCCCCCACCACACTCCCGACTCCCAGGGCTGCCTAACCACTGAAAAGCACAATCTGGCTGCTAAAGTATCTGTTTTTATTGCTACTCATTCCAGCAACAAGAGATCAGTGTGTGTGAACCCACAACCTCTGTACTAAGCACCTGATGAATTCTGATCTTGTGATCCTTTCAGAGAACAGTTGCCTCCACTTTCCTCTTCGAGAAAATTGGTTTCCAGGCTGAAAAGTGACTCGTGTTTTGTATCTGTAAACTCCTCCGGGGATTCTTGTTGTGATGTGCCAGGTGGCTCGTCCCCATCTTTTTCCTTGGGGTCAGCAGGTAAGACGTTACCTCCAATTTTGAGAAACATTTTGTAAATACAATTATACATCTGTTGACAAATAAAATCTAATTCCTTAGCTTTTTTCAACACTGATGTTCATTGCCATCATTTACTTTTAAGCAAATTCAGGCGGAAAACAAATTTCAAGATTAAGCTCGATTGTTGGCCCAGTTCCACTTCTAGGAACTTATTCCAAGATGGTAACTAGACAAAGTACACTAAACTCTACATGTAAGACAGTCAACGCAGCACTGGGTTTTACAAGAAATTACTGGGAAAAATGATTCCATCATTGTCTATCAATGGGGTAATTAAGTTACCACATATCATTACAATGGAATACTATCCAGTTAAGAAGCTAATTTTGAGTCCAGTTACACACATGGAAAAAAGTCCATGTGATATTACTAAAGAAAAAGTTAGATAACAGAAATGTATGAGATCATTTACACATACACACAGATACATGTACATACTCGTCCTTCTATGCATATCTATAAAAAGTAGCCTGGCAAATTTTATAATGCTAAACATGTTTATCTCTAGGTGGTGGGATATAGGTTAACTCTACTACATTCTTGGATTTTTACAGTAACTATATATGCTACTATGTTCTTGGATTTTTACAGTAAATATATGTTACTTTTATAATTGAAAAAAAAAACACAAAAAAAACTTGATTTTGAAAAATCCAAAACGGGAAAGAAAAATGGAAAATCAAAAACAAACAAAAAACAAACACCTCTAAATCTGAGACAATAAATTTTTATCCTATTAAAACTAATGAATTAAAATACTATGGATGAATCCCAAAAGGAGGAGCTAAAGGAGCCAGACACAAAAGGCTACATGCTTCCACTTACATAAACTTCTAGAACCGGCAAAACTAATCTCCAGTGAAAGAAAGCAGGTCAGTGGTTGCCTGATGCCTGGGGTGGGAAACTGACTGTAAAAGGACGAGACAGAACTTTTTGGAGCTATTGGAAATGTTCCTAGCTTCATTGTGATGATAATAACACAGGTGTATACATTTGTCAAAATCCATTGAACTATATACTTAAAATGGGTCCACTTTATAGCATGTAAATCAGACCTCAATAGCCAAAACCGGTTTGGCTCAGTGGATAGAGCGTCGGCCTGCGGACTGAAGGGTCCCAGGTTCGATTCCAGTCAAGGGCATGTACCTGGGTTGCGGGCATATCCCCAGTAGGAGATGTGCAGGAGGCAGCTGATCGATGTTTCTCTCTCATCGATGTTTCTAACTCTCTATCTCTCTCCCTTCCTCTCTGTAAAAAATCAATAAAATATATTTAAAAAAAAAAAAAATCAGACCTCAATAAAGTTGATTTTAAAGTTAAAGAAGAAAGAAACCCAGGACTCTTAGTGAGAAAGGGTTCCTTTAAGCGTGCAATCCCAGCCCTCCTCCGAAGCTTTCCCTTGTTAATTACCCTGGCTCAGCAGCTCTTCACCACCTTATATCCAGCTGGTCCATGAAAACCTGCTTCTTGAAAAATTTTGTATATTTGTGTCTCTTTTCCATTAACCTAGGTTTTCTGAGGAACGGAAATCTCTTTAATAAATTGAGACAATCGCAAAAGCAAAATTATGTTCTCTTTCCTCTATTAAGGGAAACTTTGGTGAAGCCCTGGAAATCCTTAGCAAAAATGCTAACTCTGCATGTTTCTCGCAAGAAGGTCCTATGTTGCCCTGACCGGTTTGGCTCAGTGGATAGAGCGTCGGCCTGCGGACTGAAGGGTCCCAGGTTCGATTCCGGTCAAGGGCATGTACCTTGGTTGTGGGCACATCCCCAGTGGGGGGTGTGCAGGAGGCAGCTGATCGATGTTTCTCTCTCATCGATGTTTCTAACTCTCTATCCCTCTCCCCTCCTCTCTGTAAAAAATCAGTAAAATGTATATTAAAAAAGAAGAAGAAGAAGGTCCTATGTTTTCATCAGACTCTCAAAGTTATTACTAAGGCCAACAAGTTTAGGAATCTCTGCTTTGGATCCACATGCTTTCACCAAACTCACACAGTACTTGGCACTGTGCCCAGGGGACAACTTGTCTATGGTCCTGGCACAGAGGATGAACCCACACGGTACACACTTACTCTCCCGCATCCCAGCAGGTGCTGCCGCTGTCTCCTCCTCCACACTGACATCGCTGTCACCATCTTCACTGTTCATTTCTGCCTCAACTAGAGCTGCTTCTTCTTCTTCTTCTTCTTCTTCTTCTTCTTCTTCTTCTTCTTCTTCCTCTTCCTCTTCCTCTTCCTCAGAAACATTCTTTAATGTGGCGAGCAGTTTGTGGTACCCAGAAACTTGTTCTGGTTCACTCTCTGCTTCACTTTCAGAGTTTGAAGAATCTGAGCTCTCTGACTAAAAAGGAAATGGGAGTTTTAAAAACAAAATTATATTGTTCTTGTTGCTACCTTATGGCTATCATCAGGTCAACAGCATAACAGGCTCAGACTTTCCTAAATGAAAATGAGCTTTTCTGCAAATACGCAATCCTGTCGATTCAAGCAAGCCCAGCACCACATGTACTTAAATAGTTAATCTAGCTAAGACCCTAACAAGCATGTCAAACTCTCAGCCACACGCCTCATTTAAATAAAGGCACCACACCTAAATAAAAGAGGCCTGCGAGTTTGACATGCTTGCCAGCTCTTAATCTTCTTTGAACTGCTAATGTTCCACACGGGAAGAAAGCTAACATAAAGCTATAGGTTATGGAGATCTAACTTATTTAAAGGAGCAACAGGAAAATTACAATACAAAAAAAGAATGCAGGCTGGTAAGCATCCCTAGCAGGTTCTAATAGATTGATCCAACTCTGGTTGCTGTTGAAGTTATCACAGTGGCATTTTAATGACACCTGCATTCAAAATGAAGCAATATCACTAAAATAACAGCTTACATCTAGAATCGAAAAGAATGGAAATGTAGCCAAACTTTATTACTATGTACTAGAGGCCCAGTGCATGACATACGTGCACGGGGGGGGGGAATGGATCCCCTCAGCCCAGCCTGCGCCCTCTTGCAGTCCGCGACCCCCTCGGGGACACCACCATAGCTTCGCTCACCAGCCCCAGCCGGCTTCTCTGGCTGAGTGGCGCTCCCCCTGTGGGAGCTCACTGACCACCAGGAAGCAGCTCCTGCATTAAGCATCTGCCCCCTGGTGGTCAGTGCGCATCATAGCGACCAGTCAATTTGCATATTAGCCTTTTATTATACAGGAGGAAGGATAGGATAATTTTAAAAGTAACAACCCAGAACCAACTATCATAAAGAAGGCAGAAAGCATTACCAGTTGACAAATCTGCGGTTTTGCTTCCTTGCTGGAAACCCTGAGAAGAAACAGGTAACGGTTAACTGTAAGTATGTTGCAATTAGGAAAACGTCTGATGACACAATTATCAATGACAAGGGCAGAACACACCATCATAAACACAGTATAACTATAGAGTCGTGTAAAAACAACACGTGCACTGGGACTGCGACGGTAAGAAGACAGCAAACAGGTAACAACTGACCAATCAAGAATCTCCCGAGGTCACGTGGCAAACACTAGCGTCGCACAACTACGGGCTCTGCTCCCCAAGAGGCTCAAGGTGGCAAACAGGGGGCCTCGGGCTCACCGCGTCTGGCCCCTGCCTTCACCAGAGCATCCCTCTAGGCCCCGGACCACGCGGCCCGGCGGTGGGAGCAGCCTGGCACGCAGAGGAGCCCACGACCACCCACACTTCAGTCCGAAGGTCCCAAGCCATTGTTTAAAGAAACGAAAAAGAAATCAATGCAGGAAATCTCCCTCCATACAAAAGCCGCCGCCGCCGCGGGAGTGCGGTCCGGCATGGAGTTACGGGCTCAACAGAGGAGGGAGACCCGTCTCCGGGGGGAGGCCGCCAGCATCCGCCCAGCGCAGGCCCCGCGGGGCGCACCCGAGTACCCCTATAGTGGGGCGCGCCCCGAGTACCTCTATAGTGGGGCGCACTCCGAGCACCCGGGCGCCGGGGAGGCGTGGGGCGAGGCGGGAGCTGCTCCTCGCCATCCCCGGGAGGCCGGCGGCCCAGCCCGGGGAGCGGCTCCCCCCGACCCCCGCCTCCCGCCCCGAGAAAGACGCTGGCCCCTCCGTACCTGTCATAGAAGGGATGCTCCTCGCCGAAATCCCGAAGGTGCTTCTTCTGCTTCTTGGTCAGGGTGCTGAGCAGCTGGCTCTGGCTGCGGCTGCTGCGTTTACCCATCGCGAGAAAGCCAGTTCGTCCGCCTTCCAGAGCCGCGCCAGCCACCGCCAAACTGTTCCTTCTGCTCACCAGCGTGGGCTCGCCCGCGGCGCTTTACGGCGGAGGCAAGCTGCCATAAAGCAGACCCGCTTTACGGCGCGCTTTTACGACCGGCGTTAGAAATTCCTAGTCCCGACTCTGCCCCCTAGCGAGGGGCGCTGGAAGCACAGGCACGCGTGCCCTTGTGTTCTAGTCCTAGAAAGTGGGCTGGTAGGCTTGGGGCTGCCAGGGCTGAATACATGGGGGGCCTGCTCAGTGCTTCTGTTTGTTTGGGTTGTGGGAGTCAGCCTGCATGAACATGTTGTAGCGGAGATGATTATATTATACCATGATGAAAATACCAACCTAGCCCTGGCCGGTTTGGCCCATTGGATAGAGCAGGGCGGACCGAAGGGTCCCGGGTTCCATTCCCGTACAGGGCACATGTCTGGGTCGCAGGCTGATCCCCACTAGGGGGCGCGTGCAGGAGGCGACCGATCCATGATTCTCTCTCATTGATGATGTTTCTATCTCCCTCCCTCCCTCTCCCTTCCTCTCTGAAATAAATAAAAATATATTTTAAAAAATTCCAACCAATATGTAAGGGTGCCCACACATCTCACTTCATCTTCACAACACGGTAGAACTAAATTGCCTGTCTCAAAAATCAACTCTTGGCAAAGGGGGATGGACAACATTTTAAGGTGGAGTAATCTATAACAATAAAAGTATAATATGCTAATTAGACCGGACAGCCGAACGGCCTTCCAGATGAAGCTGGGGCTGTGAGGGCTTAGGCAAGCCACCACGGCTGCAAGGGCTGAGCCCCTTGTACAAATTTCGTGCATCGGGCTATATATATATATATATATATATATATATATATATATATATAATAATTAATACATATTATAATCTATATATATATAAAATAATTAATTTCAGAGAGAGGACAAGGGGATAGAAACATCAATGATGAGAGAGAATCATTGAATGGCTGCGTCCTGCTCACCCCTACCGGGGATCGAGCCTGCAACCCAGGTACATGCCCTGACCAGGAATCGAACCTGTGATCTCCTGGTTCATGAGTTGACGCTCTACCACTGACCTACAACGGCTGGGCTATTTTATATCTTGATCGTGGCGGTAGTTAACTTTGACTACAATTACTCGGAGTAATCACACTGTACTTTTAAAATTGCTGAATTTTGATGTATGTAAATAATAACCTCCATAGACAAAGAGGAAAGAGCCTAAAACAAAACAGGGCTAGTACTCCAGGGACATGCCACACGATGAACACAATGACACTTTCCTCCTCATGATCCCTATATAAGATCACGTCCTATAAAAACAAAGTGGTAATTCATACACCACAAAATTCCCCTGAATTTTTAAGGTGAAACAGGAGCCTGTTCACTTGGCTCTGCTATGGGAGCCGGGAAGGGGGTGCTTCTGTGGGAAAATGTGAGCTTTGCCCAGTACCATGTCACACCTGCAGAAGTGGTACTGGCACTATGAGGATCACAGTCACGTCCTCCTAATTGTTTCTGGGAGGCTGGGGTGGGGTAGGGAGGGCAGGTAAGGGAGTACCAAGGAAATATGCAAACCGAGGGTGGTGCCAACAGCTGGCCCAGCTAAGGAAACCATAAACAAACAGACATCTGTCTTCTGTCTAATGTCAAGATAAAAGGCACAGTCACTTATGCTAACAAGAGGCTGTGTGCAGAATGTCATCATATATTTTAAGGCACCGGCCACAGCCTAACCTGGCTGAAACAATAAAGACTCAGTCTGTTTTGTCTTCCGCCCACCCTATGCCCAGTGCCCCAGCTTCCCCCCCCCAGAGGCAACCAGTGTCTTGGTGTTCTTCCAGAAATCGTCTATAAAAAGCCATGCTCTTGAGCAATTGAGGTGACTCCTTACCCTCCTGGTTTCCACATCCTTGTGGTCCTGTGGACAGGTCTAGACTGTTCCCAGGTTTAGGCAAAAATGTGCCCAGCTCCACCCAGCGGGCCTCCTCATTGGTTCACTGAGCAATGGAAAAGGGGCCCCTCGTCTCCTGAAAATACCTACATTAGCCTCTGACAACGTAAAAGGAGACCCTTTGTGACATTTTAACCTGAGACTCCAGAATTTGAACATTTTTTTTTTCACATCTGAAGTCAAAGTCCTCTTAGTAAAAGCCACACAAAGAAGATGTATGTGCCAACTAGTGAAGGCCCTGGGGAGAGCGCAATGAAGGCAACATTTGTTCCTCAATTTCTGCTTCCCACAGGTGGCCTTTCTTTTCCTTCCTCTAAGGGTTTTCTTTCACCTTTACCCTCAGACACACAGTATTTTCAGGGCTAAAGGCCGTCCAGGAAATAATCTTTGATGCTAGTTCACAAAGAGAGGTTCCTGAATTAATGTTACTTCTCCCAGGGTATTTGCAATTCCCCGGACACTTCCCAGGATAATGCCTAGGCATCTCTTAGGACAAGAATTTCAGAATGTTCAGAAAAGTGTTAATACATTTTTTAAATTAAAAACCTTTTTTGTGGAAAATTTCAGGTATACTCGTATACAAAAGTAGACAAAATGGTATAAAGCCCTCCCGGGTACCCATTGCTCAGCTTTACCAATGATCGACACACGGCTATCTTGTTTCATATACTAGTCTATGCCCACCACTGCCCCTGACACTCCTCTTCCTTATTTTTTAAGTAAATCCCAGGCATCAGATTATTTCATCAGTAAATAGATCACCCTGCGTTTCTAAAGACACAGGTTATTTTTTAATATAGCCACATCAGCGTTATTTTACCTAAAAAAGTTATAATTATTTAATATTGTCATATATCAGGTCAGTGTTCAGATTCTGATCGTCTCATAAACATTTTTTTTAACACTTTGCTGGTTTTTCGTGTTCTAGAGCTCTCTATATTTCTCGTGAATAGGTTGTTGGACCTAGGACTTTTTTTTTCTCCCCAGAAACTGAGTTTTTCTTTTTCTTTCATTTTTTCATTGTTTTAAGAGAGAGAGAGAAAGAAACGTCGATTTGTTGTTCACTTATTTAGGCATTCCTTGGTTGGTTCTTGTAACGTGCCCTGACCAGGAAGGGAACCAGCAACGTTGGTGTATCAGGACGACGCTCTAACTATCTGAGCTGCCTGGCCAGGGCAGACCTAGAACTTGGATCAGACTTCACTGTAGTTGGCATTTTACGTTTCCATCAGGAGGCATATAACGTCTGGTTGCCTTTCACTTTGTGATGTTAGCAGTCACTGGTGCTTAATGTCTAAATTTGTTCATTCATTTGAGATTGCATTCTACTTCTATCTTAAGGGGAGATATTCTAATTCTTTCTTTTTTTTTTCTTCACTAACTTGCTGGACTCCTTCCATAGTGACAGACTTCTTCCTTAGATACATTTTGGTCACCCAATGATACCGTTTACATAGGGAAGGCAGAAGGAGTGCTTGATTCTCTCCCTTCACTGACTAATTCTCAACACCAGGAGTCAATTCACTCGATCTTCTAAGGGTGATTCATCCAGTTTTCGTTTTTATTTTTAGTGTCATTATTAATTCACGGAGTCATGCAAATTGATGCGGTTTAATTCCTTGCAAACATGACAGTGTATGTGGTTTAAGAGAGCTTATTTGATATTCAGCTCTGTATTCCAAAAGACATAAGCAAGCCTTTCTAATGCAAATTACAGAAAGTAAGCTGAGATTCTCAAGGGGCAGGGTGGGGAGGTCAAAGCTTGAGGATAGGAATCAAGATACCGGGGGATGTTTGCATTTTGAAATGTATGTAATAACAGGGCACACAGATTCAAGGCATGTTGACAGGGAACCATATATAAGCCAAAGGTATGACTCTCTAATGATGTAAATTCAGACATCTCAGCCACTGATTTGGGAAGATTCTAGGGAAGGGCTCTGTGTGTGTGTGTGTGTGTGTGTGTGTGTGTGTGTCCAGGCATCTGAGTTTACTATGTACTGGTACATGCATGTGTCTGTATACACCCCAGAGCAGTCTAGCCTGTCCCTGGGTGTGCTGGCAGAAACCAGTCTTTGCGTGCCCTTATAGTGAAATGAGCTTATTTATTTATTCAAAAAATAGTTAGTAAACACTGTGTGCCAGTGCTACGCCAGCAGCCAAGGTGAGGAGAAAGAGTAAGATCCATGCCGGCCTCCTCAAGGAGTTCACAGTCTTGTCCAGATGTGAGTAAGCACACAGATTATCACAGTACGCTGGGATACATGTTGAACCAATACACTCTGGATACCAAGGACGCAGGGAGGACAGTGTGTGGGATGGGGGCCCGGAGGGGCGTGGGGGAATCTGCTGCCATTGGACATTTGTCAACCAGCCACATTTGTTGAACATTAGTACTGAACTCGAAGTTGCTCTGGATTCTATATCTCAGGCTGTATCTCAGCTGACTTTATAAACACCGTGTGTGTGTTCAAGACAGGATATGAGGGATACAGAACAGGAAATTAGAAAGCTGTGTAATCATCGGGTTCCACAGCGTGGACAGAGCAATAAGCTTTCTAGGTGGAGACTATTTTAGAAAACGAGATTGTGTCTGAAAAAAGGAAAGCTTTGTAATGCATTGAAACGCACTCCGCAGACAGAAATGCAAAATGTCATGTACGCCTCCTACCCTTTCTGTTCATCTGCGCCCGTAAGAAGTTACCCATTGTCAAGCCTGGTGTATGGTGACCTTTAATACATATGTTTCCTCAGGTCTACCAGATGCTGATTTACATTAGGTCTAGCCTAAAACTGAAATGTTTCATCAGATTATATTAATCTAAGAACGAGCGTAAAATTGTGCTAGAGGGGAAAGGTGTATATTCCTCCCTCTAGTGGAGTACTGGTGTAACTACACTCTATATTTTATATTTTCTGGCAAAGGCACAGCATGCATATGTTCATTCATTTATCAAACATTTATTAAACAGCCCTGACCGGTTTGGCTCAGTGGATAGAGCGTCGGCCTGGGGACTGAAGAATCCCAGGTTCAATTCCGGTCAAGGGCATGTACCTTGGTTGCGGGCACATTCCCAGTGGGGGTTGTACAGGAGGCAGCTGATCGATGTTTCTCTCTCATCTGATGTTTCCAACTACCTACCCCTCTACCTTCCTCTCTGTAAAAAATCAATAAAATATATATAAAAAAATAAAAAACATTTATTAAACAGACACCGTATTCCAGGCCTGAGGCATCCGGGATTTAAAAAGCTCAGACCTGCCCTAGCTCTCATCAGCCTGCTGACTGAAGGGTCTTGGGTTCGATTCCAGTCAAGGGCAGGTACCTGTACCTTGGTTGCAGTCTCCATGCCCCTGGCCAGGGCGGTGTGGGAGGCAACCAATCAATGTTTCTCTCTCTCTCTCAGTCTCTCCCCCTCCCTTCCACTCTCTCTGAAAATCAATGGAAAAAGTCCTCAGGTGAGGATTAACAGCAAATAAAAAATAAAATCAATTAAATAAAAAGCTCAGACCTCAGATCTTCAGAGCTTGAAGATCTCATAATCTAGGTAAGGAAACAATGCAATTAACATCATTACGTTGTCATAGGCTAAGTGCTGTATTACAAGGAGGTACAATGGCTTATGGGAACCCGGAGGATAAAGAAACACTCTGGCCCAACGGGTGTGGCTCAGTGGTTGAGCGTTGACCTATGAACTAGGAGGTCACGGTTCAATTCCCAGCCAGGGCACATGCCTGGCTTGTGGGCTCGATCCCCACTGGGGGATGTGCAAGAGACAGCCAATCAATAATTACTCCTCATCATTGATGTTTCTATCTCTCTCTCCCTCTCCCTTTCTCTCTGAAATCAATAAAAATGTATTTTTTAAAAAAAATGCTCTGCTGGAGGGCAGAGGGAGGGTTGGGGCTAGGTTATGCGGAAGTATACAGCGGGTGTGCCCAGTCAGGGTTTCCTGGGTAAACATGCAAAGGAAGGAATGTTCCTGAGAGAGGGAATAGCATGAGCAAAGGTGTCAGGATGTGTTTGGAGACCTGCACGTGGTCTGTGTTGGATGGATGAGAGGGAGAGGTCGCAGGGGCAGGCAGGTGAGGATCAGTCCAGTAAAGGCCTTTCACGCCTCGCTGGGGAGTTCGGCCCAATCCCATATAAGGTGAGGGGCCATTAAAGGATTTCAAGCAAGGGGGTCATGTGATCAGATTTGGACCTTAGAGAAATAACAGTGCTGTCTGGTGCGGGTGACAAGGCTGTTCAATCTTCCTTGCCAGTGGCCCCCCCTGGGCAGCAAGTTTGTTATTGATGCTGCCCACCAGCACTTAGGAGACTTTTTCATCTTCTTACCAAATGCTTCCTCCCACTTCTCAACAGCTCTTGACATTGGTATCTCAAGTTTCTCCTGCTGCAATCACCCTCAGCTGAGACTGTCGTGAATTCAGTTTTTGAAATCCATGCCGTCCACGCTAGTCCCTGTGTGGGGCATGGTCACAGCAAGAGGGGATCCCAGGGGTCTGCTCCCCACAGCTGTTCACTTCTGTCCCCGCTTTGTCCTTGTGACCTCAGAGCCCCTGCATCATCTGCCCAACAAATGTCAAGATCATCATTTGATTTGCATGTGAAGCCTGAGATTTTCACTAGACGGCCAATGGGGAAGTCCAGAAGGTAGTCAGACATGAGTGCACAGCTGGGGTTCAGAGGAGAGAGAGGCAGGGTGCCGGGATGCCCATGCACCATGGGAGTGGTCAGCGTGTGAATGACACCAGGTGAGTTCACCTATCATAAATACAGAGAAGAGGCCTGAACTGAGCCCTGGGACCCTGCACACTTAGGAGCCTGGGGGAGTAGGGGTGGGGAAGGAGCTGCCCTGGGGGAGCAGGAAAGCTGGTGTTGCCTCTCATTGACTGACTGACCCTTCTCAGGAAAGGCAGGTTCACAGAGTGGTTACAACTGAGCACCGGACTCTGATGGACCTGGATTCGCATCTCAGTCACATATTAAGTACTAAACGAGTCTGCACTTCCTATACGCCGCTGCGTCCAGTGTAGGACCTGGAGGGCGTCTGCTGAGTAACCATGGATTGCACACTGGACCTACGGGGAGCGCCATGGAATTTACAGGAAAAGCAAACACAGGCCCTGGTCTCGGGCTGCTCACAGTCAGGAGGAGGGAGCCGTTCTAGAAGCAGATGATCCTCCATGACATCACAAGGTGACACATTCCTTAATGCAAGTGTGAGTCATGCACGAAGAGAACAGCCAGGAGGAGTCATTCATCCAACCTGCGATGCTGGCTCAGAAGTGATGCATTTTTGCTCATTTGTCTTTTCTATGTCATCCTGCCCCCGAAAATCTCCACTCTCCTGAGCACCACCAGTCAATCTGTGTGACAACATGTGATTTGTTTGTGTGGTTTTTTTCTTTTGGAGAAAAGAAGTGAAGAAGAAAAAAAACATCCTCGGAGTAGAATGGTGGTCCTTACTTTTTCAAAAATGAAGTGAAGAATTACCATCCTGCATGAAATCGAGTCTCTACCCGCCTATTAGCCCAAATCCACAGCTGCTGCTGAAATGCTCTCCCACGTTTGACTGTTACCAGATCACTCCCCACTGCAGCCCTCCCATCGCAGCCACCGAAGGAGCCTGTGGCATCTGGAGGGCGGGGCCTCCGCGATCTTATTCTTTCTCCTGGGGCCATGACTTACCTGCCACTTGGGGGTGGGGGGCCGCTTTTCCTTTAGTTTAGGTCGTGAAAACCCAAGAATATCAGCCCTGCATTTAACAACCATCCATTTCTCATGAGCAAGATTTTCTAGAGTCCTCTGCTGCTTTTCATTTCTCCCTGTTTTCTTCCCTATGCGTTCATGGGGAGAACTAAGAATTTTATATTTTTTAAAACTAAATCTTTATTGTTGAAAGTATTACATGTCCTCTTCTTTCCCCCATTGACCCCTTCTACTCCCCCCGCTCCCCCCAGGCCTTCACCACCCTATTGTCTGTGTCCAAGGCTTATGCATATATGCATACAAGTTCTTTGGTGGATCTCTTCCCACCCATCCACCCACCCCCACCTTCGCTCGGAGATTTCCCAGTCTGTTCCATGCTGCTATGTCTCTGGATCAATTTTGGAGAAGTAAGAATTTTAGAAATAAAATTTGCAACTAAAGAGGTCCTTCCTGCGTGCGTGATAAACTCTTGCGCTGAAAGCTCCGCAGAGGCAGGTTGCAAAGTTGTTGGGCACTCCATCAAGTGCAGAAATGCTAACCTTTCTCTGCAAACTCAGAGCTCCTGCAGCTCTGCCTAAAGACTCCAGGAGGGATTGGGGGCCAGATGAATATTTGGATCAGTGTGTCCGCCAACCTAACGTGACTGGAACCACAGCCCCTCTGATGGCTGGCAGGGATGATGGTGAGTGTATTCGGGGCGGGGCAGTTCTAGAGGAGAGGGAGATGAGGGTAGCGTAGGCAAGGGTTGAGCATTGTCATCTGGGTCCAAGGAGGAAACTTTTTTTTACTTTTCTTTTATTATATTTTTTATTTCAGAGAAGAAGGGAGAGGGAGAGAGAGAAATATCAATGATGAGAGAATCATGGATCGGCTGCCTCCTACACACCCCACACGGGGGATCGAGTCTGCAACCCGGGCATGTGCCCTTGACCAGAATCAAACCTGGGACCCTTCAGTCCACAGGTTGACACTCTATTCTCTGAGCCAAACCAGCTAGGGCAGGAGGAAACTTTTTCAACCACACACGCATATACCCTGAAATCAGTGTTTTCTCCTCAGAAAGCTAAACAGAACAAAACAAACAGGATTCGTGCCCTTCCGAAGGGATTCCAGAAAGCCTCCCCCCTTCCTCAAAGAAGCAGCGGTGTCTGCTAAGAGCCTGGGGAATCGAGAGAGGAGAGAGAGAGAGGGAGAAGAGAGCGCAAGAGAGATGCTAATTTGGTACAACCCACTCGGTAATGTTGAGGATGCCATACCTTTAGGGAATAAAACTGTGGCTCTTTCTGTGGAAGAGTTGACCGCCTTCTTGGGAAAAGCAAGAGAACACATTCCTAGAAATAATTAAAACAGATCTCACTCATTTGTGGAATATCGTGAACAACATAAACTGATGAACAAAAATAGAACCAGAGACATAGAAGCATCGAACAGACTGTCCAGCCTATGATGGAAGCGGGGGTGGGGGGTGGGGTGGGGGGGAGTGGGGGGGTGGGGAGGGAGGGAGTAAGAGGTCAACCAAAGGACTTGTATGCATGTGTATGAGCATAACCCATGGACACAGACAGTAGGGGGGTGAGGGCATGTGTTAGGGGGTGAGGGCAGCCAGGGAGAGGAGAATAGGGGGAAAAGGAGACTCATATAATACTTTAAACCAGTGGTTCTCAACCTTCTGGCCCTTTAAATACAGTTCCTCATGTGGTGACCCAACCATAAAATTATTTTCGTGGCTATTTCATAACTGTAATGTTGCTACTGTGATGAATCGTAATGTAAATATCTGATATGCAGGATGGTCTTAGGCGACCCCTGTGAAAGGGTCGTTCAACCGCCAAAGGGGTCGCGACCCACAGGTTGAGAACCGCTGCTTTAAACCATAAAGGATTAAACAGTTTTTGAAAGAAAGAATTAAAACAACAAACTGCGTTCAAGGCCTCTGGGCATGACCTTCTGCTGCCCTGGTGACTAGTGATGACCAACCTTTGGAGGGAAATACACGCCCTCTCAGACCGTCTCTCGCACAAGAACAACCTGATTCTTGGAATCAAGGAAGAGTTTGCACTTAGTGGTCTGGGCATTTGGGTCAAGAGATGAGATGACAGCAGCTGGCACCCCTTCCATATGGTCCAGAGCTGGGGTGGAAACAGTAGCCCCAGGCTTTACCATTCAGCAGGTGTTACTGACCCAGGAAAGGAGGAGCAGATATGTCCCAGGAGAGTGTGGCTACTGAGTCCGGAGAGATGGGTGCCTTGTTGTGGTGAAGAATCACCTGAAAGGGTAAAAACAAGTTTAAGTCAGGGTGGGTGGGCACAGGGACTAGGGCTTCTAACCCAACCCCAGTATTGGATTAGAAGAGGTTGGCCATCTCCTGAAAGAGCAAGGGAGGTACTTTTTGCAAGAAGTGAATGCCTGGCAGGCATGGCTCAGTGGTTGAGCATCAACCGATAACCAGGAAGTTATGGTTTGATTCGGGTCAGGGCACATTCCCGGGTTGTGGGCTCGATCCCCAGTAGGGGCCGTGCAGGATTCTCTCTCCTCACTGATGTTTCTCTCTCTCTTTCTCCCTCTCCCTTCCTCTCTGAAATCAATAAAAATATATTAAAAAAAAAAAAAGAAGTGAAGCCCCCCCGGTTTCTACAGGGCTATGAGAAAAGTCACTTTTAATGATGTTAATTACAACAACAGAGACTTCATTGCCCAGGAGAGCTTTTCATCTTCAAAGGGGCTCCAGGATGGAGCATTAACCTGACATGAAAGTCTGCAATTTCAGAGCTGCAGGGAGAGGGGCCCAGGCTGTGTGGGCTGCGGGGCCCAAGGAGCAGGTGGGGAGCAGGTCAAGGCAAGGCTGTGTGCCCAGAAACTGGCCCTTGCCTCACTGATATTGAAGATGTGGCAGTCGGGGGGTGGGGGGGTCAGCCTCAGTTCAGTTCTCCCAAGCCCTGACCCCTATAGCAGGGCTGCCAGATAAATACAGGACACCCAGTTACATTTGAATCTCAGATAAAGAATAAACACCTGCATGTACTCCACTCCTCTCTCTCTCTCTCTCTCTCTCTCTCTCTCTCACACACACACACACACACACACACACACACACGCTCTCACATAGCGCATGTGCTCCTACCTGATAGACTCCTACCTGAGAGGTCAGCAAGCCAGGGCGTGTTCCCCCAGGGCCATGGGGAACCAGCGCTCTCCAGACCTGCCCAGACCCGGCCTCTTTCCCACCCTCCCGTGGGAATCAGGGAAAGTCCTCCTGACAGCTGTGGAGGGGCGGGAACTCAGCGTCCATCCTTCTCACCTCCTTCATTGGCCTTGGATTCCAGGATGGAATGGCTCCAGGAATGGAAGGCCTAACGTTTCCCTTTCCTTCCTTCCCATCTTTTCTCCTTCACACACTGACATCCACCCCACCACCCTGGGGCCACCTACCCCCACCGCTCTGAACCGCCGGAATAAAAATTCCTCTGTGACAAAACCCAGAAAGAAAGGGTAAGAAAGGGTCGCTGGGCAGAGAGGCGCTTCTTGCCTGGGCGGTGGAATCCGGGCGGCCAGGACGGGTCTGGGCCTGAAGGAGAAATGCGGCTGGTTTCCTGGCTGGGTGGGAAGGGGAGACAAGCTGGCACTTGCCACTGCACAGAATAGTAACTGGGAGGTGGGGATCCAGCTCTGAACCAGAGCGAAACTCCCGGGGCCTCCAGCCATTGACTCACTCCCCGAGTTTCCCAGGCCCCTGAAGCTTAGATCCAGCCCCTGGCTCAGTCAGGGTCAAGGACAGAGCTGTTACTTTCTTCACGCCCCCAGGATAGACAGATGGTCACACACATCCTGGGATATGGCTGTTAATCAGGCTGTGAGCAAGATGAACATTCCGAAGTTCCCCTCGTGACCTAAGAGAAAGGGCAGGAGCGAGACCCGTGGGGCGGGGTTCTGTCAACTGAGTGGATCTTAGTAGAAATCTTGACTCATTTTAGAAGCCTCGGGGCTGGTGCTCTGTTTCCCCAAGTCCCCCTTCCCTGGCTCGACTATTTTCCCACACCCTTCCATTTCTAGCTCTGCAGCTGCCTTGCCCGCTTCTGCGAATCATGTTTTGTAAATAATGAACAGAAACAGCTCTGAAGCCACCAGGCTGCCCCAGGGGACTTGGTGGGCCAGGCACCTGGCCAGGGAAGGCCTGCAGGGCCTTCTCTGGATTTGAAAGGCTACCGCTAGCAGCTCAACTAAGCAGATGTCACTGTGCCAGGGGAGGGACAGGTGGTGTGTGGGCTGCCTCGGTCTCTGATTCTTAGGTCTGAACAAAATAAGAGTCCCAGAGAGTGGGATCAGAAGTTTCCCAGGGGGGTTAACAACAGGTGGGGCCTCACCGAGGATGCTGGTAACAGGTGGGAACAGCTCGGGGGTGGAGGGTGGTGTAAGGAACTGATGCAGCCCTGTTTCCACTCTGAGTCCATCTTTCTTGCCAGTCATTGTGTCTATTTCAAAGTTCAGAGATTTGAACTTGAACCTGAACGTTGCCACTTCCCATGTGACCTGTATCCTCCACAAGCCTGATTCCTCAAGTGCAAAATACACATACTAATAGTGAACCTATGTGTATATGTATTCAGTGAACATGCGTTGAACACCAATTGTGTGCCGGGCCCCATGTGCGGCAAGTACGGGGAGCACAGAGGAAACGGGACGACGTCCCCATCCTCCAGGACAGCAGCTCCTGTGGGATGTTTCATATGGCACATGTAAGTCGGAAATTTTTTTAAAATATTGTTGCAAGCATATAAAGAGTTGGGAGATTTTACCTCAATATCTAGATTTCCCAGCGGTGAAACTGGGCCTGTGTTTCTGTATAGCAACCATCAGCCAGAGCTTAGATCTCTGAGGCCTTCCTGACTTCCTGGACCAGGCACCATCTATGACATGCGTATCAGAGGTGACACGCGAACTCATTTTTTTGGTTGATTTTTCTTTGTTAAATGGCATTTAAATATATAACATAAATATCAAAAATATAAGTCTTTGTTTTACTATGGTTGCAAATATCAAAACATTTCTCTATGTGACATGGCACCAGAGTTAAGTTAGGGTTTTTCAAAATGCTGACACGCAGAGCTCAAAAGGTTCGCCATCACTGGCTTAGAAGCTGCTTCCTTTAAAGGAAAGCATGCTGTCCAGCCAGCGTGGCTCAGTGGTTGGGCGGGCGTTGACCTATGAACCAGGAGGTCACGGTTTGATTCCTGGCCAGGGCTTGATCAAACCCTGTGGGCTTGATCTCCAGTAGGGGGTGTGCAGGAGGCAGCCGATAAATTACAATCTCTCATCTTTGTTGTTTTCATCTCTCTCTCCCTCTCCCTTCCTCTCTGAAATCACTGGAAATATGTATTTAAATTAAAAAGAAAGAGAAGACAATAGGAGGCAGTATGTTTTATGAGGGCAGGGATATTGTTTGGCATATACCAAGTGTGCAAAAAATATTTACTAAATGATGAATGAAGGACTGATGCTTGTGTCTCATGCAAGATGGACCCAGTGCTGGGCCTGAGCCTGTCTTAGAAAAGACCTAAACCCTTTTAGCTCTTGACTCTGGGATTCTGCCTGCCAGGGGGTCACATGAGGTCAGCACTGAACGCCTACATCTGTTTGTACATCTTCCCTTCCTTCCTTAATGGGGGTGACCCTCCATGGCCTTTAGGCTTCAGCTTAGTGCAGACTAATGGTGGTTCAGGCTGTAGGAATTCGGGTGTGGTTTGGGCAGGGATGGCTTTTGAATGACTTTTGAATGCTATACAACTCACATTTTTGGTGATGTGGAGAAGTCAGTGTGGGAGGGAGTCTGTCGTGTGAAAATGAGTGTGCCAGTCCCGAGCCACTCAGGAGAGTGGACATCCCTATGGACACCATCCTTCCGTTTTCTGCAGATCCACAGGTCACTGGCTAGGAGGCTAGTCTGGCTTGGAGCTGGGTATGTGGACTATGTTAAGAGAAAGTTCTCACAGTAGAGGGATGGAGGGCTGGGAGGTAGGGCTGCTACTTGGTCAAAGAACCTGTCATTTATATGCTCCCTTGCCTGCCCGTTAGTTGGCCACATCTCCTCAAAGGAATTAAGCACTGGGCTCCAGGATCTGCACTTGGCCCTTGCCCCTGATCCAATCAACAGAAATGAAGCGCTTCACAGCCTTCCTGCCCCGAGAGTAAATATACAGTAACTCACTTCTGAATTCTTCAAGTTTTTATTAAGTGAATGCTGGGTGCCCAGAACTGTGTCAGAGCCCTGCCTAAAGATGGGAGGGCACAGCACCGAAGAAAAAGAACTTTTGCTGAGACCTGTTACTGTCGTATTTATTTCATGTAATTCTCTTGACAGTCCTGTAAAGTAGGCAGTATTCTCAAGCATGAGATGAGGAAACAGGTCCAGGTAGCTCATTCGTACATCTAGCAACTGAAAGAAGGGTAATTTGAACAAGTTGGTTTTTTTTTTTAATATGTTTTTATTAATTTTTAGAGAGAGAGAGAGAAGAAGAAAGAGGGATAGAGAGATAGAAGCATTGATGAGAGAGGGACATCATTGATCAGCTGCCTCCTGCACACCCCCTTCTGGGGAACCAGCTTACAACCCCATCATGTGCCCTGACTGGGAATCGAACCAATGACCTTTTGGTTTCTGGGTCGATACTCAACTGCTGAGCCACACCAGCCGGGCTTAAGACAAGTTTTGATTCATTCCCAAGCACAGGTTGTTTTGGGGAAGACATCAGGGCTGCCTCTAGAACTTAATCGTAGATCTAGGACTGGTTACAATCAGAAGGTGATTTCAGAATTTGTTCAGCTCCTTGGGCTCAGATAACTACAGGACAAACTGTGCTGTCATGGACACTCAGGTCTCTCGACTCCCAAGTGCTCTTTCTTAAAAAAAAAAAAAAGTAATGAGAACATTTTTCTTAAATATTACGCATATCTGCTTTGAAAATCAAATAGTACCGAAAGCTTTATAACCAAAACATCAGCCCTCTCCACTCCCTATATCTGTTGAAAGACTTCATCTCTTAATGCTTTTGTTGAAATATCTCATCCTTCTTAACTCCCTTCCCATGCTTTTTCTCCTGTCTTAACTTTGTGAGTCAAGGTTATCTTTTGAAAATTCCTTCATTATTCTTACCCTGGAATGGACTAGGGAAGGAGAAGAGGTAAAACATTTGGTCAATCAGTCTTATTGAACAGAAGTGCAGTTTCTTACCACACTGCCCTCCCCTACCCCCACCCAAGATTCTATATACCCAGATAACTCATTTTTTCTGAAGGCAGCTCATTGTCCAGTGCTCACGGAGCTTACCCTGAGCCTTGCCCTGTGCCAGGAACTCCTGGCTTACAAGATCCTGGCTGGCCTGTGCCTTGCTGTCTTAAGGACTTGATGGAGCCCAGGAGAGAAGAATTTATGCGAGGAAACAAAGAGCAGATAACACTAGGGATGATCTCCCCAGTCGGCAAAGCACTTGACCAATGTCAGAGAGCCTTTATGTCCACAATCTCACTTCACAGCAGCAAACAATCACTGGGTAGGTTGGTTGGTGCTGACCATGAAGTCAAAATCAGGGCACAGATCTGTCCCAACAGATCCGTGGTTGGTGCTGACCATGAAGTCTCACATGCATGACAGTTGTAGTTTCTTACTGGGCTCCTTTGTAGGGCCAATGGAAGCTTCCTTTGCCAGGGGAGAAGGAAGTGGAGCCTCAGATTGGCACGGAAGGGAAGAAAGAATAGAGGGAGGGCGCCCCGGGAGTAAGGAGGGGTGGGGTGGGCAGCTTCCTTCCAAGTGATTTACTGGGTCTAGTTTTTCCTCTTCCTCCTCCCACTAGATCCAAGTTTGGAATAAAGAAAGCTGCTTCTTTGAGAACATTTGCCAGTGCACAGCTTGGCTTAAGAATAGAGGCTGAGCCCAAGCTGGTTTGAATAGAGCATGGCCTGTGGACTGAAGGGTCCTGGGTTCGATTCCAGTCAAGGGCACCTGCCCAGGTTGCAGACTCAATCACCAGTAGGGGGCGTGCAGGAGGCAGCTGATCAATGAGTCTCATCATTGATGTTTCCATCTCTCCCTCTCCCTTCCTCTCTGAAATCAATAAAAATATATTTTTTTAAAAAATAGAGGCTGAACACCTAGTGGGGATTTTTCCTAAAATGCCGAACCGAAGTCTATTGCATTGCCTGAGTTGGAAAGTGAAATTTATTTATGAATTTATTTCTGGTGCAGCTTCTGCTGCAGAAATAGTGATAATTCAAGGATTTGGATTGCATTCTGGGATAGAATCTATGCAGGGTATGGGGGCAGAGGAAGGGCCAACAACCAGTGCGCATTGAAGTTTAGGCTAGGCCAGTGGTCAGCAAACTGCAGCTCGCGAGCCACATGCGGCTCTTTGGCCCCTTGAGTGTGGCTCTTCTACAAAATACCGACTTCTGCGCATGGGCCACGAAGTTTCAATCGCACTGTATGTGTGTACCCGCACATGGTATTTTGTGGAAGAGCCACACTCAAGGGGCCAAAGAGCCGCATGTGGCTTGCGAGCTGCAGTTTGCCTACCACTGGCTAGAACATTGATGACGAACCTTTTGAGCTCGGCGTGTCAGCATTTTGAAAAACCCTAACTTAACTCTGGTGCCGTGTCACATATAAAAATTTTTTGATATTTGCAACCACAGTAAAACAAAGACTTATATTTTTGATATTTATTTTATATATTTAAATGCCATTTAACAAAGAAAAATCAACCAAAAGAATGAGTCCGCGTGTCATAGGTTCGCCATTACTAGACTAGGCAATGCGTTGGGCTCATCTGTACCTTGGCGCCTTGAAGCAGTTAGGTTGGAGCCAGAGAGAAACCAAGATGGAGGAAGGATTTGGGGTAGACCAGTTGGGCCCCGGAATGCCTTGTAGAAGGCTGGCTGGGGTCTGAGTGCCTCGGGGTGCACAGAATTGGATTGTTCAGCTGGAGGTCCCCACTCCATCTTCAGTAGCCCCAGCAGCCTGCAGCCTTGCCTCAGAGAGATTTGCTATCACTGACTCCAGCAGCCTTAAGCTCTCCTCTGTACTGAGTCACTAAGAGCCTCCCCAGTTGCCATGCCCTCCGCTCTACCAAGAAGAGTGGGATTTGGGCCACATGACTTTACTGTCACGTGATTGACATACAGCCTTTGAGTGATGAAGGAGACCCCTCCTCACCAAGTCAGAACTGCCTGGGGGCAGGAGAGAGGAATTCCCCACTCCTTGTAGTTGTGAATCAGAGCCCCATGTGCTGAAACATACATCCCACTGCCTGAAACTCACACTCAGGAGTGAGTCAGCATTGCCCCATCTGATGGACAGACAATGGAGACATCCCAGGCTCAAGCCGCACTGCGGACGTCTGAATCCTAACAGAGTTCTTCAAGAACATAAAACTGATTTCTCCAGAGCCTTGGAGAGGTTCATTCCCTCGACCAAGCCAGATCTCACCATTCCAAGAGTCAGGAAGTTCTTTCTGATCTCTACCTTAGTTCCTCCTGCTTTCTCCCTTTTCATTAGCTCTTCCGTAGAGTGACACAAGTCTTGGGACTTAGTTTTGTTCCATATAGTATCAAAAATGCCTACATACATGGTGATTAAAAAAAATTAACAACCAGTGCCGTTCTAATCAGAATAGACTCTGGCTGGGGTGCTGAGCCAGGTCCAAGTGGAAACAGCCCTGGGTTTGGGTTCTAATCTTGGCTTTGTAGCTAATTTGCTATCTGACCTTGAGCAAATCACTTGAACTCTCTGGGCCTCAGTTTTCTCACCTATAAAAAGGCGGGATTTGGACTAGAGGTTGCAACCTCATATGCCTACAGGGTCAGGCAGTGAAAGTAAATGAGTGAACCCAATAGGGTTGGGTTGTGCCAACTGTAATGGGTAGGCCCCTGCACATGGGCAGCCATTGCCCGGTGGAACTGCGGCCCCAGGTGTTGAGAGCATTTGATTCTTCGAGAGCTGCCAAGAATCCAGACGCTTATGTGAAGTCTCCCGGTGTGTAAAACACTATGTGGGTCAAACAAATATCTCTAAGCCAGTTTCACCCACAGACTCGAGCAGGGGTGGGCAAACTTTTTGACTCGAAGGCCACAATGGGTTCTTAAACTGGACGGGAGGGCCGGAACAAAAGCATGGGTGGAGTGTTTGTGTGAACTAATACATGTTAACACTGCTGCTTGTGAAGGAGCGGAGGGGAGAGCAAGAGAACCCTCCGCTCTTTCGGATAGAACAGCTGAACGGCCCGGATCCGGCCCGCTGGCCGTAGTTTGCCCACGGCTGGACTAGAGGATTAAAAGGGCTCTCCCAGCTTGAATTTTCTGATTCTAAAATATGAGTCTTCTAAAGATCTTTAAGAAATCACCTTAGTTGTGGAGATTTCAACTAGTGCAAAAGTGAATTCCTGCCTGTGGGTTTATACTTTTACTAAAGGCCTGAAAACGAAATTCGTGCAAGAGTAGGCCTTCCTTCCCCTGGCTGCTGGCATCGGCTTCCCTCTGGCTTCGCCTGGAAGGTCATATGGAAGGACATCCAGTCTAATTAGCATATTACATTTTTATTATACTTTTATGCCATTGGGCCTTTTAATTTATTTTGTTTTGTTAATCCTCACCTGAGGACATTTCCCCATTGATTTTTAGAGATAGTGGAAGGGAGGGGGAGAGAAAGAGAGCTGATAGAGACACATTTATTGGTTGCCTCCTGGACACACCCCAACCAGGGCCGGGGATTGAGCTTGCAACTGAGGTCCGTGCTCTTGACCAGAACAGAACTGGGACCCTTCAGTCCATAGGCTGACTCTCTACCCACTGAGCCAAATGGGCTAGGGTGTGATTGGGCGTTTATCTCCCCTTAAATGACACCCTCCTGGTGGTCCCCTCTGATCCTTACACACACCTGCAGTGGACTTTTCGCTTGGTCTCTGGAGCCTAGCCTTGGGCTATAAGGAAGATGCTGCTTGTCCAGTGAGCTCATCAGCCATAAAGATCTGGCTGTGCTGATGTGATGGCCCCTCCCCTGCATGAAGGCAGAGTTGGTCAGGCAGCGGCTGGCTGAGGCAGGCTTGGGGCTTGCTGCCTTCCTAGGCTTTTGTTGGCGATGTCCCTAAGCTTAATTGGGACTGAGGATCAAGTCCACATTATTACGAATCTGGAGCTCTCCAACCTGCCCGCATTAGTTTGCTAGATCTACTGAACCAATGTACCAGAGACTGGGTGGCTTAAACAACAGAAACTTACTGTCTCCCAGTTCCTGAGGCTAGAAGTTCAAAATCAAAGTGTTTGTAAGGCTGGTTCCTTCTGAGGGCTTTGAGGGAAGGATCTGTTCCAGGCCTCTCCTTGGTTTGTAGATGCTATCTTCTCCCTGTGCCTGTCTCTATGTCCAAATTTCCCTTTTTTATAAGGGCCAGTCATGTTTGAGCAGAATCCACCCTAAGCACCCCATTTTAACTTGATTAGCTCTGTAAGGACCCTATCTCCAATAAGGTCACATTCTGAGATACTGGAGGTTACGGGACTTCAACATTTGAATTTAGGGGGACACACACCATTCAACCATAATACTCCTTCTCCATGGCCCCTCACTCAGTGCTTTAAACTCCAACGCTTAACTACTCTGCTTAATGCCCATTTTTTAAAAAAAAATATATATTTTATTGATTTTTTATAGACAGGAAGGGAGAGGAATAGAGAGTTAGAAACATGGATGAGAGAGAAACATCGATCAGCTGCTTCCTGCACACTCCCTACTGGGGATGTGCCTGCAACCAAGGTACATGCCCTTGACCGGAATCGAACCTGGGACCTTTGAGTCTGCAGGCAGATGCTCTATCCACTGAGCCAAACCAGTTAGGGCTTAATGCCCATTCTTACTGATGACAGCTCAGTGCAGCTGGGGTCTCATGCACTGGTGCACAGCTCACTGTAAGCATGTATTCTGTCCAGACTGGCGATCTCTCCTCAAGCGCCTGTTATGGTATATACGGGCCTTGAATTTCAGGCAATAACCGGAGATGTCATCTTGTTCTGTGAGGCACTGCCTGCATGGTAATTTTTATCCTTATACACTGATAAAAATGGCAAGTATTTATATAGCGCTCGATGAGTGCCAACGACTGTTCCAATCTCTTTATATTAAGTAACTTACTGAATCCCCACAATACCCCTTTGAGCAGGGAGCTATGATTTACCTTGTTCTAGCTCAGGTCAGAAACTGGGGTCCAGAGACCTTAGAAACTTTCCCAAGTCTGTAGTAACCGAAGGAGTTGGGGCTTGAATCCCAATACTTTGAAATGAGATAAACTACTGGGGCGCGAATCTCCAGATGCCATGCTTTTCATCTGTACCGGAAAGTGACCGAATAGATGAGGAAACTGAAACGCAGTAACTCAGCCAAGGTCACCCAGGTAAGAGGCGGAGTCAAGGCGGAATTCTTGCTCTGCAAGCCACAGGGCTTCCCCCAGAGGAGACCCAGGGTCCCTTCCCCACAGTCTGCTTCCACAGGCCCACGGCTAGCCGGGCCACCCAGAATCGCTAAACCTTTATGTGGGGTTAACAGTCTCCACACAGCAGGGTGATTATGGGGCATGAAGTGGGGGTGGCACCCTCTAGACTTAGATCTGACTTCCCCGTCGCTTCCAGTGCCCTGGACCACCAGCCCCCCGGGCACAAGGTGTGAGCCTGCATCTGCACATTTTCTCAGGGCGGGCGGTAAGAAGCGGGGCGGGGCCTCCCGGAGCACAGAGGTTCATGTTTCTCGCAACCTGCCAATCCTGAGCGCAGGGGGCGTGGCCACACGTGGGAGGCGTGGCCAGGTGGCGGTGGTGGCAGTGGCGTCTGGGGTGAGGCGCTGACGTGAGCTGGGCGCACCTGGGCGGAGCAGGTAAGCGCCAGTGCGGGACCGTGAGCGGAGCCCGCACTCCCTACCTGCGCAGAGCCGGGTGTTACCTGCCCAACCTGTCGAGGCGCGCGGTGGCGACTGGAGATCTCAGCTGGGGACATGGTTCGGAGGGACGTCCGCTTCTGGTAGCCGGATTGAGGAAGAAAGGTGGGGACGCCAGCTTCTGGAGGCCAATCTGGGGGTGGGGGTGGTTGGGAGGGACACGCCCGCTGGGGGAGAAAGGCCCGCTCCTGAGTTTGTGGGGTTAGGAAAACTTGGGGACATCTGTCTTTTTTGGGGGGGGGACACCCTGTGGGGTTGACTGTCTCCCTTCTCCAGGTAGCTTTTGGGGTGCCCCAGGCCCGCAGTGCTGGGCCCTCCCGACCCCACACTCCGTCGACTCCCTTTCCCTCCCCGCCCAACCCGCTCTCGGCTCCTACCACCCACCGTCGGATGGAGCTAAGGAGCCTCCACCCTTTGCAGGCTCGCGGGGCCGCCGGCCTCTGTATTTCCCAAAAGGGGAATTCCCAGGCCCGCGGGCCTTTTGGGGCTGGTGGGTGTTTGGGGGAGTTGGTGGTGGGGGAGGCCGAGGGCTTTAGCCAGTTTGTTTTCTTTCCCTGGATTTGTTTAGCACAGTCCGGCCCCCGCCCTGGGAGACACCAGTGGATTTCCAAGTAGACAAGCGAGGTGCTGGGAGGGTGGCGCCGGGCGTGGCCGCTGGGGGTGAGGCCTCTTCCCGTCGGGGCTGGAGGGCTGGTGGTGTGGAGAAATGTGGAGAGTCTCCCCGGCCTGGCTGGAAGGGAGGCCTGGGGTGCCACACTTTACAGGGAGCCTGCTTGGTGGTAAAGGGGTCATCCCTGCCCCAACCCTGCTCTTGATGGATGTCAAAAGTGGAAGCCTGGGAAGGGAGAGGGAGAAGGCGCTTGAGTCCGCTGGTGAAGGCGGGTGGGGAGCCAGGATAGTCCTCTGGGGTTAAACATATGCCTAACGAATGCAGGACAGCAGCACCCAGCACCCTGCACTTCCCCCTCGCCGGCCCCCAAATTCAATCCAGCAGAGAAGAAGGGCACGGGAATTATGGGTATCGACCCAGGATTTACCTCTGAGCAGGGCTGAACTAAAGGGAGGACTGACTGGGAACCTGGAAGTTGGTATTTCAGTTCCCTCCGGAAGGAAGGGAAAAAACAGGACCACCACTGAGGCCTGTCTGCAGGAAACAGCGGTGTGTTTTATTCTGCGGAAAACCTTTGACAGCCAAATCTCAGCTTTGGGGTAGCTGTGCCCCCCCCCCCCAACTTGTCTGGGCAGGAGCTGCAGAGATGGCAGTGGGGTGTTTATAGAGGACCTGCCCCCTGGAATGGGGGTATGAGAGAGCATGGTTAGTGCCTGGGAGAGGTTGAAAATGTGCCTGCTCAATGCCCAGTATGAAGGGAGGAGGTAGGTTAGCATCTTAGCTCTTTGGCTGGTTAAATACATGTTGGAGACGCAGGCCTTGAATTTCGCTGTGATGGCAGCTAGAGATACCAGGGCCGAGTTCAACTAGGCCGAGGTGGTTCTGTGGGCTTTGGGATTTGGGTGGTGAGGGTGTTTGGAAAGAGAACTCTGATTTAGGTGTGTTTGAAGGGGGGTGTCATGTAGTCTTCTCCCGGCCACTTCATTGGCCCTCCATGCTGTTGGCATCTTTGTTGGTGTTTTTGGTTTACGCTCTCAGTGTGTAGAACAGTGGTTCTCAACCTTCTGGCCCTTTAAATACAGTTCCTCATGTTGTGACCCAACCATAACATTATTGTCGTTGCTACTTCATAACTGTAATGTTGCTACTGTTATGAACCGTAATGTAAATATTTGATATGCAGGGTGGTCTTAGGCGACCCCTGTGAAAGAGAACCGCTGGTGTAGAAGAAGGGAGAGATTTGGATGGCGGGGTGCAGTGGCAGGACTTGGGACAGCACACTGATTCAGGGGTGCTGGATCGAGGCCTCAGATAAAGCACTTCACTTTTCTGTGTCTCAGTCAACACAGCTACAAATGGGGATGAGAATACCACTTCCAGATCATGAGGATGAAATCAGACACATTAAGTAAAAATACATGTAAAAACTGTAAAGCCTGTGTAGATATAAAGGGTTGTTGTTACCATGGTCTCATCAGTTGAAGGCCATCATCTTCTATACCAGTGGTTCCCAACGTGAGGCACATGCCCCATGGGGGCGGGAGGGGGGCAATTTGATTTTTAAGGGGGGCGATTTGAGAATGAGTTATTAACAGTGAATTTTTTGCATTTCTTAATCCACACACTAGGTTCTGGGGGCCTCAAATACAGTATATATATATATATATATATATATATATATATATATATTGACATATTTATGTATTTCAGTTCTCTATTATGTTTTGAAACTTTATTTGCTACTTTTTTCATATCACTTCATATTATTATTATTTTTTAACAATTTCTTCCTCAGTACTTCACCTGTCCTTTTGTTCTTTTATTTTTCTCTTTCATGGATGCCATGTTCTTTGGAAGCTTGTTTAGACCAAGTTAATGGCCCTTTAGGCTTCCTCCATGTGGATAGGACTTCACTTTTTGAAAAATAAGAATTATATGTCGGGGGGGGGGGGGCGGGGGGCATCAGGATTTTAGAGATGCTTAGGTGGGGCATGGCCAAAAAAAGGTTGGGAACCACTGTTCTATACCTTACAGTGACCAAGAAATGTCTTAGCTTCCTGTGGTTAAAAAAAAAAAAATACTACTTGTAGTTTTTTAAAAAAATAATAAATTGAAACATGTCATTGCAGGAAAAGATGAATCATATATAAAAGTATATAGGCAAGTATAAAATTCACTCATGATCCTATCACCAGGTAACCATTGCGGATGTCTTGTTGTCTTGGTGTATACTTTCCTTCCCTTTTTAAAATTCTGTGTGTGCGTGTATATGGATCCATGGTGCATGTTGTTACAAGATGGAGATACTCCTGGGCAATCAATATTATATGTTGCATTTTCTCCCTTAACTTCATATTGTAAACCTTTTCCCGAATCCAATAAAAATTATTCAGATGCCCCGTTGTTAATAGCTGCTTAATATTGCAGCCTGTGAACATGTGATTAGCCATTCTCCTCTGTTATTTGGTTGCTTCCATTTTTCCCCTCTCTGCCTGTTTTTAGAGTCTTAGTTACTGGGTGGCAGATGGGGGAGATCTTGGCTGACTTTCAGAAGGTGGAGGAGGGCAGGCTGGGGCGGGTTGCTCTTGGGTACGGCCATCTCGGGAGAACGCTGAGAACCAGGGCTCGAGATCTTAATCACCGGTCTCTATGGGTGGCTGCTTCTCCTTCCCCATCACTATGTGCAGTTCCTTGTGTTGACCTGGTTGCCTTAATTTTTTCTTCATGGGCTGTGGATCAACTAGAATAAACACTTTTCTTCAAAGTCCAGGATCCATCAACAGGTTGATTTTATGTGTCAGACAGGCCCAGACACAGGACTTGGATGCATTGCAATATAAATTCTCAAAAGCCCCTCGCTAGGTTGACTGGTTGGCTGCCCACTTTTCTATTCTTTTCATCCTTCCCTTGCCCCTCCCCCTCCCAGTAGGCTAGGACTGAGGAGAAGGTAGAACTTGCCCTTGGGAGAATGTGTTTCCTCCTCCTTATAAGGCAGTGGTCTCTAGGCTCTGATGGCTTGTGTTGCTGCCCTGCAAAACAACCTAAACCAAGGCCAAGACCAGGGGGTGGGGGTATTTGAATTCTGCATGCCAACCAACCTCACCTGCCCACTGAGCTGTGCTCCCCAGGGGGAAGGTTTCAGTTGCAGGAGATGGTAATTGGGTCAGAAGGCTCAGGTAAGAGCAGGTCTTGCCTTGCTCTTAAAGTGCCAGGGCTGAGTTGGCTTTGGGTTTCCCCCATTGGGTGGAAGTCTAGCCCCTCAGCTAAGCACCTCTGAATGGGAGCCTTTCGCTGACTCAACTGATTTGGTTTCTGAACTGTGATCCAGGTAGGGGTCTTTCTGGGTATGAAGGTGACTTATTTGTCTTCCTTTCCTCCTCAGGCCTTTATGGGGCTTGAGCAGTTCTAATGGGGATTTCTTCAGGAAGGAGTCTGGTGAAAACATTGCGCTTTAGCGCTTAATAACTAGCATAGTGCTTGACACTCAGTAGCTGATGACCAACTCTTTGTTGAATGAATGTTATTTTTTTAGGTGTTTCTTTCTTACCTTAAGTAAAAACAAAGTAAAATAAGAACACCAAAAAAAATAAATAATAAAAATCTAAGCACAACATTCCAGGCAAACAATTCTTCAGTGACCAGCTTTTCCTTTGGGCACACAATCTAGGCAAACCTTTGTTTCCTGTTGTGAGTGCTGGCTGCCTCCAATGCTATCTGCTATGTCTGGGCATTTTTATGAGATTTAATTGCAGACTTTACCCAGGCTGGCTCCTGCAACCAATCAGCTCGCTCCAGCCTCTGGGAGATGAGCAGACCCAGGTAAGGAGGCCATCCGAGCAGGACAGGTCCTGTCGATAGTGCTCTAGGCTTAGGAACAGTGGTATTTAATTATTCTAGGGTTTCTGAGCTTGACCAGACTCACCTGCAGGGCAGGGTCCTCAGAGTCTCCAGCATTCCCAAGTCTTTTTCCACACACTAGATTGTTCTGTGGATAACCAAGTCAGCTCCCCCCCCCCCCTTTTTTTTCCCGTACAGAATCTTTGGGTGGCCCAGAGAAAGGACAGCCAACTCAAAGCCCAGCTAATCAGATCCTGGTGGATATACTACCTGCTCTATGTAAGTGAGGACTTTGGAACTGGGACCTCCCACCCCTCACAGCCCCCAGCCCACTTCTCTCTCGCCATGAAGGTGTCATTTCTTACTAAAATATTCCCATTCACCTTTAGTTGTCTGTCTAAAAAGAGAGCATGCTTCAGGTTCTTGCCCACATCCTTATTGTTTCCATAACATTTTTTCTTCCGTCTCCTGAGACAAGTTTGAAAAGAATAATTTTTGCCCGGCTGGTGTGGCTCAGTGGTTGACCTATGATCCAGGAGGTCACGGTTCGATCCCTGGTTAGGGCACATGCCCGGATTGGGGGCTCGATCTCCCATGGGGGGGCGTGCAGGAGGCAGCTGGTCAATAATTATCCCATCCTTGATGTTTCTAGCTCTCTCTCCCTCTCTCTTAAATCAATAAAAACATATTAAAAAGAAAAGAGCACTTTCTTTCTCTTCCAAAGCCCTTGCTCCTGTAGGAAGGACTGTGTATCCAGCAGAGATGACATCATCTTTTCATTTTTCTGCTCCAGGATTTAAATAGAAGAAATGTGATCTGCTTACATGATAAGTCTGATTTGGCCGGAGCATGAAGTATAAATGGCTTTGGAATAAGAATCAAAAGAACCCTTTCACCTCTTTTCTTTTCTTCCCCACCTGGCACAGTTTATTCCCATATTTAGTTTCTTTGCTGTAATCTAATGAAACTGTAGCTCTATCATAAGGGAACAGTGACTGGGAAAAGTTCCCAGCGACTGGCCTAATTCTCCTGTTCTCCCCATTTCTTCCCCCTCCCCCACCCAGATCATGGCCCTTCACCCCCGAAGAGTTCGGCTGAAGCCCTGGCTGGTGGCCCAGGTGGACAGTGGCCTGTACCCTGGGCTCATCTGGCTTCACAGGGACTCCAAACGCTTCCAGATTCCCTGGAAACATGCCACCCGGCATAGCCCCCAACAGGAGGAGGAAAATACCATTTTCAAGGTAAAGAGCCTTACCATTTGACTTGAAACGTTTTCCATTCTCTCAGACTTTGTTGGCTTTTATGGTTTGTGCTGGTTTCTCTTTTGACATGAGGAATACACTAAATCCAAAACGCTGATGCAACCGTGTTTATGATGGGGGTGCCCAAACTTCACAGGCATAGTAATCTCTCTTGTTGGGGCATGTCTATGATGGTTGAGGTCATTTATTCTTTCCCACTGGTCCACGGTACTCAATTCACATTCCAAAGGATCCTGGGTAAAGTTGGCCAAACTCCTGTGAATTGTTCCAAAAGCTCCCAAGAGTTAGCAATGGACTCTTCCTCTTCATTGGCTCAGGGTTCTTGCTATGAAGAAAGGTATCTGGGCCTGGGAATGGCTCTTCAGACCAGGGCAGGGCTACTGAGTGTCAGCAGGCTCCTAGCATAGTCCGTAAGGTGGGTGTAGTGGACCCTTAGCAAGTTTTTCTTTTGATATTGACATATTTTGCCTTATCCATGCCTCTGCTTAAAAATTAAAAGGTGACTTAATTATGTTTTCATTATACAAATATCTTTTCTATAAATAAAAAGCAGCATAGGGGATATAGTCAATAATATTGTAATAACTGTGTATGGTGTTGAGTGGGTGTTACACTTATCAAGGGGGTCACTTCGTCAATTATATAAATGTCTAATCACTATGTTGTACACCTGAAACTAATATAATATTACACATCAACTGTAATTGAAAAATAATTTAAAATTTTAAAAATTGAAAATTACATTAAAATAAAGAAATTTGTTGTGATACGAGAGTCATTTTACTTAACTGAAAACAAGTTTTAATCACCTGGCATGTTACAAATGTTAAGTGAAACCAGAGCTGACTTAGCCAGAAGCAGGTGGGAAGCTGCTGTGGGCAGGGGTGTGATGTGGTTGGTAACTTGCGAGCCTGCACCCCATCTCCAGACCAAAACTTCTCTGTGCTGGTCAGTCTTCCAGCTCGTGAGTAACTTTTGTTACTGCACCCCCAAGACACCAAGAAGTGAATTCATCCTTTGTTTCCTGACTCTAAGCTGCAAGTCAGAAGTGAAATTCAGTCTCTACCGTGGGCCTGTCAAGATCTTGCTGAGACTGGACCAGGAAAGGTGGGCTCACATCTCAAAGGAGAGCCATCCTGGAGATGTCTCCCACCCGACTCCGTTATGGCAGGTGTAGAGAGAAGAGGCAGAGAGAAAATTGGCCCGAGAAAGTGAACGAGCACTTAATTTAAAATTAAATAATGATACAATAGGGATAGGAAAACATCTGTAAACCAGCACCAACATTCGAGTTGGCACGGAGTGGGGATGGGCCTGCCCTGCTTCCAACTGCTCTGAAATTGGGTTTGCTGTTGACGTAGTTGGTGGTGGCTGGCCACTGAGGAAGAGGCTGGTTCTTAGAAGCCCCACTCAGAAGAACAATCTGTGTGCTTAGGGTTTGAGGAAAAGGGGGCTGTGGGAAGCTGTGTGGTCATTTTTATCTGTGTATCTGTTTGCAGATGCTAAGGGAGAGCCTTAGAAGTCAGGAGAGAAGTGAGGTTGCTTTTACAGATCCAAAGCTCTGACTGGCCTTTGACAGGATGGTGGGTTAGGGGTGGGGGCACTAGCATTAAGAGGATGCCTGATCCACACCCTATGTCCATTTCTCATTTAATTCTTGGCGGCTCTGTAAGGGAGTTTACTCTCATGTTGTAGATGCAGAAGCTGAGTCTCTGAGGGGCTAAGTAGCTTGCTGAAATCACACAGCCAATACATGGTGGGGTCACGATTTGAACCCAGGCCTACCTTCTCCCCCATTTTCATCCTGCCCCTTCTCACTGGGAATTGGAAGACCTGTCTTCAGGTCCTGCTACCATCAATTGCATGTGTGGTCTTGAGCAAGTCACAATCTCTTTGGGATTTAGATTCCCCTTCAGTAAATTGGAGATGAACCCAGTCTTGCTTGCCTCTCAAGGATTGTTGTGAAAATTGAAAGAATGGGACTCGGAGATTACCATAAAAATGCAGGGGTCACTTCCATTTTAGGAAGAGAAATAGGGACCTGTACAGTGACCAGAATCTCAGAAGTATGACTCAGAACAGGTTTGAACAAGTAATGTTTATAAATCACAGTGCTGGCCTTGTGGTGGGTGCTACCTTCTGCTGCATCAGTATAAACCCTCCATGTCATCTGCGTGGGCCCTGGTGTGTGTGTGTGCGTGTGTCTGGGCATCAGTAGGCACTCACTGCAGTTTCCTATTCCTCAGGCCTGGGCTGTGGAGACAGGGAAGTACCAGGAAGGGGTGGATGACCCTGACCCGGCTAAATGGAAGGCCCAGCTCCGCTGTGCTCTCAACAAGAGCAGGGAATTCAACCTGATGTATGATGGCACCAAGGAGGTGCCCATGAATCCAGTGAAGATATATCAAGTGTGTGACATTCCCCAGCCCCAGGGCTCCATCATTAACCCAGGTGAGGCCTCAGCTGCTGGGGAGAAGGTGGACCGTTTGTCAAGTTCTAGGCTGGACTCTTAAAGAGATAGGTGACTTGAAAATTGCCTGGCTTTTTACGTTTAAGACTGGTAAAGCAAGAAAGCCTTTCTGTTCCCAAAGAACAGAAGATGTAAACTCAGCAAAATCTTCTTGCTCATTTAAGGGGATAGGTACTAGCCTGATTGCTTAAAGCATTAGAAAGTAGAGGGAGTATAGTATAGATTTCTACCAAAAAGAAAATAGCTTCTTGAGACTTAACACTTAGAGCAGAGGCCAAGTAGTTTAGAAGAAAGAAGAGATAAAACTTAGAAGGTTTGAGTTCTAAAGCTGGTTCTTGTCACTTCACTACCTGTGGGACATTGAATCAAGGCATTTGACCTAGCGAGTCTGTTTTTCAGCTGAAAAATGGGGATGCTCATCTTTCTTGCCTAGTTCAAAGGCTACTGCAAGAATCAATTGACATAATGTGTAAAAGCTCTTAAGTTCTCTTTATAAATGTTGAGGTGAGTGGCCATTTAGTTGTAGGATACTTTTACTAAGAGAATACCACCCGATCCTCCTAAATACCCAATCCTTAACAAGAAGTGAATAAGAGCTAGATAATTTTTTTTTTTTTTTTTGGAGAGCCAGATCATTTTGATTTGTCCTCAGCAAATCTGGTGAGGCCCTGCCAGGAGAGAAGGGTCTGTTCTCACATTAAGCTTACAAAAGAGAGAAGTTGGTATCCTTGAGTTCTTAAAAGGGATGCTAATGTGTAGGAAGAGGGTTAGAATACAAATTTAAGAGATTTCTGTAGGAGGGAGTACGGTTTGCAGTTCCTTAACAGGGGAGGGGAAGAGAGCTTACATCAGGGCTCTGTGGCAAGAGTTGGAATCAGGGATCAACATATCCTCGGCTCCCACTCTTCTTGATTAGGGCACTGAGGGTGCACACTGAGCCCAGAGACCCCCTGTGCTAGCTGTCCCTAGCTTGTGCAGGGGGTTGGCTACAGCAATAACTGGAACCTGAGGGGGTTCACTTGCAGCTGCGTGTCTGTTTCTTGGTAGGATCCACTGGATCTGCTCCTTGGGATGAGAAGGATAATGATGTGGATGAAGAAGATGAGGAAGATGAGCTGGATCAGTCACAGCACCATGTTCCCATCCAGGACACCTTTCCCTTCCTGAACATCAATGGTGAGGAGGGGTGATAGGTGGTCCAGAGGGGTGAAGAGGGCTTTGACCTTGCTCCTGCTGACCCCTCAGCCACCACTGCACTGGGAGCAGTGACCAGGCCCTGTGGCCAGGCTGCTGGTCTGTTAGTAAGCAGGGGTCATAGGCAAGTGAACTCTGCTGGCCCATTTAAAAATTTTACTAATTCTCAGTCCCACATACAAAACTTTTATACATTTTGCTGACTTCTTTCAGGCCAAGTTGCAGGCATCATTTTCATGAATTGTAGGTAGACTCTTTTGCTCTTTCCCTCAGTATAAATCTTGTGTCACTTTCTGGACAGGGTCTACTCAGCTAAGGCTCTGTGATGGGAACTTGTGGTTTCTACAGCTCTCAGTTCTCGGCTGTGATAGAATTGAGCTGCAAGGGACTTTTCTTTTGTGGATTTTTAAAAATATATTTTTAAAAATTAATCTTTATTGTTGAGATTATTACAGATGTCCCTTTCCCACCCTCCCCCCCATAGCTCCCCTCCACCTGGTTCCCACCCCACCCCAGGCCCTCGCCACCCTATTGTCTGTGCCCATAGGTAATGCATACATGCATATAAGATCTTTGTCTAATCTCTTCCCGCAACGCCCCACACCCAGATCCTTACCTCTGAGAATTACCTCTGTTCCATTTCCATGCCCCTGATTCTATTCTATTTACCAGTTTATTCTGTTCATCAGATTTTTTATTCATTTAAGTTTTAGATTCAATTGTTGATAGATATGTATTTGTTGTCACTTTGTTGTTCATATTTTTTATCTTTACTTTTTTCTCCTTCTTCCTCGTCTTAAAGAATATCCTTCAACATTTCGTATAATACTGGTTTGGTGATGGGTGAAGTCCTTTAGCTTTTTCTTATCTGTGAAGCTCTTTATCTGACCTTCAATTCTAAATGATAGTTTTGCTGGGTAAAGTAATCTTGGTTGTCGGTTCTTGCTATTCATCACTTTGAATATTTTTTGCCACTCCCTTCTGGACTGCATAGTTTCTGTTGAGAAATCAACAATGGGCACTCCCTTGTAGGTAACTAACAGTTTTTCTCTTGCTGCTTTTAAGATTCTCTTTATGTTTTGACCTTGGCATTTTAATTATGATGTGTCTTGGTGTGGTCCTCTTTGGATTCCTCTTGTTTGGGGTTCTCTGTGCTTCCTGGACTTGTAAGTCTATTTCTTTCACCAGGGAGGGAAAGTTTTCTGTGATTATTTCTTCAAATAGGTTTTCAATATCTTGCTCTCTTCTTCTGGCACCCCCATAATTCGGACGTTGGTATGCCTGCAGTTGTCCCAGAGGCTCCTTACACTATCTTCATATTTTTGGATTTTTTTTCCTTTTTGCTCTTCTGGTTGGGTGTTTTGTCCTTCCTCGTATTTCAAATCATTGATTTTGATTCTCGGGATCCTCTACTCTACTGTTGAATCCCTGTATATTACTCTTTATTTCAGTCAGTGCATGCTTAATTTCTGACTGATCCTTTTCCTTTTTTTTTTTTTTGGCATTCTCACTAAGATCCTTGAAAGTCTCACTAAGTTCATCAGAGGTTTCTAGAAGATTCTTTTTTTTTTTTTTTTTAATATATTTTATTGATTTTTTACAGAGAGGAAGGGAGAGAGATAGAGAGCTAGAAACATCGATGAGAGAGAAACATCGATCAGCTGCCCCCTGCACATCCCCCACCGGGGAAGTGCCCACAACCCAGGCACATGCCCCCGACCGGAATCGAACCCGGGACCCTTCAGTCCACAGGCCGACACTCTATCCACCGAGCCAAACCGGCTTCGGCTAGAAGATTCTTGAGTAACCTTGTAACTGTGGTTTTTGAACTCTATATCCAGTTTTCTTTCTTCCATTCCTTTAATTTGTGACATATTTCTTTGTCTCTGCATTTTGGCTGCTTCCCTGTGTTTGTTTCTATGTTTTGGGTAGCTGCTAAGTCTGAGTTGATAGAGTGGCCTTGTGTAGTAGGTGTCCTATAGGGCCCAGTGGCTCAGCCTCCCCAATCACCTGAGATGGACACTGTTGGTGCACCCCTTTGTGGGCTGTGTGCACAGTTTTGTTGTAGTTGAGCCTTGATTGCTGTTGGTGTCACTGGGAGGAATTGACCTCCAGGCCAATTGGCTGTGGGGCCAGTTGCGACTACAGCGGGAGAGCTGCTGTGCAGGAGACACCCTTATGGAGCAGGACTTGCTTCAGTGGGGCTTTGGCACTCCGAGTCTACTCCTTGAATGTGTTGCTTATGCATGTGAAGAGTTGTGATCTGGTATGGTCTCACACTGACCACTGGGTACACTGGCTCTTGGGTCTCCAGGGAGGTGCAAAGTCAGCCATTGCCTGGGGCCATCCAGCAGGAGCTATAGAGAGATATGCAGATTCCTCCTTTTTGTATTGGGTTTAGAAATGCCCAGATGAGGACCAGCTGTGAAGCAAGGCAGGCTGGTGCTGGGTCTCGAGCCTTTTATTGATAGGTTTGGGAATCCCTGACCCAGCTATAGCTTGTTTGACAGATTTTTAGCCCAAGAAAGGAAAGACCATTCATATGCAAAAGCTGCTGCGCATAACTTGTGTGGGGTTATAAATTGGGTGGGGCAGGGTCTCAGAGAATCACCAGGGTGGAGCACACAGAAATGGCTGCCAGTCAGCCCTGCACCGGGGAAGTCCCAGCACCGGAACAAGGACTGCCGTAAGCACCTCCGTCTGGAAGAAAGTTGCCCCAAGTTCCAACCCCAATGCCAGACAGTCCAATTTCTCCCTATATGTGTCTGGGTCCCCCAGAGCCTCGCCTGGCACTGGAGCTCAGAGGAAGTGAGAGCTTGTAAATTCAGTTCGTGGTGCCGGCCTTTTAGGAGGAGCAGCTGGGTCTCCAGCAGCCTGTGTGTCACTCAGCCCCAATCCCCACTGGTTTTTACAGTCCATAGTTCTTACTGCCTGTAGGGACTTCTTTCCCCATCTCTGGAACCCTGGGCTGGGTGTCTGGTGTGGGCTGGGACCCCTTGCTCCTCCAGGCGGCCTCCGCAAAGGCTATCTCCCTCCCAATCATCTCCCCCCAGCTCGTTCTGTGCCTCCGCGCCTCCTACCAGTCTCAGTGTGTTTTCTTCTTTACTTCTCTAGTTGTAGTACTTCCATTCAGCCAGCTTTCTGGTGGTCCTGGATGATAGCTGTTCTGCATTTAGTTGTAATTTTGATGTGGACGTGGGAGGCAGCAAGAACAGGCATTTACCTATGCTGCCACTGTGGTTCTCTTTTTTGTAGACTTCTTAAAATTCAGCTTCCCAGGAAAAATGAGTTGAGAGGTTGGAAGGTCACTGTGTGATAGGGCAGGTACTGGATCTCCCATTGCCCATCCTGAGGATGCTTGAACACAAGCTGAACTGCTCCTCTGCCGCATCTTCGCTGGAACTGCCCACTAAAATGGTCCTTGACATGCATTCAGTTGGGCAGCTTTCACTGCTTTTCTAGTTTCATCTGGCTGCTATGGTTGAAATGAGATACTTGCGGGCTGCCTTGGACCCTTTTGGGGAAGATGTGTGGCATATATGAAAAACAAAGTAAAATGGGTACATAGATTTAAGCAGACAAAGGGTCCAAGAAACATTAACCTCTGTGATTCCAGAGCTGTTGGGGCAGAGGAAGAAGAATTGTGGAAGAATAGATGCCTAAGAGGTGAGGCTAGGAGGAGATATCTGTAGACTTCTGAGTGAGCCAACTTGGCCAACAGCAGGGAAATAGGATGGGTTTTTTTAAATTAACTTTTAAGAAAAGCTTTATTTGGGTACTTGTGAATAAATAATACTCTTACATGATTTAAAATTCATAATGGTACAAAAAGGTAATCAGTGGAAGGTTTTCCTTCCATCCCGTCTCTGAAACTTCCAGTTCCTTCCCTGGAGGGTCCTTGAGTATCCTTCCAGATGTTTAATGCATGTAAAGTATTTGTTTTTAATGGAATTTTGATAAATTAACACTTACTCAAAGCTAATAAACTGATTCCGTTGAGTTCCTTTTATGAAAGATAACCAGGTTTTATTTAATTGCAGGGTTCAAATTTTACAACAGGGAACTTCTCATATATGCTCATATTGATTTAACCCCAGAGGAAACTCACCCCTCTGTTAATCTTCAGCAAACCCATGTTTTCATGACTATGAGTTTATGGGAGAACCAATATGATTAGGTTTCCCAGACGCAGGTGTTTTTTGTTGTGTTAGTTGTGGGGATCCTCGATGGGTTGCCACATTTATCTTGATCCAGTGTTTGACTCTTGTCTGTTGACTTTATTAGGTGTTAGAGCCTCAGACCAGATGCTGTGCATGTGTGGTGCCCCTGCCTGCTCAGCCACATCCTTCTGTTCTAGGTTCTCCCATGGCACCGGCCAGTGTGGGCAACTGTAGTGTAAGCAACTGCAGTGTGGGCAACTGCAGCCCTGAAGCAGTGTGGCCCAAAACGGAACCTCTGGAGATGGAAGTACCCCAGGCACCTATACAGCCCTTCTATAGCTCTCCAGAGCTGTGGATCAGCTCTCTTCCAAGTAAGTGAGCCCTGGGCTTTCTCGATGGGTCTTCAGCTCCTAATATAGTCCCTTCCTGCCTTGCCTTCTGCTTCCATTTCTTTGCCTTGTATAGAATAGCTACCTTTTCCACAGGTACCTTCTGCGTATGGTTCCTGGCCAGCTGATGATGGGTTACCAGGGCAGAAATAAAGAGACAGTAGCCTATGCCTAATTGCCCAAGAGGATGCTCTGATTGGTTTCAGCTCCAGGTTACTCACCTTTTAAGTGGGTGGGAGTCCTGGTTTTATCAGTTTGGTTAGGGGATTTGGGGATAAGACTAGTGGTGGGATAGGGAGGTAATGGCCAGGGATTTAATAAAGGGGGTTTTTAGATTTTGAAGGGGCTTTAGGGTTCAGAGAAAATCTCTTTCTGGATTGGGCACAAATTTATTTCAATGAAGAATCATTGTCGCCCTAGCTGGGTAGCTCAGTTGGTTAGAGCATCGTCCTGATGTGCTAAGGTTGATCCTCGGTCAGGGCACCCTATTGTCTGTGTCCATGCAATGAATTCATAAATAAGTGGAACAAGTCGATGTTTCTCTCCTTCTCTCCCTTCCTCTCTCTCTAAAATCAATTAACAAAATTAAAAATAATTATATTAAAATAAAAAAAAGAATCATTGTCAATTCTCCATCTCCCTTTCAATCTACACATGGGGAGAAGTGGGGGAGAATGCTAGAATTTTGTCCAAGAGGCTAATAGCTTTAATAAGACCATAGGGAGACTTGCTGAGTGAAAATTTAGTTTGCTTTGAGCTGTATCGTTTTTATATATTGTTAAAACAGAAAGATGAGTTGGTATTCTTGTTTTGCTGGTTTCTTTAAAAAATATGACACAAACCAGATACCTTAGTTTCTAGCTCCTTCCCATGCCTATAGATACAGAGACTCAGTATGAAATGGGAAGACCAGGACTCGGACCTTAGCTTGGAGGAATTCTAGCCCTTAGGGTGTGGTGATTGAACGGAGATAGGAATGATGGACCTTTGAACTGTTTGCTTCAAGACAGCCTTTTGCGTGACTGTTTCAGGGTTATGTTGATGTCTCCCTCTATTGCAGGGAGGATAACTATGGCCATGGCCTTCCTGAACGCTGGTAGAAAGGTGGCTCAATCTTGATGGACTTGTATGAGTCTTAGGGACAAATGGGCAGAGCAGCAGAGCAGGACCCTCACTGTCCTCTCTCACCTTGCAGTGACTGACCTGGACATCAAGTTTCAGTACCGTGGGAAGGAGTATGTGCAGACCTTGACCGTGAGCAACCCCCAGGGCTGCCGGCTCTTCTATGGGGATCTGGGTCCCATGCCTGACCAGGAGGAGCTCTTTGGTCCTGTCAGTCTGGAGCAGGTCAAGTTCCCAGGTCCGGAGCACATCACCAATGAGAAGCAGAAGCTGTTCACCAGCAAGCTGCTAGACGTCATGGACAGAGGACTGATCCTGGAGGTCAGCGGTCACGCCATTTATGCCATCAGGCTGTGCCAGTGCAAAGTGTACTGGTCGGGGCCATGTGCCCCATCACTTGTTGCTCCCAACCTGATTGAGAGGCAAAAGAAAGTCAAACTCTTTTGTCTGGAAACATTCCTTAGTGGTGAGTCTCTTTTCAGAAGGTTGATGGGTGGGAAGTGGTCCCTGGAAATATTTCTTCCTCCATCCCTCCTCCCTTTCCTGGCTCTGCAAAGGTGTTTTTTTTTCTGGAGGAAGTAAAGGTCGAAAAGAACCTTGGTTCTGAGAAATGAAAGTGACCTGGGCAACAAAGAAGGGCGTTCCACTCCAATGCTCTGTACTTAGACACTATTTTTAGTTGGTTTTTAGCGCCTTTCGTGGTAGAAGAGGGAAACAGCCTCGTCATTAGCTCCCAAATTCTACCAGTTTATCCTTAAGTTTGGAAGGTGACCCTGTTCATCATAATCAGCAAGACGCATACTCTTCTCCTTTGAAAAATATCCAAATGGTGACTTCAAGCAGGCACATTTAGGGAGAGCACTGCATTGTGAATTTTACAATGTGGTTTGAACCCCAAGTTTAACTCAGTGGTTTCCTCTGAAATGATGAAAATGTTCTGTATTTGTGTTGTCCAGTATGGTAGCCACTAGCCACATGTGGCTATTGAGCATGTTCATGTGACTAAGCAACTAATTTTAATGACCTTAAATTGAATAGCCACAGGTGGTGGCTAGTGCCTACCATATTAGGATGGTATTTACGGAGTGGGTATGGAATGACCCAGGACACCAAACCTGCTCTCCACCTTCTGCAGATCTCATTGCCCACCAGAAGGGACAGATAGAGAAGCAGCCGCCATTTGAGATCTACTTATGCTTTGGAGAAGAATGGCCAGATGGGAAACCCCCGGAAAGGAAACTCATCTTGGTTCAGGTGAGGAGATAAAGGATATGTCAATAACTCTTTACCTTTTCATCAAAGCTTTAGCTCGTAGGTCTGAGGTAGAGCCGTGAGCAAAGGACCCATCAGACTGTGTGGGTTTTAATCCCATCAGATGGAGTACCAGACTCAAGCTTTGCACATTGCACAGTAGGTCCACAATGGGGAATACAAGGTCCTCAAAGTGGGTGACGGTTTTAGTGGAGACCTTGGCTTTCATTCTCTTACTGACATTAGAGTCTTGCTGAAACCTAACAGGATATGACCCTTACAGCTTTTTGACAAAAACCTTTCAGTTACTTTTAAGAACACAACCTTGTTCTAGGAAGTAAAATCAAGATCACTTGGGTTTGGCCCCTGGATTTGTACAACAAGACTAGGCAATAGATGAAATTTGGGTAAATGTCTTGCTAAATAAGCAGTTATTTGTTTAGATATGTGATATGATGCTACATCTAGATTCTTTACCTTCATTTTGAACCAACTTTTAGAGTAAACCCTAATAGGATGGTTCAGAGAGAAGAAGGCATATCCTATATCTAGAGTGGGGGGATTCCCCAGGGCTTCACTGGTCCTTCCTTCAGTCTTGAGTCCCTCCTGCTGTTGAAAAATACCCTTTCCTCAGCAGATACCTGTGTGCTCTGTGTCCTGAACAGGTTATTCCGGTGGTGGCTCGAATGATCTACGAGATGTTTTCTGGTGATTTCACACGATCCTTTGACAGTGGCAGTGTCCGCCTGCAGATCTCGACTCCAGACATCAAAGATAACATCGTTGCTCAGCTGAAGCAGCTGTATCGCATCCTCCAAACCCAGGAAAGCTGGCAGCCCATGCAGTCTACCCCCAACATGCAGCTGCCCCCGGCCCTGCCAGCTCAGTAATCGCGAATGCCATCTTCCTTCTCTTTTTTACAATATTGTACATATGGATATTTTTTATTATTCAGGTTTAACCAGCTTGTAAAACCCCTTTTCTTTAAAACAATGTTAGTAGTTTCTGACTCTCCAAATATGCCTGGTTCTTAAAGTTGATTTAATTTATGGAAAAATCACCCTTTATACTTTCCCTTTCTTTTTTATAAACATCCCAATGGTAGTAGAATTGTAGTAGAAGGAGATTTGGACACCAGGGTTCTAACGACGGCTTTACTCTCAATGTACGACCTTGAACCAAGTCATTTAACCTCTGGGCTTCAGATTCATTACTGTCAAGTGAAGGGGTTGGAATGATGCCTGAAATAATGCCAGCTTTAAAACTCTGATTTGATGACCTCATTCTACTTGGACAAGGAAAAACTGCCTGGAACAGAACCCTTCTGAATTGTTCTTGTACCACTTTTTTTTTTCTTGCCTTCATTAAAGTTCCCTCAAGCACTGATTTGTCCAAGATTGATCTCTGTTTGACCTGTTCTGCTAGTATAGTAAGCTGGCTCCCCGATGGGGGAAGTGAGAGGGAAGGGAGCCAGCTGGTTGCTTAGGAACCAAACATGATATCTAAATAGAAATAGGTGCCAAAGTCTGAAAGTCACCCGGCCTGTGGAGTAAACGCTCATAAATTGAGCTTTTAAAGGGAAGCTGTCAACACAGAAGGCCCAGGATCCTGTGGACGAATTGTTTGGCTGGTGTTTGCCTCGTCACCACTCAGATACCACCATGTGTGTGTGGGTGGGGGGGGGGGGGGAGGTGGTGGTAGATGAGAGTGTGTGACTTGCTGGCAGCCTTCAGAGAGGACAGCCCACTTTTTTTTTTATTCTCTGAGGAAGACCTGGGGATGAGCTGGGCATCTAGGAAAACTGCTGAGTATAAAAGGGACAGTTCCTCCTTGTTTGGAGAATTTTACAGCCTTCTTATCATTTGGGTTATTTGCATTTGGGGAAAAATAGGGTGTTGAGTGGGTTAAGGCCAAGGTGAAGAAGGGCTGGGAAGTGTTTTTCTGGAAAAAGGCTCACCTTAGCACAAACCTGCTTGTCTCCCTAGTGGAGGTAGCTGGGTGTGAATAATGGAGGTGTTGAACTTTGCATCTATAGGTGCCATGAATTGGTCTTATTTATTAACTTTTGCTAGGCCCCTGACCCTTTGCCTTTTTTTTTTTTTTTTTTTTTATGGGTAAAATCACACATGATTTAAATTTCAAAGACATCTTGGAAAACACGATGCTAATCTCTGGTAGCACACCCAATCCTCTTGCATTGGTGGCAGGCCATATTTACTACTAGAAAGCCCATGTCTAATCTGCTACCCTTAAACCAAGCCACTTCCTACCTGCTACTGGAGTCGAGCTAGCTGAAAAGTTAAGCTAGTTTTATTTCAAAACCAGAGCTTCAATTCAATCACAGGTGCCAGTGGGACTTATTTCGAATGCTTAAGCCAGGGGTCCTCAAACTTTTTAAACAGGGGGCCAGTTCACTGTCCCTCAGACCGTTGGAGGGCCGGACTATAGTTTAAAAAAAACTATGAACAAATTCCTATGCACACTGCACATATCTTATTTTGAAGTAAAAAAACAAATGTTTTCGGCGGGCCGCATGTGGCCCGCGGGCGGTAGTTTGAGGACCCCTGGCTTAAGCCCTAGTTTTAGAGTCTCTAAGGGATTAGTTGGATCTGTTATTACTAAAGTCTGACCAAGAGAAATCTGGGTAAAGGTGAGTTGTTCAGAAATTTGAGGTGAGCAGAAATTTGGCTTCTAGAGACCAGAAAATAGGCAAGGTATAGAAACTATATTTTTGGTTATTTTGCAGGATGGGTGAAGTGAGGGTTTTGGTTTTGATGTCTGGCTGCCTCTGTCTGTGTCTGCATAGCCCCAAATGATAAAGAACTCACTGTAGATAAATGGGTAGAGCCGGTCCCTTTCCCTTCTTCTGTAAGATGCTAACAGCCAGGCTGTCCATCTGGATGGGGGCCCAGAAAATGTGAAGCTGGGTATTGAAAACAGTGTTCTGAAGTGCCAAGAAGCATCAAACTTTTAGTATGTGACTGTAATGAAAACTTTGTAAACATGTCGGAGGACTGGATGAGTGGCTTTATGTGGTCTTAACTAGATCTGGGTGTCCTTTCTTTTTTGGAGACCCAGGTTACTATCCCCTTTAGTGGCTAAACCACTCATTCCCTTGGCGTCTTCTACTTCCTTGCCTTCACCTTGATGAAGACTGGGAAGAGTTAGATGGTGTCAGCAACTCTTCTTTTCCTTCACTATCCACTCTATCACCAAAGTTAGCTCAAAGTAAAAAGAATCCACTGGAGGTAAATTGGGAGGGCAAGTGTTGGATCGCCACATATAATTAGGTCTCTGGTCAAGGCTGCCGTAGCATCCTGTACTTTCTCTTTCAGAGCCATCAATTCCCTTGTCATTGCTCAGCATCTGTGTCTTACTTGACTACAAACTTGCTGAAGGTAGAAACTGCTCATTTTGGATTTTGATGCCAGCCCTTAGCATATTTTCTGGTAATATAGTATGTTTTCAAATATTTGTTGTTAGAATAAATGAGTGAACTAAGCAAGTCTTTTAGGGATCTGTTGGTAACCACCAGGGTAACATAAATATGGGGCCGGAAAAAATTCTAAAATTAGTTTCTGGTCTCTGCTTCTGACTCCCTCTGAGCTCAGGACCAGGGTGAGACTGGAAACCCCTACAAACTAGTCCTCCTTCCAGGCTGGCCCCATCTTTACTCCATATGGTCTCTTCATCTTCTGAAGACACTTCCAAGGTAGGACCAGTAGTGAAACCTCCAGTGTGGGTGCCTGCAATTCCCTTAAGCCTCTGCCTTGTCCATGTTATCAATAAATTTGGGTCATATTCTCAGATAAAAGTTTTCTCAAAATCTTCCCCTTCAATTTATGCTGGTAATTAAAGAGGTGTTAACCCTTCGGTGAAATACCACTTTTCTTAAAGACCTGATTGAAAAGCTTCTGCATCTCCCTGTCTCATTTCTCACGTGAAGTCGGCAAATTGAATTCCTACAACTTAAGCAGCTTGAAGAGGGGAGTGGGGGTTGTTTGTTTTGTGCGCTGTGACACCTCCGAGAAGCATGCCTAGCACACATTTGTTCACCGGGAGTACTCCTGCCATTCACACCCTTAGACAGGACCACCCTGGACCGGGATAGCACTGGTCCACCCACTTCTCAGAACAGAGCCACTCAAGCTTAGGGTTTAGGCGGGTCAACGTTGACAAGACAAAACAAACCTCTGAAACTCTGCCGCACCAAAGGAGGTGTGGAGATTCTGCAAAACACGTCGCGCCGCGTTGAGATAAATCTCGTTCGGAGGGGAAATCGCATTTCTCTAGGCACAAATGAAAGTGTTCTTGCACCGCCTGGAGCCAGCTGCCGGAAGCCGAGGAGGGTAGCAGCGGGCTGCCAATCAACCAGGTCCCGCCTTCTCAGGGCCACTTCCGCTCCTCGCGGTTCCTATACAGAGGGGCGGGGCCAGCTTCTGGTGGTAGGAAAGGACCCGCCTCCCGGCTAGCGGGCTGGTGACGTCATGGAAGGCGGCGGGGGTGGGGGAGGAGTCGCGTTGGGCATGCGCAGTAGACCGGCTCGGCCGCCCGGAAGCCGAGCGGGCGGGATTTCCCGTGGGGCGGCGGATTGCACGGTTCGTGGCTTGTGTGGCGGCGCGAAGGGACTATAAAAGGACGTTCCTGAGCCCGCGAACCTGCAGCGGAAGTGGAAGGCGAACGTATGTGTGTGATACCGAGCCCTCTGCCTGGTTTAATAAGACACGATAATTGGCTCCGAAAAGGGTGTGGGCATTGGAGTGAGCCCTTCCGCGGAGGGTCCGTGGATGTCCACCAGGAGGGATGGCGGAAATTAAAATACCACCCTCCGGCAACTCTTACACATTTCATTTATTTACTTTTACAGGGTGAGATGGTTATCAGCCCACATGCTAGTGCATGTCAGTTTCATCAGATGTCTATTCTCAGAACTCTGCTGGCGGGAAGAGAAGGGGAAATTGGCGGTGGAAAGAGTACATTTGGAACCTAGAACTCTGCCTCCGAGGGCAGTTTTAGGTGAAATGCTCAGAATTTTGCAAGAGACTGCCTTGCCTCTTCGTTGCCCCAAACTTCTCACAGTTTGAATCAGAGAAAGTAATGTACAAAGGCCACAATTTGGAATAGAAGCCAGAAAGAATATAAACCTGTCCCTAAATCCAGAAAGACACGTGTATTTGGGGCTCCGGGAGACGGAGTCAACCGTAGAAATCACCCATCTTGCCCGGCCTGGGTTAGCATTCCAAAGCATAAGGAGGGACAACGACCTTTGGAAGATGCTATCAGCCGGGGGAGGGCTGTTGGCAGGTGTCCTGGTATGTATGTCACTGGCTGGTTGTTAATAATCCCCTGGCCCTGCTTTGTTTTTAGGTCCTTCAGTGTCCGGAGCTCAGAGATGTGGCCCAGGGGCGGGAACTGTCTCTAGTTAAAGAGGCCATGCCTGATGTTGCTTCCAGAACTCATGTCGACACCAAGTCCTCAGTTGCTGGTGGCAGCTGCTCAGCAGACCCTGAGCATGGGAAAGAGACGGGGCCTGGCCCGAGCTGTCTGCCTTCGCCTGGCCGGAGAGGTCCTGGCTGTGGCCCGGGGACTGAAGCCAGCCCTGCTGTATGATTGCAACGGTGCGGGGACATCAGAGCTCCAGAGCTATCTGGGGGAGCTGCAGGGCCTGGGCCTCCTGACCAAGGGACTTCACATCCTTGATATTGGAGGCAACAGCCTGATCGTCATACCTGAACATGTATGTCAGCACCTGGAGCAGGTGCTGCTTGGTCCTGTAGCCTTTGTGGATGTTTCCAGCTCCCAATCTCACCCTTCTGTCCGCTCCCTGGACCAGCTTCAGGACTTGAAGTCCCTCATTGCCAAGATCATCACCCATTTGCAGGGGTTGCAGAGGGACCTGTCCCTGGCCATCTCCTGCAGCAGGCTCTGCTCCTCAGACTGGAATCTCTGTACTGTGTTTGGGATTCTCCTGGGCTATCCTGTTCCCTATACCTTTCACCTGAACCAGGGAGATGACAACTGCTTAGCCATGACCCCACTACGGGTGTTCACCGCTCGGATCTCATGGCTTCTTGGTCAACCTCCAGTCTTGCTCTATTCCTTTAGTGTCCCAGAGAGCTTGTTCCCAGCCCTGAGAGACATTCTAAACACTTGGGAGAAGGACCTGAGGACTCGATGTAGGGCTCAGAATGACTTTACTGACCTCAGCATCTCCTCTGAGATAGTCACCCTGCCAGTTGTGGCCCTCTAACTCCCATGTAGAAAGTACTCACTAAATATTCAGCTCTAAGACAGGGATTACGAATAGGCATCACCTCAAGTGTCAATTCTGAGCGTCTTGAGAACACCAGGGAAGAACGCTCTAGTCAACTGGCCGCGTCTGTGACGGGCACGGGAACAGGTGGTGGCGGTGGCAGCATTGGTAGTACATACTTGCCATTTCTATACTAAGGAGTCCTCTTGACTTAACTGAGATGTCTATTCCTTTTTCACTAGATAGAAGATAGAAGGAAAGAGATTGTGGAGAAGGGAGTGAGGGGGTAGGTGGAGAAGGTTAGTATAAGGGGGAAAATAGCTATTTAAAAAAAGGATCGTGGAGAAGAAAAGAGGTGGAGGACAAGTACTGTACCCTTGTATACTATATGTATGGTGTGGTAATGTTGTAAATATACTCTGGGTAGTGTTCACTAGAAAATAGCAGGCCTGGGCTTTACTGCATGTTTATGTACCTCCAACTGAATTGGACCAAGGAAAGTAGACCAGGATGCTCAGGTGTCATATTTGATGCAATAGGTTGGTCATTCATGAATAAACAATTCTGGGGAACAGAAATTGTCAGACAAAGTTTATTTGTTTATTTTACAGTAGGTGGAAAAAAATAATAAAGTTAGAAATCTCAGTTGCGTTGGGAAAACCCACACTTGAAAGTATCCAAACCTTCTTGAGTTTTTTATTGAGTTTTTTGCTTCTGATTTTCACCCAAGGCAGCTGTCACAAGTTAATTCAGATCATCAGGCTGTCCTTGTTGGCCAGGAACACTGCTAGTGCTATAGCAATCATCAAGATCAGCATTGATAGCCATCGGCCACACTGCCTCTGAGGGTGGAAGGGGAGAAGAGAGAAGCCATGGGTTGGTTGGAGAAGATATAGGCAAAAACAATTTTCCTTCCCATTCTGGCCCCGTGGGAAATCTTGGGTTGGTGGAAGAGGGGAAGGTTTTCTCTCACTTTGTTACCTCCCTTGGGATAAAACCACTTTGCTGGTAGTCACTGGCCCATAAGCCAGGATCATTGGCCCAGGGAACCACAGCCAGCTGGGGCCAGATACTTAAATACAAGTCCAATCAAAGGTGGAAAGTAACTCGGCAAAATTGTATTGTTCTCTGTTCATATTCCTTGTTACATTTTCTCTCCTCATTCTGTCCTTGCCACTACACTCAATAGGCCAAAAAACAGCATTTCCTATTTTAGCTAATAGTCCCTTCAGGCTTAAGACTTGTACCAAAAAAAAAAAAAAAGCCCTGGCTGGTGTGCTCAGTAGTTAGAGCAGGGGTCCTCAAACTTTTTAAACAGGGGGCCAGTTCACTGTCCCTCAGACCGTTGGAAGGCCGGACTAGAGTTTAAAAAAAAACTATAAACAAATTCCTATGCACACTGCACATACCTTATTTTGAAGTAAAAAAACAAAACGGGAACAAATACAATATTTGTATTTGCATGTGGCCCACGGGCCGTAGTTTGAGGACTCCTGAGTCAGAGTGTTGCCCTGTGCACAGAAGGGTTTCGGGTTCAATTCCTGGTCAAGGGCATATACCTGGGTTGCAAGTTCGTTCTCCGGCCCATTGGGCTGTGTGCAGGAGGCAACCAATCAATGTGTCTCTCATATTGATGCTTCTCACTCCTCCCTCCCACTCTAAAGTCAATGGGAACATATCCTCGGGTAAGGATTAACAACAACAACAAGAAAGTTCCATGCAAATTAACCTGGGGTACATAAGCCAGTGTTTCTTTTCCATGGTTGCTATACTGTCGGTATAAACCAAGCTGAATGGGACAGGCTGGTCAGAAGATGTGGCTAAAGGAGGAATAGTCCCACCATCATCGAGGGCTGTATGGGAGGATCACGCTCTTACTCTGGGAGGCAGCTGCTGGCTCTGGTTCAGCTCTTCTCGACAGTGCTGCAGCGTACGCAGGCAGGAGAGGTACTCATCACTGAGGTTGTCTAACTCTGAATGCAGTTCTCTGCACTGGGGGGGGGAGAATACCACCAAGGTCATCACCAGGTAAAGGAGAAGGCCCCCTGTCAGTTACCCATTCATTCATTTGGAATTTGTACTACCTTCCTTCCTTCCCAGGCCTTCTCAGTGATTTCAGTTTGCCTTTTGCTGTTTGACCTAGTTTGTCTGGAATGTGTATTCATTTACATGAGTGATTATAATGCATATTATATATTAATTACTTATAGACGTGATATAAGTGTGTGCTTTCACGTGACAGTGAGCAAGTGCTTTGTAAAGGGGACATCAAAAAAAATGAAATTCTTATGGAACAGAAGACCTGGAAGTGATCACAGTACAAGACTCTTGGTCAGTAGCTGAGGATATGTGTTTGTGAATTTGGAGATAGGAAGAGTTTTGTTACTTAAAAGACTATAAAGTTTTAACATACTCAGTGTAGCGCAAAGTTTGAGGAGTTAATGTTCATGAAGTGTGTTTGAGTTTAGGTTGACTTACTAAAAAGTAGCTAATAAAATGAATAAGGATTGTATAATGAAGGAAAATGATAGACAAACTAACCCTAAAGCAAGACAGTTTTTACAGTCAAATGAATACCTGGAGGCATCCAATCACAAGGTCTGGTGTTGAAATCCCTGCTCTCTGGATGCCTCCAGCAGTTTTCCCTATCTCCGTAGGCTGAGCCCCCCACTACAACCTGAGGTCACCATCTCACCTCCTTTTCCTTGGCCTGGAGCTGCAAAGTCTTCTTTTGCAGCTGGTCTTTGAAATCCCAGTCTTTCTCCTTCCCTGTACCCTCAGGCTCCACTTCGTTAAGGGAGGGCTTTGGGCTCCACACAGACAAAGCCTGATCTAAAAAAGCAGCCAGATTCTCAGTGATGGTGAGGCCCACATCTCTGAGGAAGGGCCCTGTCAATGAGAGGACCCCTGGGAGTGAGGAGAAGGGTGGGGAGGGAGAAAGAGAGGGCCTGTCTTTGGTTAGACTTCAAGGGATGGCAATCTCTGACTTTTAAAGCACTCCCATTGGGACCCTGCTCAGACTGGACAGAGAGCTGGAATTTGAGCCCCACTGAGGGCAAGGTTGGCATCTTACTTTTCTTCGTATCCCTAGTCCTGTCTAATGCCAGATACTTTTAGAGTATACTTCTTAATCCAATTTCTTTGGTTAGGGGTCACATCCTTTCTAGTTATACTGGTAGGTTTGCTGGATGCGTCAATATAACCCCCTTCCCTTCTGTCCTTATTTCAGTCATGAGAAGGCAGTCACATCCTAGAATTCATCTTCGTGTGGTTAAAGATGGTTTTTCAACCACCTGGCAGTCTTAGTCTTGTGAAGAGCCCACTGGACTAGTGATTAAATTCCGCATTGTTGTCTTAGCTGTGTCTTTAATTTGTGTGACCATAAGACCTTCATTTTCTTATCCATACTATGTGGGTGTAATGATTTCTGCCTTCCATTTACCCAGTGATTGTGATGAGAAAACAAAAGGCCTTGTGTAGTGGTAAGTGAGGAGTTTTTGCCCCTCCATATACATGATGGATTCTCAGGCAGCTAAGGCAGCAGACTCTTGAGGGCTGAGAGGGAGGTCACTTCTGCATGCAACATGGTTTAGAGGAGAAGTTGGATATGATTTGGAAAGTCAAGTGTAAAAATTGACATGCAATCCTGAGTTCAAAATCAATTTATTGAAATGTTCAACACAGACATGTTTTTCAGGGGAAGTAGAAATCCCTTTTCACAGTTTACATACCTCTCAGGGTAGGAGGCTAACTAGTTAAAGTGTTCTCAAGAGCCAATGATCAGCCCTCAACAAGCTTTCCCAGATCCCTGACCTAACAGATGTCAGAACTGGATGGGACTCCAAGAGGCCATGTAGTCCATCCCCCTGCCTCTAGGCAGGCATGGAAAGAGCAATGTCTTAGAATTTGTGGGAGTAAATTTGCTGACCTTTCTTTATTAAGAGTTTCTCCTGCTCTTGAAGCTGTAAGGATTGACTCTGAAGCAGACCTGTTGGGAAACACAAGAAACTTGTCTGTGTTGGTTTGTTTACTGCAAAGCGTGGCTTTTCAGCACTTTGCTCAGAACCTTAATTATTAAAGATGTTCCCATCTATTATTGGTTAAATTGTGTTGAAGTCCTAACTTAAAGTATCTCAACATATGATCTTTTTGGAGATAGGTTTTTTACAGAGGTAATCAAGTTAGAATAGGGCATTAGGGTGGCCTAACCAGATATGACTGGCATCCTTATAAAAAGAGGACATTTGGACACAGACATGCATAGATGGAAGACACGTGAAGAGACACACAGGGAAGACAGCAGCTACAAGCCAAAGGGAAGTAGCCTGAAACAGATCCTTCCCTCAAAACCCTCAGAAGGAAACAACCTTGCTGACACCTTGATCTTGGGCTCTAGCCTCTAGAACTGTGAGAAACTAAATTTCTGTTCTTGAGTCACCCAGTCTGTGTTCCTGTTATGAATGCACCATCTTATATCTCTTCCGACTATGTCTTTACCTTTAAGTCTCTGCTTAATTGTTACCTTAAAAGAGTGGTTCTCAACCTTCCTAATGCCGCGACCCTTTAATACAGTTCCTCATGTTGTGGTGACCCCTAACCATAAAATTATTTGCGTGGCTACTTCATAACTGTAATTTTGCTACTGTTATGAATTGTAATGTAAATATCTGATATGCAGGATGTATTTTCATTGTTACAAATTGGACATAATTAAAGCATAGTGCTTAATCACAAAAACAATATGTAATTATATATGTGTTTTCCGATGGTCTTAGGCGACCCCTGTGAAAGGGTCGTTTGACCCCCAAAGGGGTCGCGACCCACAGGTTGTCGACCCACAGGTTGAGAACTGCTGCCTTAGAAGAAAGGCTTTCCCAGATGACCCTGTAAAAAATAGCAACATTTTCCTTTAGCCTGCTGTGTTTTTCTCCATAGCAGTTCTCACTACCTGACACATTTGTTCACAGAAACTCCATACTTTACTCCAGAGCTTACTTAGAATGTCAGCTTCGTGAGGGAAGGAACCGTATCAGTTATGTTCATTACTGTATCCTCAGTGTGTATAGCTAGAGTGGCCGGCACGTGGTAGGGGCTCATGCCATACGTATTGAATACATAAGTGATTTTCAAGTGACTTCTTGCCCACTCAGCACCTGCTCTGGAGAACCGCTGTATTAATGGAATCAGGTTCTCCAGCTTCTCAGAAATTGTCTGCTCTTCTTATGAAAAGTCCCTTCCCCTCTTTCACCCAATATGGAGTGTTGAAGTGGCATGTAAAGAGTGAGCTCATTTTCTGAACCATTCTAGTGACCAAGGTCTATGTGACATATTCATGTACATAAAGAGAATATACAGAATAAGAACTACCTTAGAAAACTTAACACTTTAAAAAACCTGTATTTCTGGGGGAAATGCAGGTGGTTGTCACTGGCATGGAAGGAAAAAGGCAGAAAAGAACAAAAAGGACAGGCTAATATATAACGTGTGAAGAGCTACGTAAATGACCTCACTTCACAGAACAGGGCTGTCAGAGGTCGGGGAGCTGCCAAAGACTGGACCCTAACCCCCCCTCTGGATAAACACCGAAAGGCCAGCTGTGCTACTTTTTGAATCTGGAAAGGGAACTTACTCTGCAACTGTTGTACTTTGGTCACCAGGGCGAGTTTCTCCTCCTCGGACCTCTTTAGTTGATCTAAAAATGAAATAATACAAACCAAAATAGAAGAACCCAAGATTAATGCACTCGACACCTGAGGATGGAAATTCCTCATAGGTACTGCCTTGTCCGTGGCCTCTGATATGTGTCAAGTGCAAGTTGCCCTTCCTTCTGCTTGTCCCAGCTCTGAAGAGGTAAACCAGAACCAAAGTACCTTGGATGTCATTTGCATTAAAAAATGGGGTGAGTTAAGTGTTGTATTTGTGCACGCTTTGGTCCTCTCTCAGCTGACTGCTCACAAACCTTTCAACTGGCCTTTCCCTTTCAAATCAGGAGTGTGGCCTGGACACATGTGACTGATGTGGAGCAGCCGTGGTCTGGCCCAGAGGGATGGGCTGGAAAAGAGCTGATACTCCAAGATGCGCTAGGGCTGAAAAATCCGTTTTCAGTCATGGATGATTAAAGCAGCCCTGCCTTTCCCTCAAGGTACAATGGAATCTTAAAGCCAACCAAACAAACCAATGAAAGACCGAGTGAAGCCCTTTTCTCCATCCACCTTCTTTCGCTGGTCTCACTCGGCCAGAGGCCCCCGAGGAGAAGGGTACCTTGTAGGTGCTGGGTGTCCGAGCTGCACAGGTCCCTGTCTCCCTGTAGGCACTCAATCTTGGCCTGCAGTTCCTGGTGCTCATTCTCCAGAAGTTGCAGTGCCTGGTTCATCTGCAAGTCTCTACTGTCTGCTCCCTGCAGGGAGGAAGAGGGGCAGATGCAGAAGGAGGTCAGTGCTAGGGTGGAGGGTGTGGGCAGATCCCGTGGAAGAGGAAAATTACAGGAGAGTGTAGAATTTTAGAGAGGAATACTAGGGAAATAGGAAAATAGGGATTTAAAAAAAATCTTCCCTTTGCTCTGCTCTATTCCTTTTATTACAAATAATGCATTCGATTTTTTTTTTTTAAATATTCACAAGGGACTCATTTGGGTAAATGTCCAAATTCAGGAATACCAAATCATCATTTTTCTAGATGTCTCACATTATCTTTATATTTCATTCTAGCATTATCAATTTTTTTTTGGTAGTGTCATTTTCACAAAGAATTAAGGTTAAAAAGAAAAAGATTTGTAAAGTCGTCTTATAGGTGATTTGAGATATCGATGCAATGCATGGTCAGTAGATTCATTCATTTGATAAGTGAACTCTTATCAAATGAACTGTATTCAGATACCTGCTTCAGGAAAATTAGAAAGATAAACCTTTTGAGATGGGTCCTCACAATTCCAAACCAAGTAAAAAAAATCTATGGAAAATAATAGCTAATATTAATGAGGGCTTATATGTATCAGGTATTGTATTAAGTGCTTTGCCTGGATCACATCACTTAACTCTCAGAGCAACCCTATGATATAGCTACTTATTTTTGAGATGAAGAAACAGAGGCTTGAGGTTGGTTAACTTCTCCAAGGTAAGCGAGATCAGAATGACAGTACCCTTGAGAATGCCAGGGATGTGGCAGGAGATGTTACTACCAGCCTATAAGTAAACTCATGGCATTTGTTCTGTGCCAGTAGAGGGCATTTCTGAACTGGATGCTGTACTGGGATGGGTGCAGAGGATGGGTTGGGATCTGACAGTAGGCTGCTGAATATTTCAGCCCTTTGCATTTGGATGGCGTCATTCCAATGGACACTTAGTTTGCCTGCATGGGCAGTGCAAACGTCCTTGCTAAACTCAAAATTAGATTTCAGAGCCAAAACAGTGAGTCTGGTACAAAGCCGGCCGTGAGTGAGGAACTGAAAACCAGATGCTGTCAACTGCCTTTGGGGCCCCCAATCCAGGAGCAGCTTCTCTCATCACTGCTGTCACCAGCCCTCCTCCCGCTAAACCCCACCTCCTCTCCCACCTCCCCACCTCCAGGGGCTGGTACCTGCAGTTTGGACTGAAGCACGTGGAGCTGGCTCTCCAGCTCTCTGTGCTGGGTCCCCAGGGTCCTCCAGTCCTCCTTCAGAGCCTCGTACTGGGTCCTCCACTCCTCACATTTCTGCTCAGCCAGAGCCAGGGACCGCTGAGGGAGAGCAAGGGAGAGGGTGGTGCCTTGGGTTCCCTGGAGTTGTGCAGCTGACTCCCAGAGCCGCCCCGGGCCCCCAGTGGCCAGAACTACGCAGCATCCCCGCACCTGCGTGCTCTGCAGCTGCTGCTCTGCGCTCATTTTCTCCTCCAGCACTTTCTGCAGCGACTCTTTGGCTTTCTGCTCATAGCTGTTTTTCTGGTCTTCCATCTCCATCAGCACCTTTTTCATTCCCCAAGGGGAATATTTCTGTAAATTTGATGCAATTCAACAAGTACACATTGAACTTCTGTGTGCCAATCCTGAGCTGGGGTACAGAAATGAAAAGAATTTGCCTATAGGGCAGAGATGCCAGTGATCTGGTGGAGCTTTTCTTCCTGGGGAGAGCCGGCCAGGGAAAGTCCCTCAGGTGATGTGCAAGGAGATAACAAACAGGGCCCTTGGCAAATCTTTCTCCATCTGCTCCTTTCTCTCGGCGTCCCATATCTCAGTGACCAGCATGATCACCCATCCAGCCTCCCAAGCTCCAAACCTGGGAGTCACCTTGATCTCTCTCTTACTTTCTCCCAGTATCCAGTTGGTCATCAACCCTTGTCAAGTCAAGCTCCTCTACAGCTCACACCTGTCTCGTCTCTAGCCCTATGACCCCTCCCTTAGTTCAGACTCTAATAATATTATATGAATTAATGCAAACTCTTTCAGTGCTGCAGCTACAAGGTCCTTTCTAAAAAGCAAATCTGATCCTGTCACACAACCTGCTTCAATCTCTCAGTGGATTCCCAGCGTCCTAAGGACCAGGTCCAAATTCCTCGGCATGGTTCCTACTTAATATGCCCGGGCTTTCATTCTGTGCCTTCTCCATCCAAGCGGAACTGCTTGCAGATTTCCTAAGCACTGGACTTTCTGGCCATTGCCTTTGCCCATGGAACTGCTTCTGCCTGGAGCATCCTTATCCACCCTCTTCACCTAGTTAACTTCTACTCATGCTCAAGATTCAACCCAAGAATCATGTAAGTTCTGATAAATCTTACCCTTACCCCGCAACATTATGGGTTAGGTAGCTTTTCTTAGTGTTCACATAGTATCCCCTGCATGTCTCCATCTTTCCACTCTACCCACAGCCTTTTGATGTACGGGACGACGCTCCAAACTACTGAACCGCACAGGCAGGGCCCCACGCCTTTCATCTTTACGCTCTGTGATTTTGGGGAACACGGGTAGCTGTTATTGTCAAATCTGGATTACCCACTGGGTAAGCAGTGACCTAGATAATGCAAATTTAGGGATCAATATGAAATCATTCCCATTTAGCTTTGGAATCATCTGAAAATTGGGATTTAAATGTGAATGGGTCTTGTGTCCTTAGACTTTTCATTAGAAAGCATCTCCAGGAATTATTGGTTGAGTGGGTGTGTCCCAATTATTGGACTTAACTGTGCCGGTCACTGGACAGCTTTATCCTCCATTGAACATGAATTCGTTGGCATTCTGGGTTATATGTCGGTCTCTTATGAGCTTGGTTGGCATAATTTAGTTTCTAATTTAGAGTCTGACAAAAGAGGTCATACTGAAAATTTAAAGTTGTGGATCAGCAAATCTATAGACTCTTCTAGAAACTTTTCTGCAAGACTCCAACTGTGTGGCCAGGTCCACCTTATCTCCCTGACTCCAGATAGGAACAGTCTTTCTGCTCCAACTCATTCTCTTATTTGACATGTCCCTACTTATCAGAAACACATCGCTTCTAAAGTGTGAGAGCTGGTTTCTTTCTATCTCTTGTAATCCAAGATCAGGCCAATCAAGAGATTACTGAAGCTGGATAACAATGTCACAGGGAAGCCAAGAGTCACAGCCTTACAACATTCTCCGCAGGTTGCTACAAGATGAAGGTTGCCCATGGAATGAAAAGAATTTTGCAAAATTTCATTATGACATTCAACTCATCTGTCCAAAAATTAGGACCTGTGTGGGCCTAGTCGGGTGGTGTGAATCTTTACCAAGGCTCCTCTCTAGAGCTCCAGGTATTCTCAAGGTTGCCCTGGAGCTGGCAAAGTGCTTGGTGCTGGGATTCCTTCCCAGGGTGCAATGTGAAGGGCACTGAGAGAAAGGGAGAGGAGGATAGAGATAGAATGTGGACATATGGTATATTGGGGATCACAGTGAAAATGGCAAAGTCAGAACTGGGTGAGTAGGAGTGTGTGCCTTAAACTCTATCAGGTGGCATTTCTTAGAGTGTAAGATTGAGATTCAAGCATTCTCCTTTAATTCTAGATTCCTGGGCTAGAAGTGTTCTCCAGAATGCTTACCTGGGTACAGGTGTACAGCTGGTTTTCTAAGGATCTCAGTTTGCCCTTCAATTTGTCTTCATTAAGCTGTCCCTGGAAGAGATGGGATGAATAAAAGAATTTGGGCCAAAATATAGTGTACGAAATGTTTTGTTCTGTATTCCCAGCCTACTGTCTAGATTAGAACATGGTCTATGCTCAATGTTTGGCAAACAACTCTTTCACGAAGTAGGGAGGAGGAAAGATGACAAAGGATTTTTTGGAAGAAGAGGATCTATTCCTTTTTTTCTGGAATAGGAGAAGGAAGAACCAGACTGACCCCCAACTCCTCTCTCTACTTTGAGGTTCTCTATCAAATGGCTCAGGGATCCTAGCAGGGTCCCCTTGAGGGAAAGCTTCTAAGCTGTCCTTTCCTGCCCTCATTACCTCTCTCCTTGTCTGTTGGGCACTTCTGTACTCCTCACCTTCTCTCAGTCTGGTACATGGACCTTTACTTCTAAAGTAAAGGGGACTCCCCTCCTAGGGGGAGTATACATTCTCTTTCTTACCCCTTGTTATGTGCTGAATTGTGCCAGGCCCTGTGGGACACTTGTGAGGCCTGTTCCTCCTCAGGCCTGAGGCGCCCCGGCTCCTCTCAGGTGCATTTCCAATGCCCCCAACGGTTTCCAGTCCACAATAGCCTCGGGCTGAGGAGGGGACTCTGTTTTGACGGGGCTCAGGGAGTTTCAGGGCACCTGGGGTAGGCAGGAAGTGGTATCTCACAGCTCCTGTTTGGCTGATTCTTCTAACCAGGGGAGCCAGGGGCCGCCCCCACCCTTTCTGCTTCCTGTATTACTCAGCTGAGCCTTGCAAAAGTGTCTCCTGCTATTGATGTTTTTTCTAATGTCTCTCGTGTGAGAGCTGAGAGTCAGGGATTTTGCGTGTACAATAGCCACAGGGCTTTGGGACAGATAACAGAGATGGACAAAGACCGCCACTGTTCTGGGTTCCAGAATAGCTGGTTACAGGGCTGCATTCCCCAGAGTGGCCTGTTCATTGCCAATGCACAGGTCCTGAAATCCACTCCCTCCACACCCTCATCTCCTGCTTCAGATCTTCCGACTGAGCATTTTCCTTTGCCTGAACTCTTACTCTGCAGATTGCAATCAAACCCACCGAATTTAAGGTTTATTTTGCTAGAGTTTGGGAAGAAAACAGACCAACCCCAGGCACTATTCTTACATTTTCCCCAGTGTCCTACCCCTTTTTCAGTAGCTCCTCTCTCCTCCCTTACTATGGTTTCAATTCAATATTTTACCTCTTCCAACTGTTTTTGTATTTTAGCCAGACCCCAGATTACGTTTCTATTCATCTTGCAATGTGATACAATTCAGCATAACCCCCTGCAGGGGGGATAAAGGGCTACTCAAGTCTTGGATTTAAAAAACTCTCTTGCCTACAGCTCTGCACAAACTCCCCAAGGCAGGCAGGACAGTGGCAGCCAAGTTGTTGCAAATGGGGCATGTAGTTTCCTGGTCTGAGCCCCAGCTCGCCCCACACAAAGCCCAATGGTATAGGATGTGGGGAGAAGCACTTGTTACAGGCCTGTTGTGGACTTTTTGGGGCAGTCACACCCCTTGAGCCCAGGGCTCAGGGAATACAGCACCCCCATTTGGAGAAGGGAGCAAGGTGGAGGCCATACACACCTGGTGCCGGTCTAGGCAGCTTCAGCTCCTGCTTCTACGTGGCTCTCCCTGCCTCTGTTCTCCAGGCACGCTAGCACCTCACCGCAGAAGCGCCAGCCCCAGCTCCTCACCGCAGAAGCGCCAGCCCCAGCTCCTCACCGCAGAAGCGCCAGCCCCCAGCACGACTCTGCTCTCGCAGAAGTGGCTTAGGACTTGCAGCCAATCCCCTGCCTTGCTGTCATCTCAAGATCTCATTTCTACTTTGCGGAACTTAAAAACCCCCTTGTGCCCCACTCCTGTTTTTTTTTATTGCCCAATTCTGAGCACTGGCTTTCCTGCCCGAACTGCTTTTGCTCTGCAGGTTGTCCCCAGCTTAGGACTCTGGTGGTGCCCTAGGACCTATGCATCCCAAAGGCCCAGAGTCAATGGAGGTTGGAGGCCGCGGAGGGAGCTGATCCTTGGGGTTCTAACAGAGTTGGCTGTGAGCATCTCTGCATTTGAAGTTGGAGATTCAAATCAGAGAGACCAAATGGGAAAAATAAAGGCTTGAACTGGGCTGACTGTCCTGTTCTGGCCACATCAGTTATTTTTCCCAAATTCACCTTTCACTGAAGTTGAGGCTTCCATGGGAGGGGTAGAAGGTTGAATTGCCTTGTTTTGGGGGAAAAGTAACTGAAAAGTCTTTATTGAAAAGTCTGAGACTATTTTCCTTAAAAACAGGAAACGAGGGGGTTGATGGGGAGGAGGAAGAAGGGGAGGGTGAACAGTGGGAGGGGCAGGAAGAAGGAGGGAGAAACCACAGTGTGGCCAGGGGAACTTCTGCTCACCTGCTGGAGTGTGTGCTGTGAAGCTGCCCCCATAGTCTACCTCGAAAATGTCTCTTAACACCTCCTCCCCATTCCCATCGGGCTTGCTGTCCTTCCAGCTCTGATTGTGTTCTACCTGGGATATCGTAAGTGCTCTCTACCCGCACACAACCTCAAGCCAGGGTCCCCACTGTTGTCAGAGAACCTTTTAAAACACAGATCTCGTTACTCACTTTCCATTCAGTTCCGGAGCTATTGATTGAGCTCCTTCTAAGGATGGACCAGGCACTGTAGGACTTTTTTTTTTTTTTTAAATCCTAACCCGAGGATACTTTTTCCATTGATTTTTTTTTTTCAGAGCAAGTGGAGGGGAGGGAGGAGGGGAAGAGAGAGAAAGAGAGAGAAACATGGATTTAAGACACATAGATTGGTTGTCTCCTGCTCAGGCCCTGACTAGGGCCTGGGATGGAGCCTGCAACCAAGATACGTGCCTTTGACTGGGAATCAAACCCACGACCCTTTGGTCTGTGGGCTGACGCTCTAACCACTGAGCAAAACTGGCCAGGGTGACACTCTAAGCCTTTAAACCTGAATAAAGCATCGTTCCATTGCTGTCCTGCTTATTGTCTATAGCAGTGTTTCCCAAACTGGAGATAACATGCAATCTCTTGGATCTGAGATATCTGTATTTTCCCCCTAAAGTGGAGTCCATACATTATTTAAGTTTGAGATGCTATGTTCAACAGAAAAAGTGTAACGGTCATAATTCTAGAGACTTGTCTGAGGTCATTTCTGGTCTTATCTTTGGAGCGACTCTGACATGATCTCTTCATTTCAGCCACGCTCTGCTACACCCAATGCTTTGTCATACGTAGGCCTGGAACCATTCTGGTTTCTTTGCCTTTCTGCTTTTTCGGCCCCATCATCATTCCCACTTTTGTCCTGGTAAACTCCCCTGCATCCTCCAGGACCCAACTCAAATGGCCCCTGTCCTTCAGAACCTACCCTATTCCACCTCAGGCCGAATAATGGCTCTCTTCTCGTTTCGTTGGGCCACTTTGCAGACACCGCTGTTACAGCTTTGTCACGTTGTGCTAGTTGCTTATGACACATCTCTCCCTCCCCTGTTGAGTGTGAGCTCCTCAGCCTCAAAGACCTCACTCCTCATTTTCCCTGGTAGCACAGAGCCCAGCACTTGGTGGGAACTTATCAACTGTCTGTTGAGTAAAAGAGAGAAACATCTCAATGGAGTTCAGCCCTGGAAACCTTCTGGCCTGCACAGCTGTCTGCCCCAGACTCCTAGTCTCTGGTGGAAAGGGCTTCCTTAATCAGGAACGTAGATACCTAAACCCAGACACAACGAGGGATGCGAGGAGGGAGGGCTGAGCTTAGGAAATCTTTCTTACATCACTGCAAACATCTCAGTTTGGTTCCACGCCCTCCATTTCCTCTCTCGGTCTAAGCAGAAGCCATTTGTGCGGTGGGCTAGATGGTCACAGAGGCCCTTGAGGGTGTGGCTTCTTTCTTTGCACCTGGTGCTTTACGCTCTGATGGGGTCAAACTGCTGGTAGCTCCCTAAACACACTAGTCCAGGGGTTTCCACGGGGGATCTGAGGAGCCCTGGGAATCCCTGCGACCTTTTCAAGCAAGGTCTTCCCTTTTCTAACTACAGATCGGTTTGAGGTCAGATTTTCCTCATATGCTTCGACCAGAACAATGTTTTTGCAACAGATTGAATGCAGAATCAAATCTGAGAATGGAGCTGTCTTCTGTTCAACCAGACATTAAAAAAAGATTTGCAAAAGTTTAAAGCAATGGTACTCCTTTTACTGTTTTTTAAAAATATACCTATTTTTCCTAAAAATATAAAGTTTAGGTTAACATGTAATGGATTTACTATTGTTATTTTAAAATTAATATATATTTTAAGATTCCAGTTTTAATTTCTAATATGGTATATTTTAACATGGCAAATATAAAATTATTTTTTGGGGGGGGAGTTTCATGGTATTTTTTTTTTTAAGAGTATAAAGGGGTCCTGAGATTAAAAAGTTGGTGACTCATTGCACTAGACTATATTATTCCTCTTGGTCTTTGCCTGTGCCATATCCCCTGCCTGGAATACAGTTCCTTCTTCCACGTTTGCCTGGAAAATATTTACATTACTATAAATATTTCCTTGGTTCTCATCTTCTTTAGAGTTATTCATTCCTTCTTATATACTACTATATCCTGAAAACATTTCTTTTTTAAAAGAATATATTTTTATTGATTTCAGAGAGGAAGGGAGAGATAGAAACATCAATGATGAGAGTCATTGATTGACTGCCTCCTGCACACCCCCTATTGGGTATCGAGCCCACAACCCAGGCATATGCCCTTGACTGGAATCAAACCTGGAACCCTTCAGTCCACAGGCCGACGCTCTATCCGCTGAGCCAAACTGGTTAGGGCTGAAACATTTATTTCTCATATCTCTGTATTGTTTATGCATCTGACTCCCCGACAAAACCACAAGCTCTCTGAAAGCAGGAACCCTGTGTAATTAATCTCACTATTTCCAATGCTCGGTACAGAGAACATGGTCTATGAATATTCGTTGAATGAATGGGCTGGAATCAGGAGATCTACATTTTAGTTTCAGTCCTGCCTCTAACCGGCAGTGTGACTTTGGGCGAGTCACTTGACCTCTCTGACGCTCAGTTTCCTCGTGGGCACAATGAGACAGACTGGATGACCTCTGAGGTTCTTTCCCACTCTCACATTCCCGTCTGGGCTGAGCAGTAGGTGTATGCCGGCTGGGAGTTCATATTGGTTATGAGTGCAATACAAAAATAATTGGCATTTACCACAGTTAGTAATATTAACTGTACTGGGATCTCCCTCGTTGCAACAAATTAAAAACTGGGGATTCTTGCCCCTTTTGCTTCTGGGTCCTCCCTGGGTGTGTAGCCCTCACAGCCCTGGGTTTTGAGCCGTCCCATATATTTACTATGACCATCTATTTGCTGTTTGACTTCTAGGTCTTAGCATCATTCTCTACCTCCTGCCTCTACAGTAGTGAGAAAAACACACACACCATACTCGGTAGGGAAGGTATGGAAAGGAGAAGGAGATGGGCAAACTTAGAAGCTGATGAGCTTTGTTCAGACAGAGGTTTCATTTCCCTTACCTTCCAGGAACTGTCAGAGGCTCTGATCAGGGTGGACAGTAGGTCTTGAAGAATCACCATTTTCTGTTTTAGAACCAGCTCTCTTTGTAGGGCCTCCTGGGAGCAGAATGCAAGAGGGTAAGATTCACCTGGCGCAGGAGAGAGGACATAGGTGGAGGAGTTGAGGGGAGAGTTCACGTTACTTACTTTGAGGTACTCGGAAAGCTGGATGATTTCCTAGAGAGAAAGGAAAGGCCAGTCAAGAAGACTCTAGTTCTGCTGAAGTCCCGGAACATGGAACCAGAGCTGGGGTTGATTAGTACAGAGTAAACTTTCTTCCTTGGTTCAGACAAAGTCCCCCCAGCCCCTCACGTCTATGCTCATCCATGGAGAAGGCGCCCCTCCATCCCAGCAGAGTTTCTCATGGGATCCCAGAATACCAGAGTTTGGAGCAGCTTGTATACCATCTGATTCAACCCCTCCAAGGTAAGGATTTTCTTACCTTATCTAGAACCGCAACTCCACAACTGGGAAGAGAAAAAGTAATAACAAAATGACAATGGAGCAAAGAAACTAACAGGTAGGAGGTGGTGGGTTGGGTGGGAAGATCTTCCCCTTTTTTTTTTTTTTTAAAAATACATTTTTATTGGTTTCAGAGAGGAAGGAGAGGGAGAGATAGAAACATCAATGATGAGAGAATCATTAATCGGCTGCCTCCTGCACGCCCCCTACTGGGGAGCAAGCCCACAACCCGAGCATGTGCCCTGACCAGGAATCGAACCATGACTTCTTGGTTCATAGGCTGATGGTCAACCACTGAGCCACACCAGCTGGGCCTTTTGTTTTTGTTTTTTTAATGAAGGTGGACATGGACATTCATTGTGTTCCCTACACACTGGGTGAGGGTATTCAAGTGAAAACATAGAGGAATGGATGGGATGTGAAGGAGTTGGGGTCAGGAACACAAAAGGTACTTACTTGGTTTGCTGACTGGCATCATTCTTAGTTGTTGGCTGTGCTTCTTTTGCCTTTGTCTGAGTGCCTGAGAGATGGAGGAGCAGGTGATTCAGAACGGGGTTGGGGGGGGAGCGGGGGGGAGAGAAAGTGGGGGAAGTGGGGAGATGCAGGGGCTCTCTGCCGCCAGTGAGCTGGGACTGACATGGCAGGATTCTCTGCAAGCCCCAGAGAGGGAGGGAGCTTCTGCTCTTACCACGATGGTGTTTGGGTGGCTTCTTGATGGCAAAGTCCTGTGGTGGAAGGCCCTGGGCCTGGGAGGGGAGATGATTGTCCAGATCCCTCCAGACGCTTGAGGGAGGGTGATGTTGGGTTGGAAAGACCTCAGAGCTGGTCCCTGGCACCTGGAAAGCAAGTGGCGGATGCTGGATGCCTAGAGCCACTAGGACAGGATTCTCCAGCTGATTGCAGAAAGGTGGACTGATGAGCAAGTTTCAGGTCCAGAGGACCAAAGTAACCCCTTTAGGCCTTCAAGGCTGCATGGTTATTTGCTCTTGCCTTCCCTGTTTCAGCTGCCAGGAATGGTCCTCCTCAAGCCAGGAAGCAGGAGCTGGGCTTGTCTCCAACTAGACTCTCTAGAATCCCCGTCTACCTTGTTTGGCCTCAGCCACTCACCCAGCCAGCATGGTGATATGGAAAGAGAACGGGTCTGAGTGGGGAGTGAGGGGATCTGGGATCAGAGACCACCTTTTCCAGGTCTCAGTCTCCTATCTGTGTAATGGGTTTGGAGTAGATGAACTCTAAGCTCCCTTCTGTCTTCTAGGGATGGCTTCCTTCCTCTTAGGAATAGCTGGAATGCTGCTGAGGTGTGTGTGAAGAGAAGGTAAACTAGGGAATTGTAAAGAGGGGTGTAGTAGTAGTTGTCACAATTTAGTCTGCTTTTTTAATTTATATTTTCTTTTTTTACATATTTAAAAATTCTATGCTTTGCTTTTAACATAACACTCAGAGGCTAAGAAATGCCTGTGGTATTTAATCATGCAGACCAACTCAATCTCAATAAAACTTTAAATATATTTTTATTTATTTCAGAGAGAAAGGGAGAGGGAGAGATAGAAACATCAACGATAAGAGAGAATCACTGATTGGCTGCCTCCTGAATGCCCCTCACTAGGGATTGAGCCAGCAACCCGGGTATGTGCCCTTGACTGAAATCGAACCCAGGACCCTTCAGTCCACAGGCCCTTCCAGTCCACAGGCTGATGCTCTATCCACTGAGCCAAACCAGCTCAATAAAACTTTAAATAACTGATAGGCTCGGTTGGAATTCTTTAGTTAATTGTGTTTCCTGACCTTTTAAAATTTTTTATTTGATTTTAGAGAGAAAGGGAGAGGGAGAGCAAGAGACAGAAACATGGATGTGAAAGAGAATCATCAATTGGTTGCCTCCTGTATACACTCTGACTGGGGATCGAACCTACAAACTTGGTTTGCGCTCTGACCAGAAATCAAACCAGCAACCTTTTGGTGCATAGGATGACGCTCAACCAACTGAGCCACACCGGCCAGGGCCCAATCTTTTTCTCCTTAAATATTTTTTCAACAAAAGCATTCAGAAGCCCTCCTTCCTTAGAAAGTACAGTGTTGGTTTTATCTTACAGTTGGGCGCGAGGATCATTTTTCTGAACAGCACCTCCTACTGTGGACAACAGGTCCACTAGTTAAGAAGCCCCCACAGAGCACCTACTCTGGGTAGGGCACAAGGCCAGGCGTTTCCAGGGAATACAGTAGACCCACCCCTGCTGCCAACATGCTCAGCATGGATGGGAAGACACAGATAGTTTGCTGGCTGAGGTCATTCGGACACACCCTGTTTCTTTTTGCCAACATAGCTCCCCCCCAGGCCAGACTAATGGGTTCTTGGGCCGTTATTTAATCTCAGAGGATTAATAGCCTCATGAGAACCACGGAGAGCGGAGTTGGAGAAGCTAGGGAAGGCTTCCTGGACAAGATGAGGCCTTAGCTGAGTGAATTTAGTAGAGTGGGAATGGCCCAAGAGGAAGAGAGAAGGTGGGTGGGTGCAATAGCTCACAGAAGAATAGACGTGTGTGTGTGTGTGTGTGTGTGTGTGTGTGTGTACCTGGCATACAATAGGCATTCAATAAATACGTGTTGAATGATGGATGAAGGATGTAGAAGATGTGTAGATTGCCTACATTTGAACTGATACTAAGAATTAGCTGTGGAATTGTTTTTAAAATTATTTTTTCTCTCCTATAAGGCAGGTGCAAAACAAAAATAGCTAAATAGACAAGCAGAAAAACACAACAACAAAAATCTCTGTGATAAGTGGCTAAGGGAAGCTTTACTACATGACTGAGGAAGGGACTTAATTGGAATCACTTTTTAGTGACCCGGAGGCCCCCCCCCCCCCCCCCCAACAGAGCAGTGTGTCCGTAGGCATGCCCACCTGCTGTCTGGGGGGAGGGATCCTGTTGGGCCAAGCCAAGAGCTTCTTGAGTTCAGCCTCCTGGCCTGTCCTCCTGGAGGGACTTTGCTCCCTGTCCGGGCCACTCTGTATTTTGTCTTTCTCGTCCACCTCCAGGTTCCTTCTCCTGAAGAACTGCTGCTGTCGGGCTCTCTGGAGCTGCTCTGTGTGCTGGGTCCTCAGCGCCTTCCCCACCTGGCGGCAAGTGGTCATGTTGGGGCGGCAGCGGCGGCTTTCACGGGTCTCCTGCCGGCGCTCATACTTGGCCTCGTAGCTCTCGGCCCACCGGGCCAAGCCAGCAGGAGGCCTGGGGTCTGGGCTGATCATGAGGAGCTCCTGAGCACCTGTTGTGCTTGGCTTCCAGTTCCTGGAATAGCTGTCGGGATCTGCCAAATGCCAAGAGGGAGGAGAAGGGGAGGGGTCAGGAGATGGACAGAAAAATGACTACCTCCCTGGACAGGGGGGCGGAAATAGCATATACATGGGGGTTGAAAACAGAGGAGGTGTTGATGTCAAACTGAGAGTCAGGACTCTCAGGGTCCAGTCTCTACGCTAACTTCTGCTTTTCTCCGGCCTTTGTCTCCCCCTCTGCAAAGTGGAAAGTCTTTCTGGCTGCCACTTCTTCATTCACCAAACATCTCACCCTGCCTCTAAGTCGGGGGACCATGAGAAATCATTGATAAAAATCATCATGAGTTTGTCACCTTTTGGATGGCAGGGATGTGTTCACTCTTTGGGGATTCCTAGAGAACCAGTTGAATGGCTCCCTGTTCCCAAATCTAAAGGACAAGCCAGCATCTTTACTGCTCTCTTGGCCCAGGTTACTAGAGTAGGCGAGTGACTCTACTCAAGGCCTGGAGGGACACCCAGACCCCTCCAAGGTGTGGCCAGTCCTGAGACCAGCACCCTCTGCTTTCTTCTTAGCCCTTAGCAACCAGCTGTGAGCTTGGTCCTGGGCACAGTCCAGAATGGAAACCCCACCCTAATTCCTCTAATTATGGTCCATTGGCACCCGACTCCCAGCCCAGACCCGGGCTCCGACTCTCAGGTGCAGATCAACTCAGATCAGTATTGGCCAAGCACCAGCCACAGGCCCAGTGCTGGCAAAACCCATAACAAAACTTCCAGTTCAATAATTCTTGGCGTTGAGAATTTCATTTTTCTGGAATCACCTCCCTGTCAGAACTAAGTATGGTGTCAAGTCTGCTTTTCTTAGCCCAGACACAGGCTGTGCCATCAAAACCAGCGATCAGCCCGGTCCGTGTAGCACAGCGGTTGAGCTGTGAACCAGGAGGTTATTGTTCAATTCCTGGTCAGGGCACGTGCCCGGGTTGTGGGCTCGGTCCCCAGTGGGGGGTGTGCAGGAGGCAGCCAATCAATGATTCTCTCATCATTGATGTTTCTATCTCCCTCTCCCTTCCTCTCTGAAATCAATAAAAAATATATTTAAAAAACCCAGCAAACACATGGATTTTGTCTCCTTAAGGTTATTACAAACAAAAATGAAACAAAACCAAACAAACCAAAACAGTAGCCCAAAGTCCCCAGGCCTTTCTGTAGAGGCCACACTTTGTCGCCCCTTTACGTGGCCTTACCTGCTGCTCAGATAACCCCCAACCCTTCTTCCTTCTCTGTGCTCCCCTCACCCTCTCCTACACTCACGGACCTTCTGCAAATGTGTTTCTTTACCTAGAACCCTCTGCCAGCCTGGCTGAGTTGGGGCGGGACTTGGCTCAGCTGGATCCTGAGTGCTGGAAATTCTGTGCCCTTCCTCCCCTGATCACAGGAGTGACTGCGGAGGGAAGAGGAGCCCCCCTTACAGCTGCCGCTTCTCTTCTGGGTCCCCCAACCTGCCTACCCACCACCCTGGGAGCCTTAGTTCCTGAGTAGGTCAGAGAAGGGTACCTCAACTGCACCAACAGCAGGTCTTTGCCAGCTCTGGCCCCTCGGGTCTATTTACAGGCCAAATAGACTCAGCAGGTAGCAGTCTCTGTGCTCCCTCATAGGAACCTCACTGCCCATCTGGCTTGGTCTGGAATTCTCTGCAGGACTCATTCCCCAGGGTCAGGGGTGGGGTGGCCTCACTCCCTGAGAGGGGTCTTATGTGGTTCAGCCCTGCACCTTCTCAAATGCCTGAGTCCTGGGTAGGGCTGACCCGAGCAGAGCTGTGAGGGTGCTGTCATGCTTGTTCTAACATCCCACCCTGCTGTTTCACCTTTTTTTGGTTAATCCTCCCCCAAGGATATTTTCCCATTGAATTTTAGAGAGAGTGGAAGGGAGAGGGAGAGAGAGAGAGAGAGAGAGAGAGAGAGAGAGAGAGAGAGAGAGAGGAAGAGAGTGAGAGTGAGCCATCCATTGGTTGCCTCCTGCGTGCATTCCGACCAGGGCTGGGGATCAACTCTGCAACCAAGGTACATGCCCTTGACCTAATCAAACCCAGGACTCTTCAGTCCACAGGCCGACACTCTATCCACTGAGCCAAACCAGCTAGGGCTGTTTCACCTTTCTTTAGGCTTTTCTCCTCACTCTGTAGGGGTCCTCTGACTTCCCAGCTGCCACTTTATTTATTAAAAAACTTAGATAAGCCCATTCATGTTAAGTTATAAATGACTGGCTGGAGGAGACTGGGATTAAGTGCAGATGAACTCCATGTCTGGGATCTATGCCGTGGCATCCTATGCAGAGCCCCTGGCTATTCTGCCATGGATGGGGAGGCGGGGAGCCCAGCTCTGGGCTCAGTGTGGCTTTAAGTCCCGGCTCTGACACCTACTACCTATGTGCTTTTTTTTTTTTTTTAAAATATATTTTTTATTGATTTTTTTTACAGAGAGGAAGGGGAAGGGATAGAGAGTTAGAAACATCGATGAGAAACATTGATCAGCTGCCTCCTGCACACCCCCGACTGGGGACATGCCCGCAGCCAAGGTACATGCCCTTGACCGGAATCGAACCTGGGACCTTTCAGTCCGCAGGCCGACGCTCTATCCATTGAGCCAAACCGGTTAGGTCCTACCTATGTGCTTTTGAAGAAAACTATTAAACACCTCTGAGCCTCAGTCTCCCCATTTATAAAATGGAAACTTATCTCATAAGGTTATGAGGGTTAAATAAAAAAATGCACCCCAGCCGGTGTGGCTCAGTAGTTGAGCATTGACCTATGAACCAGGAAGTCACGGTTTGATCCCTGGTCAAGGCACATGTCCTGGTTATCAACTTGATCCCCAGTAGGGGGCATGCATGAGGCAGCTGGCCAAAGACTCTAATCATTGATGTTTCTATCTCTCCCTCTCCCTTCCTCTCTAAAATCAATAAAATATATTTTAAACAAAGAAAAGAAAAAAGTGCATGTCAAGCATCTGACACATAGCACACAACAAATGTCAGCTTTTTATAATAATAATAAAGATCAGCTATGATCATTATTACCCCTGTCCTGCGGATCTTGGATACTGCGGACACGGTGCCGTAAGACAAAGGCCCCAAAGCTAACCTAGCGCTCCCAGGACCAAGAATGCGGCACCCGCCAGTCCCCTTTTCTCTTAAAGGGGTGCTGTTTACCCCATGGAGGGGATGCCTGTCCGGGACATCCTCCTATTTACTACTCTGGTTCATCTGGCCTCTGGGTTTGGGCCAGGAGAAGAAAGGGCTTCTCTGTGGTCGGGACACAGCCACCTTCTCAGCTAGGCCTGGCAGAAAGGCAAAGAGATGGGGGTGAAGAACTGTGTCCAGCCTGCGCTCCACCATTACATGTGGGGGCGAGGTCCCCACCCTGTTTGGCTCCTGGTGACCACCGGTTATGTAGAGGAGGCGGATCCCTGGGTATGGAGAATCCTCCCCTTTCCTGCCGTGAAGAGGACAGGGCCGTGGGGAGGAGCTGAGTCTGAGGGAAGGCCTCTCTGGACGCCACCAGGCTGTCTGCACTAATCCGCTGAAACAGGCTGCCTCCTCCGCTTCCTGAGGGGCAGGTGCTGGGGCTTGTTACCCAAGCGGGAGGTGCGCTAGAAATGGCCCCTTAGAGAAGGGAGCATTCCCTGACCCCCAGGCCCTCACGCCTGGTAGCACTTCTGCGGACAGCTGAGCGGAATCATGCCCAGCTCCAGGGACAGCTGGACTGTTCTGATGGCTTGCACCAGGAGGCCATGTGGGTCGGCTCACTGACAGCGATGGGCTGTAGAAGAAAAAGGAACTGGCCCCTGTGAGGTTCAAAGATAGGTCACTGGGCCACTGCCCGGGCTTTCTGGCATCTGTGGGGCGCCCCTTGGCAGCATGACAGGGCCCAGTGGAGCTCCGGGGAGACGTGGGACTGGCTGGGGATAGCCCTCCTCACTGCCAGAGGGAGATGTCCGGGTGCTGGCCTTCTGAGTCTCTGTTCCCACTTCCTGGCTGTGTGTGCGGTGAATGGCTTCCCAGTCCAGAGCTCTTGCTGTGAGCCAGGACAGATAGGCCTACACTTAAGCTGTTGGGAAGGCAGCTACTCGTCTGGGGGACTCCCTGCTTTGAAGAGAGCTGTAAAAGTTCACTTAACTTACGCCCCTGTCACTAGGTAGCCTGAATCCTGTCATTGACTCACCCCTAATTCAATCTAACGGATGGAGAGAGGAGCGATGGAAGCTGTACACTGTGGCCAGTGGCTCCGGAAACCAGTGCGGGGTGCTTTCTTAGTTACCCAATGCCCAACGCTCTTAAGCTCCACCATCTGCTCCTGTGTCTCCCCCTTCAGCTCAGGGAAGCTCCAATGAGGGAGGTGCTTCTGTTCCACCCCAGAGTCGGAGGACCCCAACCTGAACACAAAAACATCCTCTTCCTCAGTTACCTTGGGTCCCAGGCTCCAACCCAAGCAGCTCAGAAAAGCCTTCCAGCTCCTGGGTAGATCTTGGCTCTGGTCTCAGATGGGGCAAGACAGCAGCCGAGTCAAGTGCAAGCTTTCAATCCATGGCTCTGCGTCCCCTTAGCATTTCCCTTCTTGGTACTGTTTCTCTTTGCGCAGAAGCCTCGCTGAAACAGGAAACAGATAAAGCCACAATGCTTGCTCACCCCAGTTCCTCTCTCTTGCTTTCTGGCACAATCTGAGTGGGCCCCTGAGCCCCGGAGGCCTCCACAGGGCTGGGCCTAGGAGCTCCTCCCATCAGTGGGCACCCCAGCCACCCTTTCTCTTGCTACTGGATTGGTCTGCGCTCTTGGACAGTTTCAAGTTAAGATCCCTTTCCAAGAGTAGACAAGGATGGGTCTCTGGGTCAGATTCACATCTTGCAGCTTTGATGAGATGCACCCATTATAGGTTTTCAATTTTCTCTTTCCTTTAATTACCTCTTCCCAGTCCTGACGTTGTAAAGAGTTTCTGCTCTTCTGAAGTATTGGTGTTTTTTTTGTTTGTTTGTTTTTTTTTAAATATATTTTATTGATTTTTTACAGAGAGGAAGGGAGAGAGATAGAGAGTTAGAAACATCGATGGGAGAGAAACATCGATCAGCAGTCTCCTGCACATCTCCCACTAGGGATGTGCCCGCAACCCAGGTACATGCCCCTGACCGGAATCGAACCCGGGACCCCTCAGTCCGCAGGCCAACGCTCTATCCACTGAGCCAAACCGGTTTCGGCGGTGTTTTTTTTCATATTTCTGAAATGAGGCCAGCTGAAGCAACAGTGTGTGTGTGTGTGTGTGTGTGTGTGTGTGTGTGTGTGTGTGTGAAAGGGTGTGTGGCTAGGTAGTGAAGGGAGCAATAGTAGAATCTTCTAAAAATATTTCCCAGTCAATAGACTAGGAAATTTTTTTTTGCGGGGGGTGGGAGGAACTAAAAGAAACTGATCTGTGTGCATTGCTAAGAAACTATTACAGATGATATAGCCAGGACATTCCCAAGAACTTCAGGATAAGATAGTGGGAAGGGAAGCGGACTGGGACTAGTTAACCGAGTAGCTTTGTAACCTTGTGCAATTCACTTTGAACGGTACACTCAGTACATGGTTGGGTGATTTCCATGGTGCCTCTGAATTCTCAGGCTTGACACATATGAGGTGCATAATGAGACATTTAAACAGCTGTAATAACACTTATTAACATATGGGGAGTATGTCACAATCTTCATTGCTATTACTTCCCCATTCGCTGAAGAGAAAAAGGACAAGGACTTGGCAGGGAAAAGTGCAGAGGATGATTCTCAAGCATTAAAACCAACGGCAGATGGCAGTCCCTCAGGATGAGACAATAGCCCCAGGTCCTGTGTTTGGAGTTTGACATATGGAGATGGGAATGAGCAGAGGAGGGGCGGGGGGGGGGGGGAAGGGGGCGGGGTTGGGGAATTCAAGATGGAGAATGAGAGAATTTCATTGGCACAGAATAAATAGTGAGAGGGCTTGGGGAGTTTAGGGCACAAGAGCATCAGAAGGGACAGCAGATTGTAACAGGAGTTCCTGTAGACAAACTATTTGGTTTCCATTCAAAATTAGAAAGAAGTGTGTGTGTCCGGCTGGTGTGACTCAGTTGTTGGAGTGTCAACCTATGAACCAGGAGGTCACGGTTGATTCCCAGACAGGAATCACATGCCCGGGGTGTTGGGCTTGATCCCCAGTAGGGGACATGCAGAAAGCAGCCCGTCAATGATTCTCTCTCCTCATTGATGTGTGGTGAGGGTAGCCTGGAGCTCCAAGTCTTGCAGAGTGGCTCAGGTTGGGCAAACTGAAACCTGTTCCTGTTCAAGGTCTCCCCAGTGAGTGACTTGGAAACTCTCTTTGCTAGTCTTCCAAGTGTCTAGGTGGTAACTATTTAGTCAGACGCCCACGCAAATATCTTGAGCACAAATGTTCTCAGAGGTGCTACAGTCTAAACCAGTGGCTCCTAAGCCCCCTCCCCCCCCCTTTTTTTTGGCCATGCCCCACCTAAGCATCTCTAAAATCCTGATATCCCCCCTGTGACATATAATTCTTGTTATTCAAAAAGTGAGCTCCTCTTCACGTGGAGGATCCTAAAAGGCCAGTAACTTGGTCTAAACAAGCTTCCAAAGAACATGGCATCCATGAAGGAGAAAAGTAAAAGAACGAAAGGACAGGTGAAGTACTGAGGAAGAAATCGTTAAAAAATAGTAATAATATGCAGTGATATGAAAAAGTAGCAAATAAAGTTTCAAAACATATAATAGAGAACTGAAATGCATACACATGTCACAATATACATTTATATACTGTATATGAGGCCCCTAGAACCCTAAAAAATGCAAAAAATTTACTGTTAATAACTAATTCTCAAATTGCCCCCCCCCCCCCCCCGTGGGGTGTGTGCCCCATGTTGTGAACCGCTGTAACCCGTCAGGAGAAGATAAGTATTTCCTTAACTTCTACATTTGCAAGGTTGCGACTTCACACTCGTGGCAGGACTGAGTTCTCAGTCCTCTTCTCTCTTTGGTTGCTTTGTGTCATTAGAGTAGAGAGAGGACCTTTTAGTTTAATAAATCTTCAAAGCTATGCTGTAAGAGATGATCAGTATTAGCCAGAGATTTGTCTATTGTATAGATGCTAAGAATCTGGAAGACTTAAGCCTAAGGCCAACCCCCTATAGATCATTCTTATGGGTCTTGGCATTGAGAAAGTCAAACTAGTTTTCATCCTAGGCTCCTGAGAAAGATGGTCTCGCTAGCTTTGACCTTGAAGGCTCTGATAGGAACCTCAGGCCTGGGGTGGGGACAGAGACTCGTGTGTGTGTGTGTGTGTGTGTGTGTGTGTGTGTGTGTATGTTACGGAACAGACAGGAAAGGAAAGAGGAAGGTAGGCCAGAAAAAGGGCCCCCCAGGCACCCATCTCTGTTTGGACCAAAGCAAAAAACCACACGTTAATCTTTAGCAGTGGTTCTCAACCTGTGGGTCACGACCCCTTTGGGGTTGAATGACCCTTTCACAGGGGTTGCCTAAGACCATCCTGCATATCAGATATTTACATTACGATTCATAACAGTAGCAACATTACAGTTATGAAGTAGCAACGAAAATAATTTTATGGTTGGATCACAACATGAGGAACTGTATTTAAAGGGCCAGAAGGTTGAGAACCACTGCAGAGCAACTTTGTTCCTCTCCTCTAGGCTTCATGTCAGATTTGTCCCCTTGGGCCTGCCAGAATATAAATAAGGCTTAGCTTTGAGTCAAATATAATGATTCGTCCCCTAGGCATGCAACACTTCTTTCTAAACTTTAAAGATGACTGCTTTTCAGGACTGAGAGCAACACCCTCCTCTTCTCAATGTGTGTGTGACTTACTCAATAACAGCACTCTGAGGACTCCTAGGTTGTCATGAAAACCATTATTGATTTAAAAGCAATATGTTTTTGTAAATTACTGAGCTACCCAAAGCCATCATTTAACACAAAATTTAAAATATGAAGCTTCTAGCATGGAATAGATTGCAAAATCTTAGAGGGAAGGCGAGGGAGGGTAGAAAGGTGGGAAGATATCAACCAGAGAACTTGTATGCATATACGCATAATTCATGGACACAGACAATAGGGTGATGAAGGCCTGGGGCAGAGGGATTGTGGGGCTAGAAGGGATCAATGGGGAAAAAAGGGGACATATGTAATACTTTCAACAATAAAGATATCATTTTTTAAAAAAGAAAAAAGTGCCCTGACCGGTTTGGCTCAGTGGATAGAGCGTCGGCCTGTGGACTGAGGGGTCCCAGGTTCGATTCCGGTCAAGGGCATGCACCTTGGCTGCGGGCATATCCCCAGCAGGGGGTGTGCAGGAGGCAGCTGATCGATGTTTCTCGCTAATCAATGTTTCTAACTCTCTATCCCTCTCCCTTCCTCTCTGTAAAAAAAATCAATAAAATATATTTAAAAAATTAAGATTCTATTCATTAATATGTGCTTCCACTTACTTTACTTCATTTATATAATGTTTTCTCACCATAGCCTCAGCAGGCAGAACCACTCATTACCTTTGTCTTACTCCAAGAATGCGGAGGCCTCAAAAGCAGTAACTGTACTCACATTAGCACTCTAATTCCAGAGGTGTTTGCTCTCTGGGAAAACTGGGTTAGTTAACGGTGTCATCCTCTTTCTGCAACCGGCGATTTGGCTCCCTGGTTGAACTGTCACTTTCCCCACAGCCTTGGCTCAGCCATCCCAATACTTTGCCAGGCGGCCCCCCATTCCAAACTGAAAACATCCTCCCGAGCCTTTTCTGTACATTTTACATATTTCTGCCCTAACCGTTCAATCTCCTTTATACTCAGCAAACCCGTTATCCATAACAGAGACTATTTAAATCGATGCAGTAAAATGGACCCCAAACTGATCTCAACAAAGCGCTGGCATATTCCACGGCTGCCAGCAAAGAGCACTTTAAGGGCTTTGCAGCCGAACAGTGAAAGTAGGTTGATGGAGAAATGGGTCAGAAAGCATTCAGGTTTTCCTTTACTTCCTTTTTTAAATTTTTATGAAAATTGTGATATGATGCCACTAAAATCATTTTTAAATTAAAAAAATTACATTTTTCTTTAAATATATTTAGGATAAAATCCCAGAAGTGGATATGCTGGAGCAGTTCTGTGAAGAAGCAGTTTAGTTCTTTTTTTAAAAATATTTTTTTTTATTGATTTCATAGAGGAAGGGAGAGGCAGAGAGAGATAGAAACATCAGTGATGATAGACATTCATTGATCAGCTGTCTCCTGCACCCCCCACCCCCCACTTGGGGTTGAGCCCGCAACCCTTGCATGTGCCCTGACTGGGATACAAACTGTGACCTCCTGGTTCATAGGTAGATGCTCAACCATTGAGCCACGCCGGCCGGGAGAAGCAGTTTAGTTCTGATGAGAAGGTTTTGCAGGAAGTGGGCAGGAAGGAATAGAGCTAGGGTTTAGGACAGGGGTGGGCAAACTTTTTGACTCGAGGGCCACAATGGGTTCTTAAACTGGACCAGAGGGCCGGAACAAAAGCATGGATGGAGTGTTTGTGTGAACTAATATAAATTCAAAGTAAACATCATTACATAAGAGGGTACGGTCTTTTTTTTTTATTTTAGTTTTATTCATTTCAAACGGGCCCGCAGGCCGTAGTTTGCCCACGGCTGGTTTAGGGCATTGCTGGAACAGCCTGGGGGCTTAGTGCTGCTGGATGTTAGCAGAGAGGCAAAAACAAGGTAGCCTGGCGAGAAGCTCAAAAGGCTGGAATCTAGGGAAATGACTTTTAGATCCATCTACACCTCTCCCTTGAAATGCAAAGTTGTTTTGTCACTGTGGGTTTGTTTTCTCTAAAGCAGTGGTTCTCAATCTTCTGGCTCTTAACATACACTTCCTCATGTTGTGACCCAACCATAAAATTATTTTCGTGGCTACTTCATAACTGTAATGTTGCTACTGTTATGAATCGTAATGTAAATATCTGATATGCAGGATGGTCTTAGGCGACCCCTGTGAAAGGGTCATTCAACCCCAAAGGGGTTGTGACCCACAGGTTGAGAACCGCTGCAAAGCCTTTCCTAGTATTAGGGTCTATGAATCCTTTATTCCTCAAACATTAATCAAGCACTTTATACATGACCAAATCTGTGCTCAGTAAATTTAGAGTGTAGTGAACTCAAGTGATAGACAAATAGGAAGTGGCAGAGGCCTGAATGCCATGGGAAAGCACCCATCCCAGCTGGTGAAGGCAAGAAACTTCCTGGAGGAGGTAATGGTGGAGTTGAATCTTAAAGGGTGAGCAGGATTCAGCGGATAATCAGGAGAGTGGAGAGCTGTCTCGGTAGAAGAGGTGGCTGGGTGAAGGCATGGTGGGAACAGCAGAGTACCAGCCATTCTGTCCTCAGGAACCGAGAGCAGGGCACGTGGCCCGAGATGTGGCTGGGGAGGTAGCCTGGGTCTTTGCACATCATTTTAAAGAGCTTGGGTTTTCTACTACCATTTTAGCCAAGAATGGCTTTGGATGTGGGCCGGTGTCCACTCACAGCCAAGAATCTGTCCTGATTTCCCCATACCTTGAACTTTCTTGCCCTGGGAGGCTCAGAGCACCTTGCTTTTGAGGGTGACCACTAGCTGTCGCTCTTGAACAGCTCCAGCTCCCCGTACCTCAAAGCCAATGGTGTCTTTGGCTGCTACCAGGTGGCCCTCCCAGATGCCTGAGTCCTGCCCCGCCCCCACTAGGTCTGTTTGTCCGCCCTAGGCGGTGACTCAGAAGGAGGCAGGCTGTGAAGAGCTGGCGGTAGCCCTAGAGCAGAAAGAGTGTGGGCACAATTTCTTAGGGAAAGAAATTGTGGTGCAGTGAGGCACGCGCCACCATCAGCCACCAGGTGGCGATGCTGCCTCTAACGGCAAAAAGGAGGCCTGTGAAAAGAAAGCCTGTCCTTTGAACAGCCTTGCTCTTTGGCCCTGGGGTGGCATAGCTCTTCGTCCACTGTTACCTGGAGTCCAGGGCGCCACAGGACTGTCCAAGGGCAGTAGCAGGGAGGCCCACCAACCCAACAGTCCCAGGTGAGCCAAGCAGAGCACAGACAGACACGTCAACACTCTGGTTTTCTGGGTCCTTCAGGCCTCAGGTCTCATGAGTGTGGGTTTTGGGTTTTTTGATCCGTCCCTCAGTTTCCACTCTCTGGTTCCAGGTCAGGCAACAGGCCAATGTGCCCTCCCCTCTGGCTTCTGTTTCCTGTCTTCCCATCTCCAAAGCCTCTCCAACCCAATGGGTTTTGACCTGGCGCTTTTCTGTTTGTTTTTTTCAAAATCCATCATCCGCCCCCCCCCCCTCCCCCCGCCGGGGACATGAACTGTTGCTCCAGGTCCATGTCCTCACACCGCGTATTCTGGATCTGTGCAGAGGTGCTTCTCCTGGTCACCACCTCCCCACCCCACCCCCCCCCCCCCCCCCCCCGGGAACTGGGAGTTCTAAGTCCTGTTGTGCCTTTTTGAAAATTCTCTCTTTTCTCATCTGCCTTATCCCTTCACATCTGCCCTGTTCCCACCCCTCTCTCCCCCTTTAAAAAGGAGAGAATTCAGACACCTTCTAACAAGACAACTTGTAAGTCTAAGAACTAGAGAACTTTGGTTAAGGATTGCTGAGAGGAGGGAGGGTTTAGCATAAAGGGGTCTCCTGCCTTTCCTTGCCATTCCCCATGAACTGGTGACTCTCACGTGGGATGGAGGTCTAGGGGTGCTGAGATGTGGACACTGAGGAGAAGTTGGGCGCACTGTGAGGCATCATGAGCACTGTATCAGGGGGCCGATGTGTTTTTCTTTTCCTTGATACTGCAAGTTAGTTTGAGAAATTAAGGGCTGCTTCTGTGACTTGATTAGCATATGTGTCCCAATGCTCTGGGCTGGGCACTAATGAAGAAGAATGAGGTTCTTGGTAAATTCCCTGGATGCCAGGCAGTGCCAGAAGGGGGACATGTAATACTCTGAGCCAGGGAATGGGAGCTCCCCCTGAGATGGCTTATAGCTTAGTTCCCAAAGAACTAGTTAGTAGCTTAGTTCCCAAAGAACTAGTTAGTAGCTTAGGTCCCAAAGAACTAGTTAGTAGCATAACATATTCTGACTTCTTTCTCTAACACAACTTTAGAGCCATGGTCTCCAGAGGGGACACATCAGAGGAACCACTGGGGTATGGGGAGAAACTATTAGAATTTCTATTTATTTTTTTAAAAAATTTCTATTTATTTTTTATCTTGTCTTTTTAAGATTTCTATTTTTGCATATGTTTTATGTTAGTAAATATTACATGCATGTATTATATAAATAGTAACTAATCATCGATTAGAAACACAAATGGCGAATCTCTTTATTTTTTAAAATACTTTATTGTTGAATGTATTACATGTCTCCTTTCCCCCCATTGACCGCTCCCAATGGCTAACCATTTTTTAATGAGGAAGTGTGTGAGCAGAGGTTTTAGAGACCACTGCTCTGGAGAATCTCCGAAGCGTTGGGTTTGAGATGCTGGCTCAGAGCTGTCTAGCCAAGGAGGAAGGCCCAGCCTGTGTGGACAGGCTGAGTGGTGAGGTGGAACCTAATTGTTCTTGAGAGGGGGCTTGCCAATATTTGGGATGACTGTGCCCTGGGCCACCTCAGGGCTCCCTGCTGCCTGGTCTCTAGGGCCGATCATGCATTCTTTCCTGAGGAGATGGGATCAGGGTTTCTTAGAGGGACATTGGGAGAGATGAGAAGCCTAGGATGTTCTTCTGCGTGTGTGTGTGTGTGTGTGTGTGTGTGTGCACGCGCGCGCCAAATTAGGACCTTGCAGGTGGTCGGTGGAGTGGCTCCTGTCACCATGGTTAGGAGCCTGACATTTTAGGACTTGTGTCCTTGTTCTCCATGTCTTTATTTCTGTTGTGACTTATGTTTGTGACAAATACTTCTGGTGGCCTAACAGAACCCCGTTTTTGGGGGGTGGGAATGTGCTCCATTTCTCAACCTCCCTTAAAGGGAGAGGTGACCACACGATATGTGTCTAGCCCATGGGATATGAGCTGAAGTCCTGGAGAAGGCCTCCCGGTGGGCTCTTCCTCTGGGTCAGACTCATCTGGCATGCCCACGTGCATCTTTCGCCCTTCATATTCCTGTTTTTCTTGCCTGAAACACAGCATGATGCTGAGCAGATGTCCTGTGACCACACAGTGGCCAGGAACAGGATGGATAGCTGAGTGGAAAGACAGAAGGAGCCGGCTCCATAAGGCCCTGGTCTGTCCTTTGCAGACGTTTTGTGACGGGAGGAAAAGAAATGTCTACTTGCTTCAGCCCCTGACAGTGGGTTTTTCGGTTGCTCCCAAAGGAGTGCAGTGCTAGCAAACATGAAGGTCAACTCGCTGACCCTTTAGTTAAGGTTGTTGACTTCATGCAATACGTGGACACCTTGAGAGTTGAAGAATGCGAATATCTCCTCTTTGGGAGCCCTTGTTCCCCCTCTTTCCCTGGCAGTGGTAGACATAAGCTGTTCTGCTACTTTCAAGTCCTTGGAGGAGAGAGGCATTGTGCTGGGCCTTTAAGAACAACTACTTATGTTAAGAATGTGGAAAGAGAAAGTCAGGGTGGTGCTGCTGGAGCCGGCTGAGCAGGTTTGAGAGAGCTGCTGGTGCATATCTCTTCTCATAAACACTGGGTGATGTCAACTGGTGGCTTGAAATCAACCGTGGTGAGAGTGTTTACATCATGGGCATAGCAAATTCACACATTAGGGCTTCTCCCCTTTCCTTCTCTTTTTCTGGAGAACAACATACACCAACACATCCTTGGAAAGATCAGAGGTTTCATTTATAACAACATCAATATTGTTTCATAGCTTTTCTTACTTCCCCCATGCAGTCCAATGAGTGACGAGTGAGCAGAATCAGGGAGCTGCTGATTTATACTGAACACACATGTAAGGGAAAGGCATGTATGTGTATACTATTTTAACAAAAAATGGATTATAGTATACATATTTGTAAGCACCTTGTTTTATATACTTAACAATATGTCATGAAGATCCTTGCCTGTGAGTACATAGAAATCCACCTCATCCCTTTCTATCACTCTATAGTGATTTCATAACATTGATGTCCCATGGGTAGACATTAAGGTTTTTAATTTTTTGGTTAGGGTTAGCCCTAACCACGAATGTAATATTTAGAAATTTTTTTTTGTTTTCCTAACAGGTTCTTGCATTAAGAGAATATCTTTGTTTTCTTAAAAAATTGCTGGATGGCTTCAAGTTAGAATCAGAATCCATGATGAATGAGGGGAGAGGAAGGCCAATAGGAGCTAAATTCCCTGGGGGTCAGAGTCATATTGGCGGTGGAGCCAGGAGGAAGCACTTTCAAAGAGACATGGCCAAGGGAGGTCTTTGGAGTTAGATGACGCACACTGAATGAATGTAAATTCAATCTTCGTTCTTACCTCCGAAATATTAGGAACATGCAACAGTGCTCACTCAGTAAGAGTGGAATTGCTTTTGGGATCCACAAAGAAATGCTGGCCAGCGTGGCTTAGTGGTTGAACATTGATCTATGAGCCATGAGGTCACAGTTCCATCCCTGGTCAGGGCACATGCTCAGGTTGGGGGCTCAATGCCTGGTGTGGGGCATGCAGGAGGCAGCCGATCAATGATTCTCTGTCATCACTGATGTTTCTATCTCTCCCTCCCTCTCCCTTCCTCACTGAAATCAATAAAAATAAAAATATATATTTTTAAAAAAGAATAGGGAGAGCAAAGTTGGGGAATTGATGAGTATTGGATCTAGTTTCAGGTGGGTATTCAGTGTGGTGGCTTGGTTAGGATTGGGTAAGGATCATGATGCAGTGGTTTGGGATTGGTGAGCATAGTGAAGCGAGGGTTCCAAAGACTCGTGAAAGGTTAACGGTCATTTTATGTTGTCTGTTGAAAAGTTGAGGATTTAGAATGGATTTGCAACATTTATCTTTCTGGACAAAAGTTGCTTGGAGTAGTAAAGTCGTGCTTATAAAGACAATGAATTGTAATGTCATGCTAATGAAGACGGTTAACCGGGAGCCCTCGATGATTTCAGTTCCCAGACCTAATTTTTTGTGCCCTGGAAGCCCTAACCATGGAAGCACTATGTTTGGGAGCATTGAGTTCATGCTGGATATACAGCCTGTCCCTCCAGAACACTCTCCATCCTTTTCCACCCTGCTCTGTGCATGGGGAAAGCTGACCTGTTTAGTTTATATCCATCTGCTCCCTTGCACCTCTGTTCAGTTAATAGGAAATATCAGCAAGAAATCAGAGAGTGATGAGAGCGAGCCTGGGGCATTTATTCCTCCAGGTTCCTCCTTCAAGATCCTTAGTGGGCTGGTTGCATTCCTTAACTGAATGGCATAGCTCCTGCCACACGGCACTCTCCAAACAGTTCTTTTTATCTCTGGGCTTTCATAACAGTTCTCTCCTCTTGTCCCTACCGGGGCGGGCCCAGGCTTGAAAACAGCCGCAACTGGCCCTGATAGACACGTTATCTCTTGTGATTGCCCTTTGGTCTTGCCCACACTTTTTGTAAATAATCCCTTTGTTATTAAACTCTATTAACATGATCTCTTCCAAGTTTGGGGCCTGACTAACTAAGGTTTTGTTGAGTTGTTAATGTAACTGAAGTCTTGTTTGCTATTTGGTTATATTCAGGTGATACCTGGCAAGCGTTGGATAAGTATTTGTTGACCGAAGGAATGATTAAATGTGTGAATGGCAGGACTTGAACTCCAACTCCTTCTCTCCAAATGTCTAAAAAACAGTGGGGGCGTCCTGTTGGGGTGCCTGGCCAGCCTGGGTGAGTGGCTGATGGCTGTTTGCAGGCTGGCCATGGCCCCCAGCCACCCAAGCTCCCAGTGGAGGCTGACTGGAAGCAGGTATCTGGGATTTATTTATCTTCTATAATTGAAGCTTTGTTGCCTTGAGCAGAGGCCACAGCTGGCCAGGGCAGGTAGGAAACAGTTGAGCATTCACATGTAAAGCATCGACGCTTTATGCATTCTGAGTGCAACAGGTGAGCACAGGCTGTGTGGCTCCCGTTTCTAGAGACCTCCGCTCTGGGGTTTTCCTTAGTGATTCAGACCCAGGCGTCCTCCTTCCTAGAGGAGCAATAACAAAGAAGAAAAAGAATCTGAAATATACATACTAGTGAAGACATTACGTCAATTAAATGAAGAGTAGGGTGATTTCTTCAACTCAAAAACAACGAAAACATTCAAACCATAAAATAAGAAATGAACACTGATAACTTTTACTTGTATAGGTTATGGTTTTAAAGGCACCATACTGAATGGACGAAAGTTACAGCTACCAGTTATGATTTGGAAAGTTTATGTGACCTCTATTACAATTTATTATACTAAGCATCAGACCATTATTATATACTAGAGGCCTGGTGCACAAAAATTTGTGCACTCAGGGAGCAGGGGGTTGGTCCCTCAGCCCAGCCTGGGCCCTCTTGCAGTCTGGGACAACTCAGGGGATGACCACCTGCTGGCTTAGGCCCGCTCCCTGGGGAATTGGGCCTAAGCTGGCAATCAGACATCCCGCTGGCAGCCCGGGAGCCCTCGGGGGATGTACACTTGCCAGCAGGGAGCAGACCTAAGCTGCAGTTGGACATCCTTAGCACTGCTGAGGAGGCAGGAGAGGCTCCCACCACCACTGCTGTACTGGCAGCCGTCGGCCTGGTTTGTGGCTGAGCAAAGCTCCCCCTGTGGGAGTGCACTGACCACTAGGGCGCAGCTCCTGCATTGAGCGTCTGCCCCCTGGTGGTCAGTGTGTGTCATAATGACCAGTCATTCCCAGTCATTCTGCTGTTAGGGTCAATTTGCATATTACCCTTTTATTATATAGGATAGAGGCCTGGTGCATGGGTGGGGGTCCCGCTGGGTGCCTGGCCAGCTTGGGTGAGGGGCTGAAGGCCATTTTCAGACTGGTCACACCCCCTTCAAGGTGGGGATCCCCGCTGGAGTGTCTGGTCAGTCTGGGTGAGTGGCTGATGGCTGTTTGCAGGCTTGCCACAGCCCCTTCAGGGTGGGGGCGTCCTGTTGGGGTGCCTGGCCAGCCTGGGTGAGTGGCTGATGGCTGTTTGCAGGCTGGCCATGGCCCCCAGCCACCCAAGCTCCCAGTGGAGGCTGACTGGAAGCAGGTATCTGGGATTTATTTATCTTCTATAATTGAAGCTTTGTTGCCTTGAGCAGAGGCCACAGCTGGCCAGGGCAGGTAGGAAGCTTGGCTTCCTCCATCGCCAGGGCAACCAAGCCTCCTGCTTGCTCCAGCTCTGTGGCTGCCATCTTGGTTGGGTTAATTTGCATATAGTCGCTCTGATTGGCTGGTGGGCATGGCTTGGGGCGTAGTGGAGGTGCAGTCAATTTGCATGTTTCTCTTTTATTAGATTAGATGAGGTAAATTTGATATAATTATCTTATAATTTTATACCTATGGTGACTAACAATTTCACAACTGCAGGTTCCCATAGAAAAGAAGGAAATCTTACCCTTTGTAACAGCATGGATGGGCCTAGAGAGAATATTATGATAAGTGAAATAAGCCAGTTAAAGAAAGACAAGTACCATATGATTTCACTCATATGTGGAATCTAATGAACAAAATAAACTAACAAACAAAATAGAAACAGACTCATAGACAGACAACAGACTGACAGCTATTAGAGGGGAGAGGGGCTGCAGGGTTGAATGAAAAAGGGGGAAGGATTCAGCAAAAACAAAAACAAACAAACACGCAAACAAACAACAAAAAACTCATAGATAATGCAGCTTCATGACATTTGGTATAATCACATGTTCACTGTGCAAGTGTTAGACGAACTCCTTCAAACTGGGAGACATGAGGCATGGCTTGCAACTCTCTGGGGAGACTGACTCATTTATCTCTCTGGGTAGATGCCTTCATGGATGGAGCTTAGATAAACATCTGGCAGAACAGTCCCAAGCTCCCTTATCCTAAGGACATTTCTAGTTGTTTATAAATTTTTCCATATTATAATTTCGTAGGCTGAGGAATTCCAGGATCCTCCTCCCTGGATTTTTCAGCAGGAGACTGGTCCATCCTATTTTGCCATAATACACTTCCTCTTGGCGTAGAGCTCCCCCTTTGATGATCTCCAGGGCACAGTCTTCCTTTGGAGCTGCCTCGGCGTTGAGTATCCCAGACACTGCCTTCATGGCTGAGTCTGTGAAATAACAAGAGAAGTGGGGGGTTATCCAAGACTAGTAGAGCCTACATCGTTGAAAGGCCTGCTGACCCTAACAACTTAGCTGATAGGGGCTGTTTTCCAGTGCTTACTCTGAAAGGCCCATGGGCCCTATCAGGAACACACGGAGAAGACTGGGTAGGCTTAGGGTCTGTTGGGCAAAGAGAGGCTTCACACAATCCCTGTCTTCCTGGATGAAGATTTGTGGGGGCAGTTAGAGCTAATTAGTTGAGAGATTTGAATCATGTTCTTCATGGGCGTTTTGATTGGGGGTGAGGAAGTAATGTGGGCGAGCAGAACAGAGAGAAGTCACAAAGAGTGCTGCATGATGACTCACCAAGGAAGAGGACAAGAATTCAGGCCTTTGCTCCCTTGTCAACATTATCCACTTACACTTAGAAGGAATCTCTGTTATCTTCTCTCACCTTCCAGCTTTTCATGTTCTTTTTGCACAGCTTCTCTCTCTCTATCTCTTCCTTGTTTCACTGTGCATCTCTGTCTTTCTCTTGTTCTGTAACTACTACTCAGTGTAATCAATTGCTCTTTAAATAAAGTTTTCTTATCATATTTGCCACATGTTTTAGATAAACTTGCACTTGGGCTTACGAACACTTAGAAAAATTATGCAAAGTATTCCCGTACATTGATCGCCCTGCTTCCCCTAATTATGCAAAGTATTCCCTTACTTTGTTTGCTCTGCTTCCCCTAATCATAATATCATACATAACCATTGCACAATTATCAAGAACAGGTGTGGTATAATTGGAACACTATTACTAACTAAACCACAGGCCTTATTTTTTCACTAATGCCTTTTTTTATGATCTAAGATCTTATCCAGGATTTCACGTACTATTAAATTTTTCTTATTTCCCATCTAATCTGTGATAGTTCTTCAGTCTTTCCTTGTCTCTCATGGGTCCACTGTTCTCTTATTGGAATGAGGTGATGCATTTTTGGCAAGAATACTATGAACACACTGCTGTGTCTTTTTCAGTGAATCTTATCAAAGGGTTCATATTTGATATGTCTTATTACTAGTGATGTTATTAAGAAAAACAAACTTGTATTTGATATGTCTCATATAGGAAAGTAATGGCCATTTCAAATCCAAGAGGATATAAGGTGCTCAGAATAGGATCAAGTGATGTGTGTGGTGTCACTCAGCATATTTGGGGGTAAGAATGGAAAGAAGGGGTCAAAGAGTAGTCAGAGGCTCCATTAGTGACAAGAGCACTTCATTAAATGAGGACTTAGTGCTCTCACTGGCTTTCAGGTCACGACACATGAATTGGGGAGTTCAGCACCCTCTACCCACAATGGTAAGACAGGCGATCCATCTGCAGGCCATTTATTCCAGTCTCTTGGCCTTACCTGTGTCTATGAGGCCGAGGATACAGAGAGTGATTGACACATTGACCTTGGTCACTGAAAATTCCGTCCTGATGGAGGAGAAAAACCCATCGAGAGCAAACTTGCTTGCAGAATAGGGAGCAACAAGTGGACTAGCCATTTTCCCTAAAGAATAAATAAATAGGTTAATGAGGTGAGTCATTTCAGCTGATTTTGGCTTTATCTGTAGCAGGTGTTTTAACTTCTATGGTGTCCCTTAACCCTTTAAAGCAGTGGTTCTCAACCTTGGCTGCACATTAGAATCACCTGGGAATCTTTTTTTTAAAATCCTGATTTCTGGGCCTCCTCCTCCGGAAATTGTTTCTTTGTTATGGGGTGGGGCCACAACATTAGTAACAAAGAAACAATTTCTCTCTACTCCCTATAGAGATTATCATGCTGTGTTGAATTTATAAAAAGAAAAAAAATTTCTTTTCCAACCTTAATATATAAAGAACTCTTTAAAAAAATACAATCAAATCTCTTTAGGGAACCAATCCAACTCCATCCTGAATCATGAGTTTTAGCTTGGGATTTGACTCTAATGGTGTGCAACACAGAATGCCCAACCTGGTACCACTGGGCTACTGACTAACCTAGGGCTGATCCAAATATCCGAGCAGGGTTGCAGACATGGGTTGGTTAGATTTTAGTAAGGTTGGTACATAAGAGGGACTAAAAAAAGAGCCATGTAATCCCACAGCTGCTAACTTTTTTACCTCCAACCCAAGATATCTGGGGATCCAAGGGTATGGCAAGAGCTCTCTTCCGGCCCGGCTGGGTGTGGCTCAGTGGTTGAGCATTGATCAACGAAGCTGGAGGTCATGGCTCGTGTTCCCAGTCAGGGCTTGCTCCCCAATGTGGGCTGTGCAGGAGGCAGCAGATCAGTGATTTTAATGCCTCTACTATTTTTGGCAGCTAGAATTAAATAGTTTAATTCTTAATTAGGCCTTTGTTCTTCTGTCAACCACTCCTTCTGCTCAACTCCTTTTGTTCTCATGAAGTTAGTCAGAAGCTGCTAATAGGGTGTCTCCTTGTCAAGCAGGAGGAGATACCTTCAGGGTCATAAAGAGAATTTTCTTTTTTTAAATATTTTATTGATTTTTCACAGAGAAGAAGGGACAGAGAGTTAGAAACATCGATGAGAGAGATCGATCAGCTGCCTCCTGCATACCCCCTACTGGGGATATGCCCGCAACCAAGGTACATGCCCTTGACCGGAATCAAACCTGGGACCCTTCAGTCTGCAGGCTGACGCTCTATCCACTGAGCCAAACCGGTTCGGCAAGAATTTATGAGTTTGTTTTGTGGAGGGAAAGAATGTCTTCAAGTTAGCTGTAAGCAGTGGCTGACGCCCAGGAGTCTGATACATATAAGCGTCATCTATACCTCAAGAAACACAGACTTCTCTCTCAGTTCCCTGAAACACCCCCTCCCAAATCCCCTAGCTGCATCAACACTCATTCTGTTTGCTTCTTGAGAGAGATGGATTTGAGAAATCTTGCTCTCCTGTCCTCTTGCTTTGTCCAAATCAAAGAAACACTAGTGTCTCAATGTTTTGGCTTTCCCTGTGCAATGGGCACTGGCACCTGAATTGTGGAGGAGTGATTCACGTGCACAGGTTCAGGAAGTTAGGATGTAGACATGTCTTTTGAGGGCCACCATTTAGCCTTCTACATTAACACTGATGTATCTAGTCCACAGACTCCATTCAAGTTTTGCACGTGTCCTCGTAATATCCTTTAGAGATAAAGATCCAATTGAGGCTTATATGTTGCATTTAGTTGTCATCACTCCTGCGCTACCTTTAAGCTGGATCATTATCCAGTATTTCCTTAACTTTCATGACCTTGACACTGTTGAGTACTGCCAATAATTCTGTACACGGTGATACGCTGGAGCTGGCTCCTGCTGGATCACGAGAGCTGATTGCTCCATTTCATTGAATTTTGCAGGCAGGCTGAGGTCATGTTGAAATGGCCATCACGAGATTCTTATATATGGAAATGCTACACATAAAATTATTTGATTGTTGCCTTTTGGAGAGGTAGTTGTTAAACGTTTACCAGCATCCTGCCGATGAATGTCCCTCAATTTTGATTATTTTCTGTTGTTTCCTCATGATTGGATTCAGGCTATGCATTTTTTGGCAGGATCACAGGGTTCATTCTAATTTTCTTCCTTTTCATACTTGTAACACTGACAGTGAGAACCTGATCCTCAACGTATATTATTCATTTGATTAATGCCCCCAGTATGTGATTATTCATCAGTTGTACCTTTGCCCTCTGTGTGGACATCCTCCTCATCCCCACTGGGCACTGAACCCGATGCCAGGACACAGGGATGCCCTCTTTACTCCATGTTGAGCTGCCCCATTGCAGTCTCCATTGCAGAGGCCCTTGTTGCCTCTATTATTGACATCCCATGCCAGGTGCTGCATGGCACCCTCCTTGATCTGGTGTGAACCAGGTGCCTGGTATAAACCAAACTACCATTGCTGCCCCTTGTTTGGACGCCCTCCTTATTTCACTTCGGTCTTGACATTCCAAGTCAGGCTGCCATAGCTGCTCCCCGACACAAAGCTATTTCATTCTGCTCAAGTTTGACAACCTGAGCCAACAGAGCAATATTTAAGGATGATTATCCAAAGGATATAGAGGGGGCTCAGACATGTCTACCTCTGCCTTCTCTTGCTTGTAGCCTAACCCTGCCCTCCCGTGGCCTTGCTGATTAGACCTGTGTCAATAATTGTCCCTCTCTCGGTTGAATGACTTATGGGATTGACTTATACAATTCAGCTGAGCCAGCTAGACACCTCTCCTCTGGAAGAAATTGGGAGTTGGGAGATTGAGAGACCAAGAGAGTTGGCAATGAGGCAGAAGTCAAAAGCATATTGAGAGTTGTTATGTTGAGAAAGGGATGTGGCAGCCGGGCTGAACTATGCACC